AGGATGCAAGATGAGGATGCAAGATGAGGATGCAAGATGAGGATGCAAGATGAGGAAGCAGGATGAGGATGACAATACAGGATACTAGACGAGCACAACGCGCCCCAACGACGAATGGCATCAATCAGTCGTGATTGAAGGCAATGTGAATCGAATGATTGATTATTTCAAAATTGATGGAATCGTTCAAGGAATTACTGTCTTCAATTTATATGACTTGAGTAGACTTGATGAGACTAGACTAGACTAGACAAACTAACTAGCAGGGGGTATTGGTATTGACTCTGTCATAAGAAGCGCATTGCTTGGGAGGATGTAGAATGGACGTAGGACTTGAAGGAGGAAAAAAAAACGAGAAAGAAAAGAGGGGGAGGAGAAAAGTGAGTGGGGAAAAAAAATAAGACAATCTAGTCAAATAGGGATGATTAATACCGAATACAAAGAGGATAATACCGAACACAAAGAAGATAATACTGAATACAAAGAGGATGGTACTGAATAAAGCAATACAAGAGTCAATTGCAGGTTACAAGAGGGGGAATATCGCGACAAAACGAGTCGTAGACGAAGAGGCAACTAATATTAGAGGCAGGATATTAGGGGTATTAGGAAGACAAGGGGAAACATTGGGACAAAACGAAAAACTGAGAGACGAAACGGCAACATCTCGAGAAGAAAAGGGAAACCAAGAGACAAAGTCTGCGAGGATAGCAACTGTTAGGATCAGATGCGTGACATGCTCGAAAAAGGTCATAGAGGTCGTGGAAACGTGAAATGATAATTAATGACATTATCAAGGTGTGTTCGCAGAGGACAGTTGGAAAATCGACGCTAGTATGTGCTTCTCAACTGGACCGTCTCAGCTGGACAGTCTCAACTGAAAAAGACACAACGATGACATATTTGAACTGGACTAGACGCGAATGACAAATTCTAGACCGAGGGCATTGGCTTCGCGTACACAGCAACTAAGACAGGTACGTCCGTTGCGGCCAATGACTGCGCCAACTCCATGATGGGCACACCAGGCTCGGGCAAAGACTTCGTTTGTCGCGGGGCCACGAGCATCAATGATTTTGGTCACCGGCAATGCCTTTTCGTTCTTTTCGCCTCGTGGCCGGTCTGGAGTTCCGAGCATGCCTTGTTGCTGTGAGTATGGCTTTGCCGCCTTGATCTCGGACAGATCAGACGACAGGAGAGTTGACAGCGAGATAAAAGCGTACGAGTAAGTATTATGTAAGGGATGAACCGGTAGACGATGATTCAGGTGAAGTAGCGGATGGTGTGGCCGGAAGGATGCATGATGAGGAGTATGGTATGGTGAGTCGGATAGGTTTGCAAGTGCGCCTGTGCCAGCTTGCGAGGTTTGAGGAAGAGATTGGGATGCAGGAGCGGTAGAAGTAACATTATTTGAAGCAGTACTATTGCTAGTCTCAACCAGCACTTGTGACGAAGGTATCGGTGTCGCTAAAGGAGATTTAACGGTTGCAGCAGGCGTCTGCTCAACCGGCGGGATAGAGACTGGCGAAGGAGATGTTGGAGGGGGTACTGGTGCTGACTGGGACCGTGCCAGGTTGTCTCCGTCTGTTTGATGGACTGTGGAAGATCCACCTGGTGTGCTGGGCGGACTAATCAGTTTCGTATGCGGTGAGTAGTGACATGGAAAAGATGTGACGAAATAGACATCGTGTGAAAGGCGCAGGGCAACATTGTGAGGCGTGGCATCTGTAGAATCGGCGCCAGACGACGAAAGGTCGTGTATTGAGAAGTTGATACAAGCGGAATATGTCCGTAAGGGCGGCGGCTCTGTCGCATCAGTGGTAACTTCCTCGGAATGTCCAGATCCTTCCTCTTCATCATGTTCTTCGCCCCCGTCACTGGACTCTTCGTTCCCGTCATCCTCTTCGCCTTCCAGCATTGACTCTTTTTCATCAACAGCGTCCAGGGCTAAATCCTCGAAGCGGATTTCCATATTTTCAGAGTGCCCAGGTACGGCATGAGGATCGATCGGTAGGGTGAAATCACCCGGGAGGATCCCACTGTCGAGACTGCCCATGCCAAGGAGCCGCGAGGATTTGGAAACGATTTCGCCATCCTCGATTCTTGCTTTTCCGTGTCCCGTCATCGGAATAGCTTCAATATCTAGCCATCCATCTTCGAAGCCACGCGGAACAATGGGAAGACTCAACCACCATGCACATTCCTTTGTACCTTCCATTGGCGCAAGCACCCGTCCCACAACGCAGCTTTTGCTCCAAAAACTGCGGCCTTGATAGGCAAAGCCGCCATACAGATTGGCAGAGTCACCCAATTTCTCAACTGCTTCTCCATCGTTTTCTAGCAGGGTCGAAATCAAGAAATGCGACATGGCTTCTCCCGGTAAGATGAAGCCGGTGAACCATGATCTACTGAGCCAGCCGCCCATGTTGACCGCCTCCGGATCAAGCGATGATGGATGTGGGGACAGACGTAGAGAGCGCTGAGTTAGCTTACGATGTGGCAGTGGCCTGACTGGCGCTCCTGAAAAGTAGCTACTCTGTGTCGTCCTTGTCGATCCAGGTGTAGCCGCTGCAGGAGTGCTTGCCATGCTGTGTCCGGGCGTCGCGTCAGGGTTCGCCAGTGGCGAAGCCTCAAACTTTTCTGTCAGTTTTGTTTCCAAAACATCCATGTTCGGCCACTCAATGCTGCGGGCAAAATGAATGAGCCCAGAAAGCTGGCTTGCTGGATGACGAGGCCAAAAGGTCGCATCATGATAAACATCGTGCTTCTCATCATGGCTATTGGGATGAAGATAATGTGCGATACCCCCATTTGAGGATGAAGAGTGGTCAGGAAGCAAAGACGAAAACCATCCAGGTCTGGCCATTTTCGGTTGTGGAGGGCTGATCTTATGCGGAACCACCTTGACATTGACCAGAAAACGTCTCGCGAGGATAAGATCCCAATCAATCTTTCGTGTCCGATGCTTATTGAAGTGGTGAATCTCGTGCTTGGTTAAATGCATCTCCTCCAGCACCGTAGTATTTGTGCCCTTTACAACCACGTCCAGACGGAGCAGCAGCTCGCAAGACAAGAGAATCTGAAGAAGCAGCCAGTGACGTTCAGGCGAATCTGCCTCTACGCTGAGAGCTTCATGGCTTTCCTCTGAGAAATTTGTCCAGAGAATCTGACCAAGTTTGATCCGCCATTCGACGGAGCTGAAATCAATCCAGAGCCCGTGCAGTCCTAGGACCTTCATCAGCCCTCCAATTTGTACCTTCAGACTGTATGGATCGTTTGCATCGAGCTCTCCCACGCGGCTTGGAGGATAAAGTAATCTCGTGAAGAGATCAGTGTAGAGGTGCTCGGGGGTGTGCTTCCCCAGTACTTCACCGTATAATTTATCGTCTCCCACAGTATGAAATAGATCACTCAGCTCGCGCAAGCGATCAACAATGGTGCTTAGGTTGATGCTACGTATCCCAACCTTTTCACCCTTGTCTTGTCGGCGGTGGAAGAAATCGTTCCAGTGGATGTTCTCTCTCCCTTTTGGTCCAGTGTCTTCATCTTCTGCATGACTGCGCTTTCTGGGCGCTTCTGGAATCTGGAGCGTGTCTGCCACCTCCATCTCGAGAAAATGAATGAAGCCCACCGTTCCAGGTTCTGAGCCGTGACTGCTGAGCATGCATGGTCGCTCGTGGATGCCAGAGTCGAACCCTCCACGCCAACCATAATCATTTTCTGCCTCGGAAGATTTTCCGGTGTGAGGTCTGGCCGATGAGTCTGGAATTGGGAGATTGGGAGACAGAGTCGCCGCCGCTAGGGCCGGATGTTGTATCCTGAGGCAGTCACTTACGTCGCGCACTTGAAGCTCCAGGTTCCATGGGAACACTACCACCGGGTGATGCTGACGATGTGGAATTCGACTGATGCAGAATTGAGGTGCGCCCGAGAAGAGGTTCTGCACGTCTGCCCAGCTCAGTGGATGCATAATTCTTTGTATTTTGCCTGGGGTTGCAGGAGACATGGCGTTGGGTTGTGCAGGCTGGACTCCTTCATGTGAATCCGGCGGCGCAGGAAGAGGTTTGTCTACATTGCATGATGACCGCGCGCTCTCTGGTTTGGGGAAGGTGGCAGATGCTCTTGATGTCTATTGCTGATATTCAGCGACAGGTTCACCATCGGGTAAAGGTAAACAGATAGTCTACAGTTTTCAATACATACATCGCTGGACGCATCCGATGACGCGTCTTGCTTCTTCCCTGATCCCTTTAAGAGAAGATCGCGCAAGGTCTTGCGACGTCGAGGTTTTTCAGAATCATCAGAGCGACTCCTCGAGTCCTCATCCGTGCTCGCCCTGGGTCGTCGAGCGAGGGAGAAAGGCATCGTGTCGGCGGTTAAGCTTTGCAAGGTGAAATCGACAATGACAGCACAATATTACTTGTCTCGCGACAAACATGACGAGGTGCACACGAGATTGGAGGCTTGAATGGGAAGGTTTTAGGGGTTTTGGGGGGGGGGTGGTGTTGTGGTGTTGTGATGAGGGGGAAGGAGGGTTGGAAGATCTCAGGGCCCAATTTCAACCAGGGAAATAGCAGTAACGGTGCCTACGGCCATTAAGTTGTGATACCATGGCCAAGGACCGATAAGTCGAGACCAACAATGCAGGATGTGATGAAGTGTCCCTCGTCGAAATAAATGTGGCGTCGGTTTCCGCAGATAATAACAGACAGGAAAATCAAGAAATCAGAAACATGCCACATTGGGGGAGCTGCGTCACACCCAAAACACTTGACAATTCAGCCCCTACAGAGTCGGAGGTTCATGAGACCAAAACTGATTGGGTTTAGGTGAAGCGTTGGAGCCCCTCCGAGTCCCTTTCTCAATCAAACAGCCGTCCCAGTTAGTGGCTCAGGGTTTCTAGTACAAACCTCCTCTAGGTATACTAAGTAGTCGTTGTAGGTATACTGCCGTGTATCTGCCCTGACTGGAGCGGCTCTACTTGCCCACGGGCCGTCGCAACCGTGCTTACCGAGCCAAATGACCCCACCCGCGTCGCGTCATCTTGGCGACAACTCAGGTAAAAGGACGCCTCAGCAAAAGCATATCAGCTTAACCGTAAAGCTTCAAACGCAACTGTGATAGTTACTGCCACACCCCAAACGCCAACATCACCGCAGAAAGCTGGTTAAAGATTGCGTGTTGATCGTTAAATTATAATTCATGATTCTCATCTATCATCAGCTAGCTATTGTATCTTTGTGATGGCAGCCTCTATCTCTGGTCCCCGCATCCGATGAAGAGTAGAACAAAGGCGAAGCTTCGAGTACGCATTCAATTGTTCCAGAGTTGGGTGGTACCACGCGTCTTACAGAAGGTATTTAGAGCTTGGCGAGGACAGCCTCGGCGCCAGAGACCTGCAGTTATATGAGCAAAAGATGTTGGGGAAATAGAATCTCCAGACGGAATAACTCACCGTGACTTCGCCAGGAGCGGGTTCTTTCTCAGCATAGATAACCTTGTTGTTGTCAAGAGCGAGAGCGTAGCGGGCAGTACGGGGACCAGCCGTCCAGCCGATGCTCGAGGAGAACTTGGCGTCAGGGTCGGAGAGGAAAAGCTACAGTGGAGAAATTAGCTTATCTGTACATATATTGAATCGTGTTGCAGTAGTGAACTTACAATGTCGTCTCCCTTGATGCCATTGGCCTTACCCCAGGCGCTCATAACCCAGGCGTCGTTGAAGGCAATGACGGCGACAATGTCGACGCCCTTGCTCTTGAAATCCTTGAGGTGCTCAATGTAACCGGGCAGGTGGCGTGCAGAGCAGCCAGGCGTGAAAGCACCTACGAAAACGGTCAGAGGATGGATCATCAAAAGTGCGAAACTGAGCTCATTTCATGTCTTACCAGGGACAGAGAAGAGAACGACCTTCTTGCCGGCGAATTCCTTGCTTGCGTTGTAGTTCTGGGGGATGCCGCAAGCAGTGATGTCGGACTTCTCTTCAGTGTAAGGAACGTAACTGAGAAGTCAGCAGACGTAAAAAGATGGACTGCACAAATCGCAAAACTTACGAGAAGACAACGTCCTGGGGGAACTGTTCACCAACTTTGAGGCCCGACATTTTGGATATTTTGGATGAGAATTGGTCGAGGGTGGAAGGATGAAAGAGAAGTGTGAGCTGAGGTGTTTGTGGGATGTTTACTTTAAAAGGGAGGGGAAATAGAGTGTGGAAGAAAGGGCGTATCGAAAGATGAGTCGAGAAATAGACGCAGTATAAGTAATATGGGTTTCACCAAGGTGCTCTGGGTCCACTTGATCAAAAAAGTAATGGTACAGAGATGATGTGATATAGATTAACGATCAGATCAGAGCTCAATGCAGTAAGATAAGTGCCACAAAACCCAGTGCTGACCGTCGGTAAGTTAACTACCTAATTCCTAATTCCAAATTCCAAATTCCAATCTGCCCCGCGAAGCCCCTCGTACAGCTTGCGACCCCAAATTGACAAACAACCATTCCCCGCCATTCCTGCTCATGGAGATCTCGCATCCAATCCGAGCATCACACTAACATTGAAACATTTCACGCATTATTCCAATACTCCCAAGAGGCATAATCCTTACTGAGCGGCTCTTTCGCCGATATTCGGAGCTACATCCGTCTGACATCATTTGCACACTCCTCTAGACTGTCGGACGAGTATGCATCTCGTACGGCCAACTCCAAACTAAACGTTTCTATACACGATTCACGCTCCCCCAAAACGAGCTGTATGCTTGAATGCCTCAAATAACTTATTAAAACATTCCATCTAAATTTCTCCCATTCAAAAGCTCTTGAACCTGTGGGCCAGCTCCGCATTTCGTTCCTGCGTTATGCCGCAAACACCATAGATCTCGGTAAATACCGCGCTCTAACTAGACTCTAGATAATTCCAACTTTACAAACATCAGCAATAAACGTTCACTTTTATTAATTGCGCCATCATCATGTACATAAACCACAGATGACAATAACCCTACTCTAATAATTACGAACCAATCTCAGCGTTCTTTTTCACACTATCATCCGTCAACTGGAAATATTCCAAATCTCGCATCTTGAAATGCTCTCCACGCTGCGCCAACTGCGGTCCTCTCCGCGCGTATCCGCCCAACTTGGGCGCATCTCCTCAATGCGCAGCTCTACGGGGTCTTGCACACTACGAACATATGCAACCACCATCGAAACACATCCTGCCGCTCAAACCACTCCCAATTCGAGCAAAACCGCCGCAACATCATCTTCCCCTTCCACCAATGGATCCGACTCAACCCCTCCGCCTATTCCTCCCACTCCTCCACCAACTCCCGAGAAGCCGCCGCAACGAAAGGACCGCCGCAACCTCCGGCGCGTAATCTATGCCGCCGTCTTTCTCATGCTCGGCCTTACAGCAGGCCAGATGGTGCGCTTCTCCGTCCTGCCGCCGCCGCTTCCGCTACCACACAGTCACGAGGACAAGCTCCTTATCGCCAGTTTAGTCGGCGACCTGGACAAGCTGGACATTGTCCAGCAGTTGCGCGCCGACCCGTACTGTCGCGAATGGGAAGCATACAGCGCGTTTGTGGATCCTGCGGATCGGGCGCACAGGCTTACGACCGGCCCCATGGCTGGCACAAGAGGCTTGCCCGTGCAGCGCGTCTTCTGGAACGAGGCTACAGGCGAAGCAACCACTGTAGTGTTTATTGGCGGCGGCTTGGGCGGCTGGCCGGGCGTCACGCATGGCGGAGCGTTGGCGACGTTGCTGGATGAGAGCTTAGGGCGGGTTGCTGCGAAGAGCATGCCCGCCAGGACGGGTACGTTTGACTGATATCCTTCACCTTTCACCTTTCAACTAACCCATATACCCCATCCTGCAGCCGTCACAGCCAACCTCGAACTGCAATACCGCGCACCAACACTCGTCAACCGCTTCTACGTCATCAAAGCCGGCCCTGTGCACCCTGATAGTCGAACCGACCGGAAAGCCTGGGTGAACGCCACGCTCGAGACCATTGACGGGCGTGTCTGCGTGGAGGCCAAAGGCCTCTTTGTTGTGCCCAAGGGATTCAAACTCGGAGAGATCAAAGACGGGTTTTAGACGGACTGATTTACTTCTATCATTCGTTGGAAAGAATATTCACTGCCAACCTGTCAATAAAAGGGTAAAATGAACGGGATAACTGAGCGGGATAAAATGAACAGGGTCAACTGAACTTGGGATCTGATCACCTTTTCTTTTTTTGGGCAGGTTCCAAGGGCATGTAGCATCTAGAGAGATGTGTTTTGGCCATATACCTACAGCAGTATATATATTGTATATAATTACATATAATTACATGGCGTCATTGAGTTTTGTGTTACTATGAGGCAGGTTATATAGCATGGGAGACTTGTTCAAAAGCAATTCCACGATCAGGGTCAGGGTTACGGTGCAGGAATTGAACTTTTGTCGATTGTTGAATAGGAGAACATCTACGTAAACACACAGAGTGATGTACTTTTCAAGAATGTTGGCTTAAGCTTTAGGGAAGGCTGCCAGTAGAAATATTGCATTAAGCTAAGATAACAAGCTACCTGAAACGAGCGCGAGCATCAACATTTAGCCGTTTTGAATTTTTATTTTGCCATTTGGGTTTCACCTATTTTTTGGTCTTTGCTTCCACTTGAGCTAGCAATCCCTACTTGTGGTCGTAAAGGTCGTCATGTATCTTCGTCAGGCAACTTTGATCAAAAAGTGGTTTCATCAAATGAGCGTCAGAGGAACACCGAATGCTTCGATATTCGAGAACTAGAGTTCGTCGACATATGGCTCGAGTCTCTCTTTCAGGTCATCTTCAGTGAGTTCTTCGCCTTGCCATTCGGCGACTTTGCCGCCGCTCAGCTTCTTTGGCGGGATAATGACGCTGCTGACAACATGAATTACCCCGTCCCTGGCAATGCCATTCTGGACAGCAACATTGCTAAAGCCGTTGATTTTGATCGTGATGAGACGTCCAAAGCGGCCAATATCGATACTCAGCGACCTCTCTTCGAGAAGAGTTGGGAGATCAACCTTTTTATAGCCATTAGCGTTTTGGTCTTGAAGCTCGCCTGAGAGATATTTTGATAGTGGGGTATACGCACATGGAAATGGCCCTTGGGGATGCGATGACCCTGTGCTTCAGTGTCTGGGCTGTAGTACGCATCCGAGTATAAGGTATGTTTGGGCACAATATGATACTCGAGCAAAGCCTTTAGATACTTGAGTCCATATTGACTGAAGAGAAAGGCGTTGATCTTGGGTCCTAGCTTCTTGAATGCCCAGTTGGACGGCGCAAAGAGCGTGCCGCCCTCGTGTTCCGTCGTGTTTATCTTTTCGAGCAAACCCGTCTTTACCAGCCCAAGCTCGAGCGTACTAAATTCACCAGGCAGGAAGTTGATAATTTCCGCGGCTTTAGGTGGAAGAAGGAGGATGCTGTCAATGCCGTGGATCACGCCATTGGTTCCAAACTATAGTTTTTCTATATGTTAGGACGGACAGACGACGTTCAAGGGAAAGGAAAAGAAGTTGACGTAAAAGTAACGTACAATATCTACAGCTACGACACGGCTGTAGAAGTTGACAGTCAGTCCATTGAAACCGATGTTCGTGCTCAGTCTTTGCGGCAGAGGCTCTTTGCCCAATGCTGCTTCTTTGTGCAATGTCGGGATGGTCCTTGTCACAAGAACTCTACCGGCCGGGTAAAATTCTTCAGAGATGTGATAGGTGAGAATCTTCTTGAGAAGCTCCTTCGAAGGCTTCGGAGCACACTTGGGAATCTTGGCAAAGGCCTTGTCGGTGGGAGCAAAGACGGTATAGTTTGCTTTCGTGCCATTCAAGAGGTCAACAAGGTCGTCATATTCATTGATCAATTTTGCCAGCTTTGTGGTATATTTGCTCTTGGAGATGAGCTGATATACTGTGAGGTTGGACTTATGGTGACCATGGTGTGGACGTTTATGATGGGGAGGAGGGCGATGGTGTGGTGGAGGATCATGGTGAGGAGGATGCTCTCCGCCGCCGAATGAGTCGAAGTCAGAATCCCAAATGTCTTCATCATCCTCAGGGGTATCAAGATCCGAATCGAGCCATGACTGCGGGTCAAATGCATCCAAGGACGATGTGATAACCTTGCTGTGGGCGTCTCGGCCGGTTTCTAACGCCCACGAGAATACATCATCGACGGTTTGCTTTGAGGCTTCCACAATATCTTCCAACTTTGACTTGACTCCGGCGAACAGCTGCTCAGCCGGTGGAAGTTTGTCCTGAAGGGCTGTCGAGGGTCTTTCCGGCTCAATGACGAGTTGATTTGCTACTTCATCGTCGGGAATCACAAAGGCGGTCGTGACGGCCGCCAAGGGCAGGAGTAAAGTCCACTTCATACCTAAGATTAGCAGCAAAATCAAGAAGTAGTGATGAAGGGCACAGTGTAAAGAATATGAGCTTCAATAAAGTCTTTTCTAAAGAACTATCTCAGGTAGTATGCGAGAGCGTAGTCAAAAGTAAGCATTTCTCGAATCTGTAGGCATCCATATAGCTTGCGTGGCCTAGGAGGTAAGCAATTCTCCCCCCTCATACAAGTCCTCTTGCAGCAAATTCATGCGGTAAAGTGACTTCGTGTTGTTGTGGTGCGATGCATTCAGTAAATGACGACACGATGTGAGACGTTGGTCCTTCCGGAACCCCCAGCGTACGTCACCCGGGGAACATGGCGATACTTTCAATTTGGAGGGCATATGGTGTGGCGGAGAGGTATTGCAAAGTAAACAATCGGAATGTCGGGATTGCTCTATCCGTGACCAAATATAGCCGCCTTTCTTCTACGTGCTTACCTACAGGTAGATGCTTCAGCTACTGGAGCTTTTGAGGAGAGACCAATCACACCTTCATTGGCATGGATATTTGATATCAAATTGTCAGCTCTCCCAAATTGCTTGTAACGACGACAAGGACGTTGAAGGCTACGATTGTAGTTGAATCATCACTTCAGGACCACAGAGTAAGGTAGATTGACTATTTTGTACACTCCCTGCATCGATTATCAACATTTGATCAATGAAATCTTTAATAATCCATTTGTGGCAACCAGAAAATGGATAACTATATCTTATTCCAATGTATTTATCACGGCTTGGTAAGACCTGTTCTTTGCTTCACGTCCTTTCTTGGGACCGCTTTCTGATCCTCGGCCACTGAAACGGCCCAGGCGTGAGCTTGACAAAGCTTGATTCTTTTAGTAGCCGAATTCCCCTGGTTTTTCTCGGCCCCGCATTCCCGCTCTCGGCCAGTGAGAAGTCATCTACAGGACGAAGCCCCGCTATCGCTTCATAACCGATGCAGCTAAAACCCCCACTATGAGTTGTACCTACATGACTCCTAACAACGTACGGTAATTAGACAAGCATAACGTCACCAAAACATCCGGGTAATCAAGGTCTTGGGCAACGGCAGTGGCAGCCTGCTTTTCTGCTTCGCATTTCCCCTCCTCCAGTTCCATTTATTAACCGCCTAATCCGCAAAGAATTATTCAAATTTCAATTCCACTTACTTGATTTGGGCTCCTCTTACTGCTTTGTGCAATATTCGCCGCAATGGTTCTAGCAAGACATGTGGGTGCTCTAACATTTCCCAATCTCAAAAATACATACTGATTGGCACTAGATCGACCCTGAAGAAGTCCTGAAGCGTCTTCAGGAGAGCTCTCCTCGCCAGCCGCATCATGGAACCTCGGAGCGCTCCTTTTCACACATTACCCCGTATTCTACGCGTTATGGCAGTAGTCAAGAACTGTCCAAATTCAGCATCCCTCGGGAGGGTGCCCCGGCAGACACAGTCCACCAGCTGCTGAGAGATGAACTCGATCTCGATGGAAGACCAACCTTGAATCTGGCTAGGTACACCTTTTATGAATAACCCGTCGTATATCCTCAACATCGTATTGACTTGTTGGGTATCAACAGTTTCGTCGGAACTTACATGGAGGATCATGCCCAACAACTGATGATAGAGAATATCTCCAAGAACTTGTCAGATGCCGATGAATATCCCGCCATGATGGACATGCATGCACGCTGTATCTCCATTATTGCAAATCTCTGGGAAGCGCAGAAAGGTGAGAAAGCCATCGGTTCTGCTACTACTGGCTCATCCGAAGCCGTCCAACTCGGTGGCTTGGCCATGAAGCGTCGCTGGCAAGAGAAGCGTCGAGCAGCAGGCAAAGATGCCTCTAAACCAAACATCATCATGGGCGCCAATGCGCAAGTAGCTCTCGAGAAATTTGCCCGATACTTTGAGGTGGAAGCGAGGATCCTTGACGTCAGCGAAAAGAGCAACTATCGTCTGGACCCGGATTTAGTCAAACAGAATATCGACGAAAACACAATCGGTGTCTTTGTCATTCTAGGTAGCACCTATACTGGTCATTACGAGCCCGTAGCTGAAATTGCTACGATTCTCGACGATTACGAAAGAGAAACGGGAATCGACATCCCCATCCACGTTGACGCTGCGAGCGGCGGTTTCATTGCGCCTTTCACCCATGCGAAAGCTGGTGGACCTAAATGGTAAGCCACTGAGACCCCTTCCCCCCCCCAACTTTGAAGACAAATGTCCTCATCATCTTCAGGAATTTCGCTCTTCCCCGAGTCAAATCCATCAACACCTCTGGACACAAGTTTGGCCTTGTCTACGCGGGGTTAGGCTGGATTATCTGGCGAGACGAGTCATACCTTCCCCATGATCTCATTTTTGAACTGCATTATCTTGGTGGCACCGAGGAATCATACACTCTGAACTTCTCTCGTCCAGGAGCGCAGGTGATTGCACAGTACTACAACCTTATTCATCTCGGATTTGAAGGATTCAGAAGTATCATGGAAAACTGTCTTTCCAATGCCCGGGTGTTGAGCAAGAGCCTTGAAGCAACCGGTTGGTATGTATGTGTAAGTGACATACACCGAAAGAAGGGTCAACACAAGTTTCTCGGAGCCGCAGAGGCTGTCTTTGGCTCCGGTAACGAAACAAGTGCCGAGTACAATGCCGGACTGCCGGTAGTAGCTTTCCGCTTTTCCGACGACTTTAAGCGACGGTTTCCTCACATCAAACAGAGCAGTGTCAGCGGCCTGCTCCGGGGCAAGCAATACATTGTCCCCAGTAAGTCATGAGTAAGAGTGCTTTATTGTCTATGGGACTAACAAGGAGCAGATTATCCCCTTCCTCCCAAGGAAGAGAAGACCGAAATCTTGCGCGTTGTTGTTCGGGAGAGCATGGCTCTGGACCTCGTGGAGCGGCTGATTCGTGACATTTGCGACGTGACAGAGACGTTGATGACTACGGACCCTGTCGATCTCGCCGCCTACCAGCCTTCTTCATCGTCGATAGAAAAGCAACTCGCGAGCCGTGGTCTCCGTCACAAGAATCGTCATGAGGCTAAGCATCCCCCTCATGAGGGAATCCATCGTGGCGTCTGCTAGAAATATCGGGTAAACGGGGAAAGCCAAACCGTGGTCGAGAATTATTACGAGTTCATTCATTGGGGGAAAAAGTATTTAATGAGGGTCGGCGTTTGGTCACTGGCTATTTGTGTAAATCTTTGAATGTCATATTTTGCGTAAATGGATGTTTCGCAGCGGGAGATAATGTGATGATCAAGAATCAGCCACAACAGCCACTGGAAATAAATGGCACATCCCGGAGCATTGGGCATCGGTCTCCAGAGTTTTGGAGCTGTCAATCGGAGAGAGACTCGCTGATCGCGCCGATCATGACGCCCCGGTGGTTCCGAACTAGGCGGCGTTTGGGCGTTTAAACGTTTGGGCCCTTTCTTTGCCGATCGCGACTAAACTCGTATGAGACGAGTTTCTGCGTCATGAGTTCATGACTTTTTCTGGACCGGCAATCTTTCCCTCTCCCAATGTCCTCGATCTGCACCGCCGCGGGGCCCAATTCAATTGTAGGCTATGTTTCGATACTCAGGGCAATTCACGATATTTCTGCCCATTGGGCTTAGACCCGACCATGGCGCACCTAAACCATTGGCACTTTGTTCAATTTTTGCCATACTGTTGCTCGTCCCCCATAAATGCTTTCAGTCATGACCCTGTTTTCTTTTTACATTTTTTCATGGTTTTTATATTTTCAGGCGATGGATTCTTGTCGCTATTAGCCCCTTTGCAATTTGTTTCTGAGAAATTGGGTGGATTGTTACAATATATTCACATTTTGAATGTCTCAACAGCATGACTTCATCTCGAATCTTGATTTATGTCCTTCGTCGTGATTTGCGATTGGCTGATAATCCAATATTGCACGAAGTCTCTCGCGTTCTTCGATCTTCCCAGAATGCTTCTTTTACTCATCTACTACCTCTTTATGTATTTCCAGCTCAGCAAGTTGAAGTATCGGGCTTCCTATCCCCAGGCACAACAGACTCTCCCTATGCAGAAGCTCGATCGAAGGTCGGTGGCTTCTGGAGAACAGGACACCATCGTGTTAAATTCCTCGCCGAAAGCGTATGGGATACGAAGAGTTCCTTGGAGAAAGTCGGCAGCGGACTGGAAATTCGCGTGGGCGTAACAAGTGAAGTTATCAAGGATATGCTAGAGGCATACAAAACACTTGATGGGGAGGTGTCCGCCGTTTGGATGACAGAGGAGGAAGGTTGGGAGGAGAAGCAGGACGAGGAAAATGTGCGAACCGTGGTTGAGGCAGAGGGTAAAGAATTCCAACTTTGGAAGGATGAGAAATATTTCATTGATGAGTAAGTTTTGTCAGCCACTTACATTTTTATCTTTTACGTACGAAAAGAAATTAGTATTGATTTGGGGCCCAGTCGAGATATACCATTCCAAGATCCGAAAGAATTGCCGGATGTGTTTACTTCATACCGAAAGATGGTTGAGCCGCTTCGTGAGGCTCCTAGAAAATCTGTCCCGCCGCCGTCACAATTGCTCCCGCTGCCAGACTCAATCCCCCCGCAATCATCGCCTTTTGTTCAGCCATCCTCGCTTGAAAATCTCATAGCAGCACTTGAGAAACCTCTCCATAATGACGACGAGCTCGAACATCCACCGAAATGGCCGAATGGCGCAAATTCAGCCTTTCCCTTCAGCGGTGGTGAAAAAGCAGGTCATGAGCGCATCAAGCACCTCGTAACTTCCGGGAGCATGAGCGCTTACAAGGACACACGCAATGGCCTCTTGGGCGAAGATTTCAGCACGAAACTTGCCGCATGGCTAGCATTGGGCTGCATCACCGCGAGACAGGTCCATGAGTACCTTCTAGAATTTGAAGACGGTTCGAGCGCTCTCGGCAGTGACGCCATTGGCTATGGCAATGGTGAAAACAAAGGCACTGCCGCTGTCCGGTTCGAACTCCTTTGGCGTGATTATATGCGGCTGTGCACACGCAAGTTTGGCGCACGATTATTTCATATTGACGGCTTCCGGCACGGCAAGTCTGTCCCCTGGAAATACGTTGATGGTGCCGAAAGGAAAAACAAGAGACGCCATAGCAACAGCGCCGTTGATGCCGCTGAGGCTCTGCAGCGCTTTCTCGAGGGCCGATCCGGAACAGGTCTCATTGACGCAAGCATGCGTGAACTGTATCTGACGGGCTACACCTCAAATCGGGCTCGTCAAAATGTTGCGAGCTTCTTAGCCAAGCATCTTCGGATTGACTGGCGCCTAGGTGCTGAATGGTATGAGACACAACTTGTCGATTATGATGTCAGCAGCAACTGGGGGAACTGGCAATATAATGCCGGCGTGGGGAATGACCCGCGAGGTGAAGGTCGCGTGTTTAACCCCATTAAACAGGCCTTTGACTACGATCCGCAAGGGGAGTACGTGAAAACATGGGTGCCTGAACTGAGAGATGTTGAGGATCCTTTAGCTGTGTTCCAAGCATGGAGGCTTCCTGTGGATCAGCGAAAAGCTTTGGGACTGGAGGGAGTCGAATGGGTGGAAAATCCACTGAAGCGTATTGACTTTTATGTTAGCAAGCCGTCTAAAGGTTCCGGAACCTTCGCGAGTGGCAACCGCAATCGTCAGCAGGAAGGGCAAGGAAGGAATGACCTGAATGATGAAGCGAATGCTGCTGAAGAAGCCCAAGGTACTAGCAGAGGGAGCAGCAATCATCGTCGTGGAAGAGGATGGGGGCGGGCAAGGGGCAGGGGCAGGGGTAGGAGCAGAGGTCGAGGCGGTGGACGTGGCGGTTCAAAGGGACATACAACTGATGAAACCCCGCGCCGCAAGCAAAATATGGGGCGAATGGATAATGCCGCGACTTTGGAAGAGGCTATTGCTTGATCCAGAGCAACGTCTCCATTTCAAGTGTATTTTGATATTAATACCCCAATTATTATTGCGGCCATTAATATAAGTTTTTAGCTCAGGCTCCTCCTTGTAGGAGAAAACCACGTATTTGTATACCAGATATTTAATAACTAACCTTATCTAATTTTCTCCATCTTCTCTGACAATATGAATCATGGGTAAAGTGCATATTATTGCAAATGTCACAATCAAGGGTAGAAGTGGCTTATTCTCCAGTCCCGGCTGTCGTAGGGATATCACTGTTCAGGCCAACGAGGTTCGGGGTCGGCGTAAAAATATCCGAACAAGGGTTGAAGGAAAAAGTCGTTGCGCCCCTCTCGGTCGGGGTGACCTCTCGAATCGAGAGTGGTACTTAGGGTGCCGCTTGGGAGCCTCAACCAAGGCTCGAAGGAAAAAGTCGTTGCGCCCCTCCGGTCGGGGGGTGACTTGCGAAAGTTGGTTAGGTACATGGGATCACATTGAGAGATGATGCCAATGATCTTGGGATTAAATTCCATCTAATACCGGGTCTGAAGCCCCTTTCTATCTATACATTCAGTGATGTGTTGTGGCATCTGCTTAATATATTGATTGATTTCTTTGTAGGTGATTTTGTCCTACTCTATTATAATTGCCTCCTGTAGCTGTTGAGGAGTTTGAGGCTTCTACTGTTTAACCCACTATTTAAGGATCCTCTATATATTCTCAATAACATTAAGATCTAGAGAGTGTGCAGGCTAGTTATTAAAGTAGAGAATTCCTTGAGATTCCTTAAATGCTCTGACTAGATTATGAAGACTCCTTGTTCCATGAAATCCATCATTGTCTTCTTGGAGTATAAAGGATTTGTTATGTTTCCTTGATAATTCTTTCATCTCTGGAGCTATAACTCTTTCCAAAATCTTCTCTAAATACTCTTGTTAAGTTAAGTTACCTCCTTTACTTCTTGTCTCATAAAAGACTAGGGGAGATTTGTAGTTATATCCTACCATTGCCTAACAATGAAAGACTGAAGCATGTCTTTTCTCCTTAAATTGTATACAATCAAGGCAATTTCTTTCTCCTTTTGTCCAAATAACTCATTCAGTATTCTTTGCAAAAGGAGCAAAATGTACCTCATCTATAAATAGACAATTTAACCAGTCTAACAAGAGGTGGTTTTGACAAAAATTCTCCTGCTATTGTTGTTAAGAAGGGCTAAGATACTCCCTTTGACAGGCTTTGCATTTATGATAACTATGCTTAGCCATTGAGTCCTAGATTGTATCTCTACAAGCATTGATTCCTAACTCCTTTCCTAAATTCTCTTACCCTAAGATATGGACATTATAGTGGCCATTTAGGTGGTTGATGATGTATTTAATGTCTTCATCCTTTAGGATACAAGGGTGGCCTAATTCTTTCTTAGTATGATAGAGGTTGTTTTGGGAGTTGGTAATATACTAGATTGTACAAGGGGAGACACTAGTCAATTTAGAGATTGTATCTTTCTTCTCCCCTCACTGTTTGAGGATAATGATGTAAGTCTTCATAGGAGTATTGTACTCCCTTGGGGGCATGATGGGTCTGCTTTGGGTTGATGAGCCATAAACCATGGTTCAAGGGTTAAAGGAAAAAGTCATTGCACCCCTCTCAGTCAGAGTGACCTCTCAAATCAAGAGTAGTACTTAGGGTGCTACTTGGGAGCCTTAACCATGGTTCATAGCTCATCAACCCAAAGTAGACCCATCATGTCCCTAAGGGAGTACAATACTCCTATGAAGACTTACATTATTACCCTCAAATAGTGAGGGAAGAAGAAAGATACAATCTTTGAATTGACTAGTGTCTCCCCTTGTACAATCTAGTATATCACTAACTTCCAAAACAACCTCCATCATACCAAGAAAGAATTAGGCCACCCTTGTATCCTAAAGGATGAAGACATTAAATACATCATCAACTACCTAAATGGCCACTATAATGTCTATATCTTAGGGTGGGAGAATTTAGAAAAGGAGTTAGGAATCAATGCTTGTAAGGATATAATCTAGAACTCAATGGCTAAGCATAGTTATCATAAATGTAAAGCCTGTCAAAGGGAGTATCTTAGCCCTTCTTAACAACAATAGCAGGAGAATTTTTGTCAAAACTACCTCTTGTTAGACTGGTTAAATTGTCTATTTATAGATGAAGTACATTTTGCTCCTTTTGCAAAGAATACTAAATGGGTTATTTGGACAAAAGGAGAAAGAAATTGCCTTGATTGTATACAATTTAAGGAGAAAAGACATGCTTTAGTCTTTCATTGTTAGGCAATGGTAGGATATAACTACAAATCTCCCCTAGTCTTTTATAAGACAAGAGGTAAAGGAGGTAACTTAACTCAACAAGAGTATTTGGAGAAGATTTTGGAAAGAGTTATAGCTCTAGAGATGAAAGAATTATCAAGGAAACATAACAAATCCTTTATACTCCAAGAAGACAATGATGGATCTCATAGAACAAGGAGTCTTCATAATCTAGTCAGAGCATTTAAGGAATCTCAAGGAATTCTCTACTTTAATGACTGGCCTACACACTCTCCAGATCTTAATGTTATTGAGAATATATGGAGGATCCTTAAACAGTGGGTTAAACAGTGGAAGCCTCAAACTCCTCAACAGCTATGGGAGGCAATTATAATAGAGTGGGACAAAATCACCTACAAAGAAATCAATCAATATATTAAGCAGATGCCACAACGCATCGCTGAATGTATAGATAGAAAGGGGCTTCAGACCCAGTATTAGATGGAATTTAATCCCAAGATCATTGGCATCATCTCTCAACGTGATCCCATGTACCTAACCAACTTTCGCAAGTCACCCCCCGACCGGAGGGGCGCAACGACTTTTTCCTTCGAGCCTTGGAAGCATCGGAGTTTGCGCTTCTGCTGTAATGTCACCAACACTAAGCTCAGTTCCATTCTTTCTTTCAAGGTTGTCCAAGGAGAAAAAAACAAAAAATCAATTCCGCAGCATAGCAGAATATACATTTTACTACAGCTCAACATCATGGGACCTCCGACCTACGCTTTCAATTGACGCCGAAACCCTCCTCATCAAAAACATTTTCACTTTACGATCCGCGCATTATATAACGGCCGAAGCAAAGTTGACACAAGCTCCGATTTTATTTCAGCTCAGAATTACAGCCTAGTCAACAAATAGACTGCTCCTGGGGATCGAAAAACACTTTTTTTGCCATGGCCCCTGCGAACCCTCAAGCTTCCTCAGCAGGCACATCCTCGCTGAAGCGCAGCGCGCCAGGTTCATCGCGTGCAGACGATAGCAAAAGGGCAAAATTTATGGGCAACAAAGGCCAACAAGGGAAGGATATACAGCGGAATAACAAACCCGGTGCCAATGCCAGACCAAATCAAAACTCCAACTTTAAGTCACGGAGACGAGCAAAATCGCAAGATGCCCGTGCTATTGCTGCTCAAACATCTGATAAAGCTCTCAATGGGAATGGCGAATTGGATGTGGATAGATTTGTACGGGCGCGGGAGTTCGAAATCCGCGCGCTCGAGGATAGTATGGGCCGCGCAAAGGGAGCCTTGACCACCCGAGCTTTCCAGCAAGTCCCACGAAATCTAAGGAGGAGGACTGCAAGTCACAATGTGAAGAGGGTGCCGAAGAGGTTAAGACGGAGGGCTGGGCGGGAAGTAAGTGTATTTGCATTCTATCAGACGGCTTATGTTTGGTCTATGGTATCCGTGGCATCTATTACAAGTTTATGCGCTGACCGGTCAACAAAATCTAGATGGCAGAGGATAATACACCCACCGTGACAGCCCGGCGACGAGAGCTTACTCACCACATGCGGCTGCGGCAAAATATCGCAAGCAGACTACAGAGACTTGGCGAGAAGGCAAAGGTTCAAAAGGAGGCATCGCAAACACGAGATGATGAGCAGTCATTGGATCGCGCCAACACTGTGCGACTACAACTTCCCAAAATCAAACGCAACACGCTGAAAGCGCCGCCCAAACCAGTTTCCAAATACCGTAAACGGCAAATTCATAAGACCTGGCTACCTACACACATATTTCACACCAAACGCGCCCATTTAACGGAACCAAGATACCCGCTCTGGAGGTTCGCAATTCCGCTGAGACCGTCTGAGAAGAGTTATCGTCCGACTCATCGAGCTAGCACTGCTCGAGGCGCAGTGGCATGGGACATGAGTTACATGTCCACGATTGGGCTCGAGGGAACCGAAACGAGCCTTGAGGGCATGCTCAAGAAGCTTGGCGTGGGACAAACAGCAGAAAGTCACGGCTTGTGGGAGAAAAAGGGGATCAAATGGCGTAATGGTTCCAGGACCTGGGAAGGCTGGGTCTATAAAAGCAATGCCTGTCCCTGCGACGCGATTGCGTCGGTGACAATCATGTGGTGCGCTAGAAACCCCACCAGTGAAATGGCCACAGAAAGGTCTTCAAAGTCGCCTTTGAAGAGAAGAATCTTCATCAGAGTACAGCCTTCGGCATTTCTGCAACTATGGGACGAGCTTGTCGCAATAGCCAAGACGCAACGGCCGCAAATCTCCGTCGAGGATCTGCGCTTCGAGATTGGCAGTATTGAGATCACAGGTCCTGCCTCCACGGAGGCGCTTCTTGGGACGCTCAAGCCTTCTCAGGCTCAAGAAGGAGGAGCATACACGTCTGGTAGCCCTGAACACACATGGCTCGCCTTGAATGGCCTGACAAATCCCGCCGCCCTCCCATCTTGTGTTCTCCTCGGCTTCAACATCTCCGATCCCCGCCTGCACCATCCTCCACGAACCGTCTCCAAGCCAGGATCAGAATGTACCGCAGATTATGAGCTCCTGCGCATAATGGCATCTTGGCCGCCGGACAATTCCCAGGCTTCGCCCACACTTTTCGATCGCACCGCTCGTCTCACAGCATCACGCCAACTTCCCAGCCAGAAAGCGATCAATAGACGAAAAGCTCTTGCTCTGCCGGGACAATACCCGGAGGCCCTTCCAAAGGATCCTCGTATACCTATTATCATTTACCCTTCGCGCAACAGATCTTCCGTGCAAAGCACATGGACTGTCCTGTTGCCCTGGAAATGCGTTCTGCCCGTATGGTACTCGCTCATGTACTACCCTTTATCATCAGGTGGAAATGTCAGATTCGGCGGCCTCAATGAATTACGACAAGTGGCTTTTGAATCTTCCAGTCCCTGGTTTCCCGGAGATTACCCCGGCACTCGCGCAGGTTGGGAATGGGAGCTGCAAGAACGAGCAAAACGAAAGGACGACTGGACGCGCCGGCCCAAAGGGAAGAGAATTGAATGGACCAGCTTGGATCTGGGCCAAGGCCGAAAAGGAGAAATCGGCGATGGATGGGCTTGCGATTGGGAAGTCCTGTTCAATGCCAAATTCAACTCCGATTCAAAGGAGCAGAAGACTACTTCTTCTTCTTCTGACGAAAAGCCCGCACATTCACTGGCCAAGTCTTCTTCAAACGACGTTGAAATGCAAGACGCCGACGCCGCCGCCGCCGCCGCGTGCGTGCCTCCTCCACCGATCAAAGAACACGATCCCCCGAGCTCCACGTCAGGAGTTTCTCCGTCTCTGCTGCTACCACACGGCATGATCCACCTCCCACTTGCTGTGACTCAGCAGATTCTTTCAAAGCGGACGCAGCTTCCTCAGGCACTGCATGATCTCGGAGTGGACACTGCTTCCCGCGATGATTCTTCTTTTCTCAGAGCCGCGCTTTGCACCGTCAGAATCAATCTCTTGGCCCGCGGTGTCCCGACGTCTTGCGCACGCATCTATCGTCTACCCTCGAATAACCCTGCGTTGCGCGCGAAATGGCTCTCTCTCGACCCGTCTAACCCTTCAGCGCGTAGTCGCAGAAAGCAGAATAAAGGCCCTAAACCAACTGAAAAAGATAATACATCGCATTCATCTCATATACTCCGCCGGCAAGAGCTTGCCGCGTCGCTTCTCAACGGCGTCCCTTCTGCACAACAGCGAAGAAGTGGCAGCGAGTTTGTCCCCCAGGCCGGCGACGCTGACTATCCTGTTGTTCCTGACGCAGAGGATCTCATCGGGTTTGTGACGACGGGAAATTTCAACCTCGGACAAGGCCGCGCAACGTCCATTGGATGTCTTTCTCTTGGAAATCTTCTTGATGGTTCTCAGCATGGTGGCCCACCTGGAAGTGCGCCAGGGACGCTATGTATCGTTCGTGAAGCAGGACATGGTATTGGCCGTTTAGCCCGGTGGGAATTAATTTGAGACTTTTACGTTGTATACGAACATTGTATATAGGAAATGGAATTTCTTATCTCCACCATTTCATTATCATAATGAGTTGAAAATTATCAGTGAAAATACATTCTGTGACAAAAATTGATCACTTTCCTTCTACCCACCAAAAAAAGAAAAGAAAAATAAATAAATAGAAGAGGGAGAAAAATAACGTACAACAGCGGGGATTCGCTGGTCGTCACCGACCCAACTACTAGTCCGCCGATCTGAGGCTTATGTATGGCAGAGCGGACGGGATGCCCAGTTCTCCTCAGTCTATGGTCGTACGTACTATATTATTGAAATTCTCCAAATATATACCTCCGTACGGGATCCTTATTTTAATAATAGCCCGGGGACAATAACTTGGTAGAAGCCGCCCGCGCGGAGCAGCTTGCTTCCAATACTTCGATACGGTTAGCGTAAGCTCGGCCCTAAGCCTAACTGACAGGTCTGACAGTTACATTCGGGAGAGCTACAGGCGCTATCACTTAGCTCCGCTGCTGGGCGGAGATAACCAGAAAATACCCGGGAATAACTATCCCATGTCTTGTGAGGGTTGATAAGCACCTTATACAGAGTTACACTGAGAAAGTGTACTCCCTCTTATTCTCTCCAATTTTTAATACTTGTCCCGGATTTACTAGTTTAATGAATTCTGTCATAATCCCCGGCATAGATTAATGACAAGAATAACAAAGCCGAACGCTTCACAGCATATCAAAAAAGTACCTCGCAGGCGGGGCCGGGTGAAAGGTAAGGTAAATAGCAGCCGCTTCAAGATCTTTTTGAAACGATGATCAAGTGGGAGATGCAAGATCAAATAATATTTGCTGTTGAACAGGGTGTTATGAGTGCTCCAGGCGCCGGATCGACTGTGATCGTCTGGAGCCGGTATGCGGAAAATGCTCGGCGCGGGGGATCAATTGTACCGGGCTGGGCATCAGATATCGATTCAATGACGGCCTAGCATCCCGAGGGAAGCTGGTTGGGAAGAGAGAGCCGGGGGTCTTGTTGTCGTATGTTCGGAGTCCTCACAATTGTATGTCTCTGGCGGCTGGATCGTCCGAGGAATCCGAGGTCGAGGCCGATTCTGGAAGGGAAAGGGAAAGAGAAAGAGAAAGAGAAAGCGATGAGCAAGACGGTTCTCAATCTTTGATAACACAAAGAGCGCGACAACAACAACAACAACAACCTCAAATCGATCCAGAGCTTGATAACGTCGATCGCGCCACGCGATATCTGCTTCACTACTGCAAGTTCTTCTCCTAACTCATTCTTGGCCAGTGTGTTCCGTTTGTAGTATATTAATGATAACAACTAGTCTCCATCCATGTTGCCCCCGCGACGGCCGTCATCGACAGAGGCTTCAACGGATACCGCGACCTCATCCTACCGCTGGCGGAGACGGATCCGCTAGTATGCAAGGTAATCTCAGTGGTATCGACTCAGCACATGTCTTCGCGGTTCGGACACCAATGCACGCTCGAGACGACCTCAGACACATACAGTGAGCTCATCCGGGACCTTATCATACGATCACACCACCGGCCTCCCTACACAGACCAATCCAGTATCGTTGCGCTTTTACTGCTGCATCTGCGAGAAATCATTTCAGGAAGCGATGATTTCAAGCTGGTATACGGATCGCTGCGAACATTGCTCAATGCCGCCAAAGACGGGTTCGTGTTCGAGTATCCATACTCCCAACTGGGTGAATTTCTTAAGATCCAGATTTTAAGGTATTTACCATAACAATGCAGGATGAGAGGCGGGGGAGGGAGATAGGGGATAACTTCCAATTAACAGGTTTCACACAGGGTCAGGCTCTTCGCGGAAGCGCTTTTCGACGAGACATACGGCGCCCAATTTCTGCTTACCTACGGCGAGCGATGCTTCGAGTTTCTGCGATTCTGCCTGCGGCTTCACCCAGAACATCAAGAGCTGGTGGCTAACCTGTACGAGCTCATTGCGCTGGCTTGTAAAATATACGTGCAGCGGGCAACGTACAATCCAATGGTACACGAAACAGCACCTTTGATAGAGCGCTGCAAAACGTTGAGCGAAAAAGTCGATAGGTACGGCGACATCACTGGTCATCACCTCTTGGGGTGGTCCTACTTTGTCGTTGCAGCGGAGAGCTCTACAGCGGATCATCGAGTCTATTGGATGAATAGACTAAAGGCATTGCATGGCAGAACCGGAGCTCCGAACATCTTGAAGGGAATCGAGCAAATCCAGAAAATATGGAATTTGAAATCAGCTATTCGGTGGACTAGTCTACTTGGCGGGCCAAGCCAGGCTCTCATCATGTAGCACTGAATGTGCATTCAATCACATGTCTATCCACATACTATTTCTCATGTCTCTACGCCTTTTCTTGTTCCCGAGAGACTGAGCCAATGACGAGTTCCTTGAACCCGGCCGGGAGAGAATTGGGGATGAGTACCCAGATCTGAACAGAATCTATCAATGACTCTGGCCAATGTCTGTAATCTAAGATCTACTTAATGATGCTGCCTGAATATAAACCAATAATAAGAATTATATTCAAATGGTTATTCTGGTGATTTACTATATAGAACCAACATGACTGTGAAAATGAGATCTTGGTATAGTAGAACGAGTGTCTAAGCTTGTGCTCACCATCAAATTCCTTTACAAGGATTGATACCCTCATTTCTAAGCTACACCCCTACCTATTTTATCTCTAATTAACTACTCCCACTCCATTCTGGCCCTCTGGGTCTACTCTGGCTGTACCACTGATTTAGCTAAATTGCCCCGTCTTCAGCGGAGAATTCGTACAATTGGATGGATTGTGGCAAAGATCACATAGGCTTCTGCCTCCAAGGACTGCTCAAGGTCTTCAAAAATGTGTGCTTCGATGAGTTCAGGGGCGACTGAGCAACTACTTTCAGTAAATACTAAAAGTTCCCCGATATGTCACTCAATCAAAGGTTTCATCGGCTTCGTCGTAATTATCGGGCTTGGCGTGTCTGGGGGATGCTCCATGCAAAGACACAAAAAGTGTTTTGTTCACGACATCTGGACTAGAATCGGATCACTCCAAATGTCAACTGATTTGTTCATGTTTGTCTTCTTTCCCGGCCTTCCTTGGTGGTCCTGCCAGGTTTGAAAGTCTGTTATTGCCGCCGCCACTGCCACCTATATTACGGCAGGAAGTCAATCGTCTAGGTCGAATGGCCAGATGGACTTTAGGTCCTGTTCGGTTTGAATCGGCTCATCATCGCCCGAAGGCTCGTTCGTTGATACAGCATGGAGGATCCCGATGAACGTGTCCTTCTGTGCTGATTTGGTTGCCTCCCAGTTCTCGAGAGGAACCCATCCATCAGATGCGATGTCAAGCAAGCTTGACAGATCACGTCTCAGATTTTGCGCCGCCTCAAAGTACCTGTACTCCTTTTGATGAACGGACAATTCCTCCAGAGTAGGTTTGGCATATGCGCATGTACCCACAAAACCTAACTCCGTCCAGTGACGAGACGTTTCGATCAGTTCATGGCGTAGAGCCACGGCGCCATCCTTCCACGTCCGGTAGCTGTAGCGAAATGGTCGAAATAAATTTTCATCCATCGAACGAGGGCCGGAAAGCTTCGGTGTCAGAAATTGCGAGCAAAGATTGAAAGCCCTGGTACATAGGTCGTGGTCCGGATCAACCGGCGTTGCAAAATCTGGTACCTCATCCGCATACCAAAAAGCTGGCTCGATACTACCGGCTTGCCAATCAAGTATAGCTGTCAGTTCTGCGGGATCCTCCTCCGAAACAAATATGTTCCGCTTGTGGAGATCTGGATGGAATAACACCGGTGTAGCAGCGTCCTGAATCCGAGGATCGGCTGACATTTGTTTGAGCACGGCGCGGCCACACTCCAGCAGGGTATTGTGCGTTCGAACAGATCCCTGATATAGTGGTTGCTTCTCGGTCTCAGAATCGATCAAAGGAATCCTTGAAAGACCAGCATCGATGAGACCGTCGCAATATGCATTAAGATTGGTCCCTAAGTTGAACTTGTAAGTAGACTCTCAAGTCTCAGGAGTCGAAAGTCCGCGCGAAACGTACATGGCCCACGATTGGGTCTCGTGCGATGGTAATATCGAGGCTCGCCAACATTGCAGTCCCAATAGCGAGGTCCGCAATGGGGCCCGATACAGAAGTCCTCGTCCAGGAAGATCTTGGAGGCAGGATCAAGCGGGGTATCAGCAAAATATAGGCACCCAAAAGCTGGAAAATCCATGTCAACCACTTCTTTGAGCTTCCGATAGATAGCATCTATGCATCTGACTTGCTGATCGTCAGCCATAGCGGGCCATATCTTGTGCAATTGAACACCGACAGCATGTTCCATGATGATGTATTCGGCACCAATGCGATTGCGAGCATCGTTGCTCCAGTCAAGGATGCTTGGTACAGGGATGCTGGTCCTGGTTTGTACTGAATCATTTGATCAGCTGTCCTGCCATTCCATAGACTCTGGGTGCCAATTTACAATACTTAATCGTGGCAACCTCAGATGCTGTGACGAGCGTGGGCGGTCCAGCCGGTACAAATGGAAGCCTGGCTACGATCTGCTTGGAATTATCCATGGTAAAAATAAAAACTCGGTTGAATCCTCCTTCCATTTTAACATAACTCGCGATCAATTCTGCTCCGGGACATAGTTCAATAACTCTGCGGCAGAGCGCGTCGAAATCAAACTTTATATGGCGAGCATCTCGCTGCAGCTTATCGCCACGAAGCCACCGGCCACTCGTGTAATTGACAGGATCAGGTTTTGTATCTACGAATGTGAGCTATTATGGCAATCATTGATGTTATGGGGATGGATGTTCACGATATTCTGAGCTCGCATCCATCTCACGGTTGGTAGACATTTGTGCGCAATGACCAGGTCGCTGCATTGGATTCAATCGGTAGCCGAAACATTGGCGTCTATCTGTGCAAATTGACCTGAAGGGTGCAAGGTCCACCAGGCACAAAGGGCGAGCAAAAGAATTGTTTTTCCACAATACCTGACGTGTCATGCTTAGACTCATGCGACTGTGCAGGTCAAAGAAGCAGAGGGAAGAAGGCACAGCAGGAGGTATTCCAGAAGGGAAACGGTCTCTGTTACACACTTGATCCAGCCGAACGCTGACGCTAGCTTTCCTCAGCCTCCTCGATTCTCGCCCCCGATCACCTACTAACTATAGTTACTTTAACTACGTATAATAGTTGCCATGGTCCCGCTCCTAAAGCGGCCCGAAAGCGAGAGCTTAGCTAGAGCTCAAAAGCTGACGATTGGCTCAAGCCCCAAGGTATTATAGATACCGCAGGGAGTGACCTAAGGGGATACCGTTGCGATTGCTTGTTGTGCCTCGAAGCTGGCATTTGCATGATTGGGTTGCTAAGTGCTCTTTCCACCGAGAAGAGGATGTGTGCAAAAGCATGACTCACACTATAGAGGAAGAAACGATATGGACAACCTGTCTGATTGGTGTTTAGTCTGAAGAGACTCTCAGCCATGAAAGCGGCACAACAGTCAGGTGGAGGAAAATGTACCACCCGCATATCCCTGTCAGCAACCTGGCAGCATTATTGGTGTGGTGGAGGGAGGGAGGGAGGGAGGGAGGGCGAAGTCCAGCCAGAGAAAGGAAACACAGTTGCACGTTTTATCTTGGAAAAAGCATCGATAGAAAACCAAACTGTATACGCAAGCGCCCAACCGCGTCCCTGTGTGATTCTTCATATCGCGTTGATGAGGCTGTGGCTTGAAGGGCATGGACCAGTCACAATCGCGGATTTCGGATAAACCATGCAAAATTCCAGAGTTGATACAGACTATGCTCGCCCTCCCTACTACACCCACGAATAATTAAACTCTCAGCTTTGTTTTTGGGGCAGCCTAAATGCCGTTCAGGGCATGAGGCACAGCATTTCAACCTCCACAAATGAAGGCTTTCGCTGTAGGAGTGTATATCACCCGCTTCCTAACCTCCGCAGCCACACCACCAATATTTCGAACCCTCCTGAGCGCAGAGAGCGACATCAAAGGACGTCTTGGCGGTTCTGGCTTTTGAGCAATCATGCAGTCAGCAAATCTGACACGGGTCACTCGTTCATCGACGGATCGACCAGTGTGTATTTGCTATTAGCACCAGTCCTGCGCTGACAAGTGGGTGTGCCGAATATATATAATTGGTGAAATTCCAAGCATACTTGCAAGATGACTGCTGGAACATTTAGATTTGGCAACAATGACAAAGAAAAAATTCTATGCTGTTTACAGAGGGCAATGTGAACCGGCCCCTGGAATCTTTGACAGTTGGTATGTATGTGAGCGGTTCAGGAAATTCTCACACCATAGCTGAAGTCATGTCTTGACTATAGGGCAAAAGCAAGTCCTTTGGTGACTGGCTGCAAAGGGAATTGCCACAAAGCATTCACGACCCTTGAGGAAGCGGAGAAGTGGATGCAACTCAAAGGCGTGAGCCCACCATATTACATGGATATAGACGATAAATCCATGATCACAACACCTATTTTCAAGTCCGAAGGACCTTTTCATGCTGTTTCCGAAGGACGAGAGCCCGGCGTTTATCCGAATTCGTGGTAAGGAGAATGTATCGGATGGAAGAGCTGACGGCTAACTTGAGATAGGCCCGATGCAGAGATGCAGGTGAAAAGATTTTCTGGTGCATGCCACGTACGTGTTGGGTCCAGGGAAGAGGCAGAGCATTTCAATAAGACATATAAAATACGGAAATTTCATGTCGATGAAACGCGGCGGCGGCAGAAAGCTAGTGATGAAAGCAAGCTTGACGGTGTCATTTCTTCTATGCGAGGACTTGATCTCTAAGCCGGCAATCCACTGGCAATATGCTTCAAAAGGAGGATCTATACCTAAGTTGTGACCTGTTTGCATACCAATATGCTTTCTGATTGTACTGAAATTCAGTCATTACTATATATTTTAGCCTATATGTCGAGTTGAATTTTTACTTTTCGGCATTTTTATTGTATAAGAGGTTGTCCATGGTCTCAGGTCCAAAAACCCCTCTATTTATATCTAATGATAAAGACTTTATGTTATTTATTTTAATTTTCACTTTATCTCAAGGAAAATACAGCCTGAACATCACATTGCATATCTGACTATTAATAAAATCCACCGCAAGTTCAACGTGTCACGGTCAGCATAACCTACAGCAGACCCTCCGCTGGCCCCCGTTGACAATGAATATGAAGATCAACTAGCCTCCCGCTATACTCACGAACAGAAAACTAGGAAATGCATGTCATTGATAGGTTTAATAAAATAGTTTCATCAAACAATCATTCATGAGAGCTTTGAGAGCCTGAAGTGTGGTTTTTCCGTCATTTCTCTGAAAGTCTCATTTTACATTCCACAATGGGCTTAGTGAGGGGTCTACTCGATAAGTAAATGCTTTATCTGATGCATGTGAAACTAAGATAACCCTAATACTTGGCCCTAACCTGTTTATGGAAAGTAAAAGGAGACAAATGTCTGTTGTCAGGAATGTCAGGGATCTCCGGAAAGTCACACTCGGAGAGTAAGAAAGGGTCACCGGGCCGGGTTGACGGCTTTACTTTTGACAGGGGATATTGATATCTTTCGCCGATCCTATGGCCGTGGTAAGATTCCGACCCCAAACCCCCTCCCCCCTCCTCAGGGATGTCTTTAGGGCGTTTACATTGCTATGACACCCACTTTGTATGCAGTTATACTGTTAGTGGATAACGCAGATAACGGGAGGATCTGTATTTGCTCGGGAAAGCCCTACTTCTTATGGAAAGTAGAATGAGAAACGGTCAAGGGTTGGATGTGAATCAATCTTGGATCAGTTGAGGTCGGCAAGCTGTCGAGACTCTCCAACCCTTAAGAGGATGATAATGGGATAGTGGGACTGGGCATTGCATACACTAGGCTGCTAGCTCAAAGATATCGTAGGCCTTGGAAGACGATAACGGGGTTCAAACACCGAATATATATATGGAAAAGGAAGAACACGTCCGAAAACAAAACACATCTACCATCAGCATTTCTTTCTTCCTTCGAGTTCATTTCTATAACCTCGCAATTTATCTTCTTTCTGGACGCTTGAGGGCACAGGTCGTCTGTACCGGTTTGTTACAATTATGTCGCCTTCAGCATACGTCGATACCCCTGTCGATACTCCTGTCGATACTCCTGTCGGTGAAATTGACATTGTCAACAATCTCAATCCTAGCCTGAGTTCCGTGCTTTACCGCTCCCTCGGACAAAAGCCTCCAGTCGTTGTCAACGGTGATGGCAATTACCTTTACACCAACGATGGCCGGCAGATTCTTGACGCAACTGGTGGTGCTGCAGTCGCATGTATTGGCCATAACAATGCACGAGTAAAAGCAGCCATTGCCAAGGAGCTTGACAGTGTGTGCTATTGCTATACCCAATTCTTCACGACTCCTCCGGCAGAGAAACTTTCCAAGTTTCTGACCGATTCTACGCACGGCCAGCTGAGCCGAGCATTTATTGTCAGTTCAGGTGCGGGATCCTATGGTCTGGCCATATGTCGTGATCATGCGCAGACCGGCTGACCATATATAATCCAGGTTCCGAGGCAATTGAAGCTGCATTAAAAATGGCGCGGCAATATTTCATGGAGCTGCCACAGCCCCAGCCCGAGCGTGTCCGTTTCATCGCGCGCAAGCAATCTTATCACGGTAATACCCTGGGAGCGCTTGCCGCTGGATCCCATGTCGCCCGCAAGGCAATCTATACGGATATGCTTAGCAGTAACGTGTCTCATGTGTCGCCCTGCTATCCCTACCGAGACATGAAAGAGTCGGAGAATGAAGAAGAGTATGTAACACGCCTGGCGGCGGAGCTCGACGCGGAATTTCAGCGAGTAGGGCCTAATACTGTGTGTGCATTCATTGCTGAAACAGTTTCTGGAGGCGTAAGTTTCTTCAAATCTTGCCCAAACCGTACCGTTGTGGCGACATTTCCCGAAACGCAGAGTCGTGGCCAATATGCTAATTATTTCCACCAGACTCTTGGATGTGTCCCGCCTGTTCCCGGCTATTTCAAGGCCATGAAGGCCGTCTGTGATAAATACAATGCCTTGCTCCTCATGGACGAGGTCATGTCTGGAATTGGACGCACAGGCAGCCTTCACGCATGGGAGCAGGAAGGTGTTGTGCCCGATATTCAAAGTGTTGCCAAAGGTTTGGGCGGCGGTTATGCCCCAATTGGTGCTCTTCTTCTTAACAAGCGTGTTGTGGGTGTCTTAGATTCTGGTACAAAGGTCTTTGCACACAGCCAGACGTATCAAGGGCACCCGCTGGCTTGTGCCACTGCATATGAGGTCCAATCTATCATCAAAGAGCAGAACCTGGTCGCCAATGTCAAAGAGCTTGGGCCCTATCTCGGCGAATTGCTTGAGACTGAATTGAGTGATCATCCCAACGTTGGCAACATCCGTGGTCGTGGCTTTTTCTGGGGTGTAAGTCCTTGATACGGTATATCCTTTTTTCCCCTTCTAGGACAGTCGGTTCTGACTTGTAATCTTCTATTAGTTAGAATTCGTAGAAGATAAAACCACCAAGAAACCCTTCCCGGCAGCGAAGCAGGTGGCTTGGAAGATGCATGCTACTGGCATCTTGCCAGAACATAGTATCTCTTTGATGCCAGGAAATGGAACTGCTGACGGAAAAGATGGTGACCATATCATCATTGCTCCGTCGTATATATCAACAAGATCGGACCTTGAGGAAATTGTCAAGCGGACAAAGGAAGTAGTCAACCATGTCCTTGGTTAATTAAGTAAGATTATATTAACCACCCAACATAAACGTTAAAAGGAAGGCCAAAGTATGGGAAATTTCACCAATTCCAAGGCCTGGCGAAGCGGGAGTCCATTGGTAGTGATTGCGTTGTATGTTTCTCCAAACTTCACTGTTCCTGGTATCGTTGCATGAGGGCACGCCCGGCGGCGCTGCCATGGAAGCCAACTGGGGAAGGCAAAGGCCGACGTAGAAGGAAATTGAGCTGAATATTGCTGTTGATCTTCTCGGTCATGAGAGTTGACTATAGTACAATATCACCCGAAGAATGGTCTTTGGGAATTGGGATGCAGAAAGATTTTGAAAATAAGATCCTGACGAGACATGTCTGATTGAGTCCAGTCTGAGACCAGAATCAAAATATTTCTCGCTATGCCCAAAAGTTTTCTCCAAGCCACGCTGCGTCCCCCCCATAAATGTGCTGTCAACAAGTGATGCAAATAAAGGGTATATCTTCGCAGAAATAAAGATGTTGCAGAGTGAGCAGTCCGTTCGACGTTTCTGTTCTGAACTTGCTACGAATCGTAGCATGCTCCCTAATTGAACTCATGAAAAAATTACGCTGTTGGAGTAGCATGGATGACGACTAGGAGGAATTTCTTGTCTGCGTTACGAAGGCAAAGTCAGTCATGGACTCTCATTCCTTCAATTCAATATTATGTCATGAGAGTGATCTGCACGAGCAGCTGTCGGCCTCCGTAGATGCTCGCATGAAACCACATACCAGGAATTATGACAATTTCATTATTCTTCGTCCGTAATCTCAACAATTTCACATCATCCAAAGCTGCTCCTCGCTGCTCAGACTGCCCCCGCACATAGCCATTGATTGTTGAATCACGGTCCTGCTCTCCGTCGCCCTCATTATGTATCAATAAGTCCCTTGCCAGTCCACCTGCGGCGCTCAGAAAACTCCAGACTTTGCGCGCTACTTCTTCGGCGGACATTACCCCCGCTGACGCGTGACTTGACCTCGGCCGAGCAGGCAATCCGTTTCGCTCATCTGATCCGCGGTTGACGAGACCGGTATCAATGCCCACAGAACTAGACGTTTGGTTGCCGTTTATTTGGTCTGCAGAAATGGATGGAGGGAGAGCACTGTTAGGGTTCGAATTGGTAGTAGAAGACGGCAGCCCAGATGAACGAATTATGGCGCCGGTTTCGCGTGATAAGATGAGGACGCTCTGGACGCCGGGCTTTTGGGAGAGGCGGTTTAGAAGGTTTGTTGCTTCTTCCGTCGCGGTTTGCGCCATGTTGTCGACTGTTGGAAAGCGTTATACTATGCGGCTTTTGGCCTGTCTCTAGCTGTGGCAGTGATTTGTTAGGCCAATAACCTTGATAAGAGCCGCAAGTAGTCCTAATCCATGAGCTGTACGGATCAAGACCTGTACACAGGCTGGTCGAATGAGGTTTGGAGGTTAGTTATTGTTTACCGCAATTGACTGGGGGCCTTAAGCGGCATTGTTGCACTGTACCTACTCCGTACCTCCTACGTATTATTGTAAGCGACGCTAGCGAGGAGATCGCCTTTTGCGTTTATCGATAAAGCCATCAAATCAAACCCTCACGATTTCTTCTTTCAATTTTGGCCACTGCATATTCCCGTCCAATCAATATGGGCTCCAGCGCAAAAAAGAAGAAGGAGAAGAAGCAGGATTTTCAGGTGGGATTTACTAACGAAAAATTTGTCCTCCAAGAGTAATTTACTGACAAAACAAACAGAAAGCGAAGCTCAAAGTCGGCAAGACAAAGCCCAAGGCATCGAATTTTACGGACACTAGTTTCAGTTCTAAAGGTGCGTAAGAAAGCCTTTATCAAAACCCTTTCTCTTCAAATCTGGAATGTACTTGCGAATCCGTGGGGTTCATTGGGCTAAGAAATCCACAGCTATCGTTGTAAACCAGCAATCTCTTGCCGCAAATGCACCAACTCAAGCCGCGCTGTTCAATCATCACCTCTCTTTGCTTACGCACCGCTCTGACACACAGCGACGAGAATCTCTTTCATTCCTGACGACTGCACTTTCTACGCGACCTGTTCACACACCCCCGCCGCAGCCATTTGGGGTCATACTTCCGAAACTTTTCCCACTCGTGCTCGATGGTTCTGGCGGCGTTCGGCAGCAGCTCCTCAAGTTAGTGAAATGTTTATCGGGTGATGAGGTCGATGACCATGTCGATGAAATTCTTCTCTACATTCGGGCCGGGATGACGCACCTGGCTCCCGACATCCGAAGTTCGTCGCTCGACCTGCTCGAATGGCTTTTAGATGTGTCAGGATTGGAAGTAGTATCATGTGCGGGAGGGTGGGTGAAAACGTTACAATGCTTCCTGGCACTGCTGGGATGGCGGGTGGAGACTGGTACAGCGTCGAAGTGGACATCGACGTCCACGTCGTTGGCAGGGACAGCGAAGCCGACTTTTGGAAAGGCGGGATCAGACGGCAAATACCTAGTGAAGAAATTGCATGCGCTGGCACTTTTCCTCCGTACGGGCCTTCTCCCGCCAACGGAGGATGGATTGATAGGAAAACAAGACATCATAACGTTTCCACTCTGGCAAACAGAGCAGCATCTTTTACCGAAGCGCTCGGCATGTTTCGCTCACCTGAACCTCTTTGGCGCACCACGAGACGAAGAAAGTGAGATGTACGAGGACAGAGAAGATCGGCAGGGCATTTTTGCTGAGAAGTTCCAGCCGACAATTGAACGGGGGTTGGACAATGCGAGAAAGGAAGGCGGTGAGGTAGGACGGGCCGCGGCCAGTGTTCGGAAAGCCGTGTCCGAAGGAATGGAAGGTTATTCAAGGGAGTTCTGAATTTACTACACTCAAAGTCTTCCTGTTCCAGCGCCTGCGATTGATTTAATACTTATGATACCCTTTAAAAAATTATAAGAAGCGTCATCAAGAGGGGTGTTTTAATGGCCCAGAGTGAAGCGGCTCTTGTCTTTCGTGGGTGACAACAGCCCAGTAAGTAGAACTGTAAAACCTATCTGGGGATGCTTTGATGCAATTTAATATAATCTTTAAAACAAACGTATCTATATCATGAAGTTAACCATATCTCAAACCTTATGATTGGAATTTAGATTTTTCTAAAACTATTTGAACTTCTGGAATATAGACATATTCTTGAAGTCTTGAAGTACTTTAGTAAAGCTGGCCAATTAAAATAGTTACCTGAGTTACCTACATTAGTTTAGGGTCTTCTAAAGTTTAGGTACCTACCTAGGTAGTAAGTGAATATGAATTGAGGGTGACCATCTGAGTTTAAACTTAAGCTATTAGCCTAAACTATTTCCTTGTATCATCTCTTTCAACCAAGTCTAGCACCCATTTCATTCTGTTACTGATGAGTGTTTGACTACCTACCTAGGTATTGACTTATTTGATCATACCTTGAAACTTTCAAGGATTTTAAATCTTTTGAACAGGATAACCAAATAGTACCTTTCAGGGGCAAATTATCCTGTTACGCGACGGGCTCGAAGATACGCGCCCAGTGACCCGGTCGCGACTCTCAAGTGTAAGTCACTACAAGATTTTCTTTTCTACTTCCTTTAAACTGCATTATAAATCAGTGCCAGAGTCTCGGCTTCTGAGAAAGACCAATATCTTGTCCAGAAGAATATGCTTTCCAGTACCATCATTCTTGATTTAAGCTAGCAGGTTCAGACTTGGACCTGAGCCAAGCTGGCTCCAGGTACCTGCTGGCTTAACCAAACAATGAAGCCTGCCGGTCTGAGAAAGTCGAGCTTGATATTCATGTGCAATAATCAGGGGTATGAGACTCTGCCTGAAATGTTGAGTGGGCATTCTTAGATATCTCAGTTCGACTTTTTCGAGTTTACGTCTGGAAGCTGGAGCTTTAGCCTCGATTCATTGGTCTCTTTATAAAGATACCAGTCTGAGTGCTCTAATCTCTGAAAGTGCTCGGGGTTACAGATATCCCTCTCACACTCCACTCACCCCGAAGTTGGCTTTCTATGGCAAAAATAAATGAACACTAACAAAATAATTTCAAGGTCAAGATGAGCTCGAAGCTTCGGCCGCGGGCGCAGCGAAATGGCAACAGCGGTGGCCTTTTTGTGGACGAGAACGATAGATCAGCACCCAGCATAGCATATGAGCCAGCTATTAAGCCAGATGTAGATGCTGAGGTTCGCATCGACGATGATGACTTTGAAGCCGAGGATGGTGAAGAGGAAGAAGATGATGGGACATATGAACCTAAGACAGCGATCAGTGAGCCCATGCAAAGTCAGCGCCGCATCGGAGAAATCATAAGTGAGTTCTTACCCTGAGAGTGACCACAGACCCAAAAGTTCGATCAGAGAAAGTCATTCAATTCCATCTCTGTTCATATTATCAGGTCACGTGTCTGATCAATCCTAGGGATTCTGAATTCGCGGTATCTCGAACTCAGTCCGGACTACCAGCGAGGTGTCGTTTGGAATGGTAAGCTCCTTGAGAAAATGAGGCACAGGGGGAATTGCGACCTTACTGATCTCAAAATGTTTAAAGAGTCTCGGATGAGTGCCCTAATTGAATCTTTCATTGGTCAGTTTCCCTCTCAATGGACTCTGATGACCTGGTTCACAGTCGCAAACCGCAAATCATTGCTGACATTTCCGTGTCAGAGAACTTTTACGTTCCGCCAGTGATCTTCAATGTTGTCAGGCTCGCTGATGAAGGCGACGAAGCACGGTACAAGCGCATTTGCGTAGATGGAAAACAGCGTCTTACCTCTATACGTGAATTTCTTGCCGGAAATATACCAATACGGGATAAGCATGGTAGAAAATGGTACCTATGAGCTCTATCAGTTGCCTCAAAGTCATGAAGCTAAGCTAATCCTGGATGAGGTACTACGTTGATAATGGCAATGGCAAGTCCGGGCGCCGAGTGTTACCGGAATCTGCAAAACATCAATTCCGCAACAAGAGTGTTGTCTGTTATGAGTACCAAGATATGGGTCGGGAGCACGAGGAGGACCTGTTTGCCCGAGTTCAAGAGGGCGTTACATTGACCGCCGCTGAGAAGCTCCGAGCGACATCCGGTCCCTGGCAGAGCTTCATCAAAGATTATGAAGAAGATTATCCTACAGTTGCGGGCCGTATGTTTCTTCTCCCAATTTTCTGACTATTACAGGTACTGATCATATTCTCCCCTTCAGTGATTAAGAACAAGCGTTCAGGTGGATTTAGAAGCATAGCATCTTGCTTTGCGCAAATAGTCGCCGTGCGAACCACCCCTAAAGGACGAATTCCAGCCGTGAAAAGTAGCGAGAGCGTTCTCGAGGCCTTGTTCAAGCAAACGTATCTCCTTACGGAAGACGCACAAGAGCTTTTCCGAGAAGTCTTTAACCTCTTCGCCAGGCTCATTCGTGACTGGCCTCATTTTTTAAAGGAACATGACACTCTTAAGCATACAAAATCTTTCTCCCCTATTGAGTTTTCGGCTGTTGGGGTACTTCTGTCATTATATTACCTGCATCGTGGTAGGGCACAGCTGGCCGAGGACATCCATCGGCTCCGAATTGTTCTTCGAGAAAACTTTACTGAACTGAAACTGAACAAAAGAACCTGGGAATTTGTTTGGGACTACATCGACGGTATTCAAAAACTCCGCGATGAGGCGCCTATTTTCTCAACACCGAAGCCCCCAGCCCAAGCAAAGGGAATCGCGGCAGGTGATGAATCCACACATGATGCGCTTCCTGCCAGCGGCAAAGCGAGCAGCCTTACCCGTCAACGCCCCAGGAAATCTACAGCCGCCGGACGGGAGATCGACCGCGAAGCTGGAGAGAGACCCCCTCTTTCACGCGTTGATCAAGATGATAATGGCGACGGTGGAGCAGGAACTCATGCACAACCCTTGGACGGTTCTCATGATAATGACCTAACTCGAAACCTCGGCCAGGGCCTGAGTGGGAAAAAACCAAAGCTGGCGCGTTTCAATACTAGTGAAGGTAACACAGGTGGCTCTGGCCGGGCTATCGTTCCGAATGGAGATGGCCGAAGCCGCGGCGGAGTCGAAAACAACAACACTCCCTCCGCCAGATTACATCGTCCTGATACATACGCGAAAACCCCGGCTGGCGCTCCTCCTGCGCCCGGACAGGCCCCCGTCGCTGACATGGGCCGCAATGATCAATCATTCTCTACTGCGCAGTCCTCTACTCCTCTCAGTAGCATGAGCAAGCGTCGGCTTGCTCAACTCGAAAGCAGCAACGACACGCCTATCAAGCGAACTAAGGGCCTGGCTGCTCGCCCAAGATTTGACTAGAGGAGATTTCACCTGCCCATCTCTTTCTTCAATTTTATTTGCCGAGGCGTCGAATTTACCGTTGAACAGCCTGCTGGCATTCATCACAGACCAAAAAGTAATCCGAACATTCGACATTCCAAAGCGACCTAAAAATGGACTAAAAACCCTTCAATCTCAGTTCTACTCTATTGCTCTTCGAACTTAAATGTTGTTTCTTTAGCCATTGTCAGCAACGCTAAAATTATTCGCGCGCCTTTATTGTCCGCTTCACTCGCAAGATACCTTATGCATTCTACTGCTTTATGTGGGCCTACTTTTTTCCAGGAAGAGGGATTCGGAGTTACAGCATCAAGCGATAAGCGTTTTTCCAAAATCCTTACTTTTGATGTCCAAAATAGCGCTAGCATGAGGTGCCTCTCATAAACTCTTGTTCTATACTCTTTCTTCCATTGGTGTGCTCATTTCCTTCGTCTGTCATCATCTAAGAACCTTCTACTTATACTGTGATCCTGTGGTTTCGAAACTCATGTCAACATCCTGTATCAGCGTTGTGTGCAATTGGTTTTTTTTTTTTTTTTTTTTCGGTGTTTATCTTCAAGATAGTTGTCCCTTTTCGGAGCCCATTGGAGCGCATAATTACTCATCTGCATTTCCAGAGATGCTGCTTCTATCACATACCTAATTCGTCGCCATAGTAGGATGGTACAACTTAATCAATTTCTTTTTTCTTAGAGCAACAGCGCTATTCAAATCTGCATCCGCCTTTCCCTTTCTTTTCCCAAAAGTTCGTCCGCCTAAAAGATAGCTTTTTCTTCGAATTAATACTAGAAGCATGAAATTCCCGGCTTGATTCCCTCATACTACCACGCGTGCTGAGATAGGACTCCAGTGACGACCATAGAGTCATATATTCATCAAACTCAAAAACGCCGAGGAATCAGAGATGCAAAAGTTTCTCAACGTTGGTAATAAATAAACGATTCTGTTCTGATCATGTACAGGGTATCTTAAAATTGACTAAAAGCATAAATCATTGATCGCCCTTACTGCTCTGCGCAATATCCATTCGCCAAATCTAATGTAACGCCATGACGTTGAATACAATATAATCACTTCCCGCGCGGCACACCTATCGCAGATTTCGATCGAAGGTATTCTGAACGAATTATGAGGTTGCTGCAGGCGGGTTTGTATCCTGGTCAGGTGCGGCATGCAAGTCTTGCTTGTCTTGCCTCTCCGACCGCCTTTTTTGCTTTTGCGCTCCAACCGGGAAACGCTTCACTGACCCACAAGCCTTGCACTCGACCACGAGCAAGTCCGCCCAAGGTTTCTTTCCGCCACGACTGTGGTTCTCAAGCCGTGTCGTGGATGTGGAGCCCGGAATTAACAGCGTATCACAACGCCGACATATCGAACGTTTTAGCTCAGGGGAGAGTCGGATTTGAGATTTAAGAGAAACGCCGCGAAGCTGGGAGATGAGGCGCCGAGAGTGATGGGAACAATATAATGATGATGTAGAGGCACCAGAAGGGTTTTCGTCCGAAATTTTATGAGAACCGTCTTGTTCTTGCTTAGATGTCGATTTCTCGAGCCCAGAAGTGTCAATTTGCATTGTGTCAGAGTCCGCTGTACTAATATTGTGGCTATTTGATTGCCTTGGTGTTTCCGTCACCGTAGTCGAGGGTTTATGGTATGGTTGGCTCGCAATATATGCCGCTGCCTGATAAAGAAATGAAATTCTTTGGTGTAAATGCTTGTTTGGCACATTCTGCGCATTCTGCGCAGCAGAATTTGCCGTGCCTTTCGCCATTTGATGCTGGGAAGTCCGTTTGAGCTGTTGTTTGTGTCGTGGCTCAATGTTTCTTTCTTGAAGCGACACAGCCGGATTTGGCTTAGCGTAGAATCGATCGTCGGCAGAGCCGCCTCAGCTTGACTCTGATCAGTATCGGCCAGGTTCTCTTCTTTCAACCTCCTTCCCATCGCTTCAACCTCCATCCAGTTTCGAATTTCATTCCAAATTCATCTCATTTTTGACTTTAGGGGATTCTCTTTCTGAATACCTCCATTGAGGGCTTTGCAGCGACAAAACTGCCCCAAGATTTTCCTCGGATCGGTCGTCTTTCCGCACTCGACCCTCTCTGACTCTGCCGGATCTGCAGAGGCAACACCTTGTTCGCAACGACCATCGCTGACGCTTTTTTCCCCTGCTTTACTTTCCATCTTTGGTTTTCCTAAGCTTTTCGCGTTTTTCGATCAGTCATAATGTCTCACGAAGAGGATCTCATCGACTACTCGGACGAGGAAATCACTACCACCAATGCTAATGCGCCCGCCGCCGCGTCGGCCGGTGCCAACGGTGATGCGAAGAAGGGTGATCTGAACGTCCCCGCTGGTGCTGAGAAAAAGGGTAGCTATGTTGGCATCCACACCACTGGATTCCGCGACTTCTTGTTGAAGCCAGAGTTGCTTCGTGCCATTACGGATTGCGGTTTCGAACATCCATCGGAGGGTCAGTCTTAAGTTTTTCTCCCAAGCTTCATCTACTTTCATCCCTCTGTCAGCGTCCGTCCGTTCGTCCGTTCGTCCATCTACATGTATCGCGCAAATGAAATTGTGAGTCCGCTCTGGTGCGGATTTCTGCGGGTGGCGATAGGAAGCCTCTGAGGGCTGGCTATACTGCATATCGACTGTGGATAGCATTCAACCGGCGCATATACTCGCGTGAAGGCACCGATACTAGGGATTGCCCTTCCTGATCTTCTCCTGAAAGGATGAAAGGTCATCTCATGGCGTTAGTAAGGCGAGATATCCAAAGAGGCTTCCGGACCTGCTCCGCCCATATGCCTCATCAGAGGCGGGCGTTTCGCCGCTACCACCGGTTGGCGGTAGAAGAGAGACTTGAATTTTCGCACCGCTTCATCTGCCTTTGCACAGAGCGCAGGTGCTGAAACCCTTTCAACATACTTGACTCGTATCAATGTCATTTGTGTGTCTTGTACATTCATCTTGAGACGGACGGGCGGACGGTGGAGGCTTTTCGTTGTTGCAAATTTCATGGCACGGAATTAAAGTCTAACACGCGCATCGATTCATCCCTACAGTTCAGCAAGCCGTCATTCCTCAGGCTATTCTCGGTACCGATGTCATTTGTCAGGCCAAATCTGGTCTTGGAAAGACTGCCGTCTTCGTCCTCACGACTTTGCAGCAGATTGATCCCGTTCCGGGTGAGACTTCGGTGATTGTTATGTGCCACACCCGTGAGTTGGCATACCAAATCAAGAACGAATACGCTCGTTTCAGCAAATATCTTCCGGATGTCAAGACTGCTGTCTTCTACGGTGGTACCCCTATGCAAAAGGACATTGAGACCCTTGCAAACAAAGACACCCACCCCCACATCATCGTCGGCACCCCTGGTCGTCTGTGCGCTTTGGTCCGCGATAAGCGTCTTCGTTTGGGAAGCGTTAAGGTCTTCGTCTTGGACGAGTGCGATAAAATGCTGGATCAAGTTGGTAAGCCAAACATATGTTCTTGTATTCCTCGACGACCACTGATTAAAGCCCCTTTGCGGTAGACATGCGTCGTGATGTTCAAGAAATCTTCCGCGCTACTCCTTCCTCGAAGCAAGTCATGATGTTCAGTGCCACTCTCTCTCAAGAGATTCGACCTATCGTCAAGAAGTTCATGCAGTCTCCTCTTGAGCTGTACGTCGACAACGACACGAAGCTCACTCTTCACGGTTTGCAGCAGTACTACATCAAGCTCGCTGAAGGCGAGAAGAACAGAAAGCTGAATGACCTGCTTGACAGCCTCGAGTTTAACCAGGTCATCATCTTTGTCAAGAGCACTGTCCGTGCTACTGAGTTGGATAAGTTGCTTCGTGAATGCAACTTCCCCAGTATCGCGGTGCACTCTGGTGTTAGTCAGGAAGAGCGGTAAGTAACTCATATCAGCTCGAGTGAGACAGTGGCTGACTTTTTCGCAGTATCAAACGTTACAAGGAATTCAAGGAATTCAACAAGCGAATCTGCGTCGCTACCGATGTCTTCGGCCGTGGTATTGATATTGAACGTATCAACTTGGCCATTAACTACGACTTGCCCGCGGACGCCGATTCGTATCTTCACCGTGTTGGCCGTGCCGGTCGTTTCGGTACCAAGGGTCTCTCAATCTCCTTTGTCAGCAGCGAGGCAGACCAGGAGGTGTTGAAGCAGATCCAGAGCCGATTCGCTGTGGAGCTTCCGTAAGCCAGACCTTATCCTTTTGATACATGATTGACCGTACTAATCCTGTCGCAGCGAGTTCCCTGCCGATGGTATCGATGCTAGCACTTACATGGCAAACTGAGGTGTTGGTACAGGAAATTGGGACAAAAGGGTGACGATTGATCACGGCGAAGTTGCGGCTTTGAATTTGACTATCTATGCTGTTTCAGGTTTTCCTTGTGGACTTTTTCAATCTTTCTTTTTTCTTCTCCCCTGATCACATGTAATCTTATGGTAAAGAAAAAAGTCGAGAGTCTTTGTCTAAGGCGCGGCGCCAAATTCTCAATGTGCTATTTTACGTGATCTTCAACCGTTGAAGGAAATATGCCGCGTGATATCATGACCAGCCTTTATTTTTCTTGGTTGGCTGAGGACTGTATGTTTAACACCGTGGTTTGACTACAGATAACCTCTGTGGTAAGCATAAAATAAGCTCGTAGTGCCGTGCCTTGAACGGACGCGTATTGGTTGACCCGGTGACGCGCTCACCGCCCATGTCACAAGCTTTGCTCATCGCTGTGTACTATTCACCGTAAATTGTGAACTTGTTAGGATGTTAGATGACGGATTAAAATCAGCTGATATATAATGTTGAGAAGAAGATGTCAGACTTGATAAACCACTGCAAGCGAGGGGCAATCTCATATGCCAAGAACAATCTATGACAATTTTCCGGATTGAAAGCTTCAATCCGTCCACTAACTTTAATTTGATGGGTTGTTTCAGCCACTCACGAATCGATGATAATCTTGCTATAGTCTTGGAGATGAAGTTTCTGCAGGTTTTCTTTCCGCTTAGCCTCTCTGGCTGTCTTAACGTTGTGGCTGATAACTGCTCGTACCTCAACTTCCACGTTCGTCCATCCGCTAACTCCACTTTCAGCCCAGGGCCTTCAGAAGCCACCAGGACCTCCCCAAGCGTAAATGCAAAACAACGGACCTTGCTATATATTTGTCCTAATAAGATCAGCCAGGGAATGACCCTGTTTAATTCGTCGATGGCTTTCTCTTAGCTAGCCCCTTGTCATTTCTTCCCTCGGGTTCCCGTCTTTAATTAGGCACAATGACGATGTTCCTGACAACAGTACAAAGGTACATGCTTCATGCGCGTCGGGCTCTAAACAAGCTGATCATCGGGCTTTTCAGGTACCGATACCCGTTTTTACATCTCCGCCTTGCTCCAACAACTTTCTTTTTTCTCCTTTTCTAGGATTATTTTCGTGGTCGATGGTGGCCAGACGGGGAAAAAACGCTGGTTGGCTTTCCCACTCCACGCTCCTATCTAACCATCCCATCGATGATCATTGGTGTGCAAAACTGACCTTGGGGCTTCGGGTACCTCTCTGAGGAAAGCAATTGCAGCTGCCCCACGCTGGCCATTGGTCAGGTCGTCCATCACCCAATAGGTTGTGTTTGAAACAATACGGAAATCCGGCCGGAAGGAATTAATTGCGTCGAGACAAGTTATCCTTGACGCTGCGCAGGCATACTGTGTAGTACTCAAACATACGACCATAATCCTGCAGTTAATTATCCAGAGACCCATGGTTGCTGCATTACGCAAAGATCTTCTGGACCCACTGCTCGCCCCAAAACGAATCCTCTTGCCAATTCTCCACAACTGCAACGAGCCATTGTGCTTGAGCCTACGCAGCGCCGCGCAGTGGCTCCTGCACAATCCTGTGCCTTGTTTTCTGTGCTTTAATTCAGCTCTTTTTTTCTTTTTCTCCTTGAGCTTCACCACAGGACAGGCCGAAACCCCTTTAATATTTCGGTTAGACCCTGGCACCGCCTGGTTGGTGGCAGTGTCCAGGAAAAATAAGGAAAAAAATTCTTGGAAGTGAGCAATCACGCTATGAGAAACTCTCTACACATAAACTCCTACATCTGTTTGACGTACCCTTTCATCGTCCCACTAAGTTGCGGCGCCCTCCCCATGCTCATCTCGTGCGTGGGAATCGGCCAAACACGCCAAGCACCCCGAGGCGCACAGTGAGATGAGATTGGCCGATTGGCTGGCATCAGCGGCCGCATGGGTCTGCTGGCCCGACGCCCCTGCCGCAGGTCGACGGTTGCCCGGCAATCACCGTTTCCACCATTTGGTCAGGTACAGGACCGTTCTTTGATTATAGGGACGCGATCCTAAGCCATACCTCTATACTGCACCTCCTCAACGTCCTGCCGAAATCCTGCTGCCTGCTGATTCTCAATCAATGCGCAATGTGGCATGATTTGTTACTATATTGCAAAACTTTTCAATTTGGAGGATAGTCGGAGTTAGGGCGCAATGACTTTTACGTATAGGTACTCCTCACGGGCGAAATCATCACTGATATCCGGATATAGAAGTCCAACAGGGCTTGAATTCGAATAGCAAGCCCATTGTGACCACGAGGATATCATTATAGGTTCTTCTGAACTTATGCAAACGAGAAGTTGATGAGCTGCAAGAGAGAAAGGATGATCCTTTCCTGCCCCGGGTTCATGGGTCGATTCTCCTGAAACTCAAGTACAATCTGTTCTGCAGCCATAAGCCAAACACTGTACTGTTGTGACTAGTTTGCGGTTCAGAGACTGTTAGCCCGGACGTTCTGCTAACGGAATGGAAGACCACATGGGACTTGAACAATGTGCTCCGGCAAGTACTGGTACCGCCCTGTTGGCTAAAGTTGGCATGGGGGCTTTAAGGCCCCGATGTTGGCGTGGGACTTAACCGAGCAGATTCATCTTGATTGTGTTGTTGTGTGGACAGTAGCGAGGTAGTACTCTGTAGTCTGCACTACTACGGTATAGTCACTGTACTTTCCACGACGTAACCCGTGTACGCGTTCCTGGCCGCTCTCGCTTCAAAGGTCATTTAACAGCGGTATCGTCAAACTTATCGAGTAGACAAGTTGGACTTGACTGATCGCTCCTTAGTGTCTAAAATGGAGCAACCGACAACCGGTTGAACCCAGATTAGCACCATAGCGGGGCGTGTCAGACGATGCTTGTTGAGCGTCATGTATCATCATTCATCTTCATATGCATTTTCTTTGCGATCGAGATCGAGATGGGAAATTTTTGGGAAAAGGGGTAAATGAAATCGACTGCCATTTTTGCCTATGCGTCTTTTCGTCAATGGCAACTCGTGATGATTTTTCCTTTTCTTCGTGAGGTACAAGTAGTGGTACATGGTAAAGGCGACCCCTCAAGTATTCAGTTCTCCCTCTGGATCTGCTGCATCCCCACTCACACACACACACACTCTCTCTCTCTCTCTCACGCACACGCTCTCTACTCTGTATCTTACCCACTCGGCCACTCATTCATTCACTCACTCACTCACTCGCTCGCTCTCGTACCTCGTTCCTTCCCTTTGCATCGCATACCTCGTCGTACCCTTCTGTATACCCTTCAGACCCTTACTGCCCTTTATTTTCCCTCGCGTACCTGCGGGACGTGTCGTAAACCTTACCCGTTCTGGGGTCCATCTGGTCCCTTTGTCACGTCCCTCCCAACCTCCTCTCGCCGTTCGCCCTGAGCACGGGTTGTAAGCATTTCACCACCCACGACTCACCCCATACCTCCACGCTCCCACAGCTCCGCCCCATTCTCCGATTGCAGCGGCCAGGTATTTTCAGCCGAGGGGCCTGAGACACAACCCACCAATCTACAGCACAGGAGCGAAAAAAATCTCAGACATATCAAAAAAACTCAATTGCGGCAGTCTCAAGTACTGTCTGGTGCTGATTCCGCTCGCGAACATTCGCTTCAGTCTTTCCCGGGTCCCTTTTACCCGTTTCTGTGTTGAAGCCCGCTCCTTGACTCCTGATTCGCTCTGGAATTGATTCCGAGTGGAAGGTAATACGTCCCATAAGCGCAGGATTGACATTGACACGTTGAGATTGTGGTTTTCTCGGGGCATGATCACGACCACTGGGCAAAAATTCGATATCATTGCGGGTGGTTGTTCAGCGGAAAACTCGTGCTATTTGCGGTGCAGAGGCCAACAACAGGGCCATCACTCTTAGTCTACCATTGAGGCCCTGTACCGGTACTTGAAACAAGGTACTGCGAGCCAGCCATTCCTCTTAGGTCACCACTACTTTGCTCTAAGTACTGTTAGTCCTTCTCAAGTGCCCGTCTTGTTGCCTGCTTCTCACTTTTTTTCGCTGGTTCCATCAGACCCCCGTCTTAGGCAACCCCCCGGCCACCACACGCTCGTCCGGTCGATAGCTATTTCCGAAGCGAATCAACCATTGGCTGCCGACCGTTGGAGATTGAACAACCCACAGGGAAGGAGCGGACAGCGCGAACGAGAGAGACTCTGCGAAGAGGATCCTCTCACAGTCTCCGTCCACTTTCTCATCTGTGCTTTAGTACTTTCCCCGGTGGCTTTCCCTCGATTCATACACACACGCACACGCTCACTCTCACGCTCACTCTCCATCCTCTTTCCGTTTTCCCTCTCTCTCTCGTCACCTACCGCTTCTACAACCTCTCTCACCCACGTTCGTTCTTTCTTCAAACTGATCGATCCGACGAGAAAGTCTGGCGTTGCCTTACTCTCCTTCGATTCGACACGACATTCGTTTTTTGTTGGACGTGGATCACCTAATCAATCTCGGGTCCGGCGCACCTACATTCGGTGCCGATACCATACAAACCTCCCTCCTCGTTCTCCCTGGGAAAAGTGGAAAACGGGCTCACCAAAGGATAATTGACCGCGCCACGGCCTCTGGCATTCAGCGTGGACATTTGCGCGGCATTGCTTGGTCTGTTTATACCGGCGGAGGAATTGTTTGGGCTTCTACTATAGATATTTGAGCCGATATGGCACCGTCAACGCCACGGTTACGAATCTTGTCAGGTCTGTCTCATCTTGCCCTCTAGCACCCATCTCTGCCTAGATTTCTCTTCATCTACATCCGAGCCCTTTTGCTGTGGAATATGCACTTTGCCATTTCTCTGCTCGATGGAATAAATACTCCTCCAACAACTTTCTGATGGCGGTGCTGACGATACGGTCATTTCACAGTGGGCGGAAATTCTGTTTCAGCTTTCCTGTCATGGCGATTGCAGGCCACGAACGCTTGTGACGTGACGCTGGTGTGGAAATCCGGTTTTGATGCCGTTGCACAGTATGGAATTACGTTCAAGTACGTATAGGATAAAATTGATCTCCACCGTGTTCTGGTGAACTCTACCGGGTCCAGCGCTGACAAATTTGGCGCAGGTCAAAACTTTTTGGCAATGAGAGGTTTAAGCCGCATCAAGGTATGTCTGAACTTCTACTCCAAAGACGTTTGGCCTTTCGGCTGGGCTGGATGGTTGAAATCTGACTGTTCCGAAAAGTTGTCCGATCGCCCGAGGAAGCGTCTACAACACAAAAGGGTCCGTTTGATTACGTTCTATTGTGCGTCAAAGCACTTCCCGACGTCTACGACCTCTCGGCCGTGATCGAGCCTGTTGTCACGCCGCAACACACTTGTATTCTCGTCAACACGACACATTCGCTGGGGGTCGAGGCCCATTTGGAGCAGCGATTTCCCACCAACGTTGTGCTCTCACTTGTTTCTGGAGCCGAGATTACGCAATTGGGTGCTAGCGAGTTTGAGCATCAAGGCAGCACAGATGTCTGGGTCGGTCCCGCGAACAAGAACCCAAGCATCCCCGCCTCGATCCAGTCAGACATGGCGGAGGCGCTAGCAATGACATTGTCTTCTGGCCAGGTTGACTGCAAGGTCTCGGAGAATATTCGACAACAGCAGTATGAGCGCATGATTGGGTAGGTTTCATGTTTTCGCTTCTTGTCGTTTTTGTACTTCTTCTTTGCATATTCTAACTTTTTTGGTGCTCCAGTCCCATTTCGTTCCATCCCGCCAGTGTCTTGTTTGAGACTCCGAACCATGCCGATCTACTCGGCAAAGTCGGCGTTCGCCCTCTGGTATCAGACGTGATTGATGAAGTGCTTCAGATTGCAACCGCGCAAGGCTGTTCATTTCCCGAGGATTTCAAGGAGAAGACCATGGAGACGATGATTCAGCCGATAGATGCCCGAAGCATCATGTATCAGGACTTCACTGCTCGGCGGCCGATGGAAGTCGAAACTTACCTGGGTTCACCTATCAAGCTTGCCCAGGAGTTGGGCGTACATGTTCCACGTATTGAAACCTTGTATGCTCTTCTTCATCACATCAACACAGTCAATCAGTCACGCCCGGCCGTTCCACCCACGTCGCCTGGCGTAAATGGTCCAATGGTGCGACCCGGCCCACTCTCGCGGCCGCCGAGCAACGGGGGTCCGATGAATGGTCCGATGCGAAATGGTATGCGCAGTCGAGTCCCATCGGGTGTTGGCCCTCCGCCGCCACAAATGCGACGAGCGCCGCCATCGGCGAACGGCTTTCCTCCCCGACCACTCGTCAATGGCAACTACCCGCCACGGGGTCCTTCATCACTAGCTGGAGCACCGCCACCAGGTCAACTCTCTCGACGGCCATCGCTAGAGGGTAATGACCTTGAAGATTTTAGCCATGTGGTACTCTATGACAACATCCCAGAAGGGGGTGTGCCCGATGGCGCTGGCGCCCCCACCAATGTCGATTTGACTATGGGTAGCGCTGCAATGAATACACCCCATTCTGAGCTCAACGCGCGTGAAAGAGATTTGATGCTTCGCGCACGGGAGCTCGCGTTGCGTGAGCAAGAATTCAACATGAGACGTGGCCCTCCTCGGAAACCTCAGCCTTCTCCTCGTCGCGGCGGTGGCGGAGGTAGTTGGGATGACGATGATGACGATGAGTACTTTGATCCGTTGAATTCTCGCGCACCTGTTCCGATGATTGACCCGGACAACGTTGACATGATGAGCATTACTTCAAAACGGAATCGCAAGATCCCTAGTGTTAACCAGCTCCGCAAGAACCCTGAGATGGCCTCGGGCTCACATTTTGGATTCGGACGCACACGGCCCGGTATGAGTCGCAACCGGACGAGTACGGCGCTCATGCAGGATGTTCCTGGGCTTCACGATTCAATTATGGATAATGCTCTGCTGGGCTATTCCTCGGACCGTTATGGCGACGTCGATCGCGCGCGTATTGGTCATGAATCTCGCGCGAACTCTTTGACTGCAGCTCGGCTGGACGAGCTCAGCATTTCTGGTAGCATGCCCGGAGGCTATCCGGCCATGGCGCGTCGCCCAAGCCAGTCTCCAGGAGACCCATACAACCCTGGCAGAAGGACCGGTAGACCTTCGCCGCCCAATGGACCGAACGGATATATGGGTCCTAACGGACCACCAACGCAAGGCAGCCGACCATCACCTCCGGGGATGATGCGGGCACCGATTCCGAGGCATCCGCCTGGACAAGGAAATACTGTGGCACCACAACAGGTTGAGCAGCATGCTGGGGTGAGCAACCTTTACCCGCCTAAGAGCGCTCCAAATGTGCGAAGTCTGACGGGCAGTGCGAGCGCTAGCGCGGCGAGTGGTGAAAGCGCCCAGATTGATTCCGAAAATTCGGCTCACAGCAGCCAAAGCAGCCTCGGCCCTCGACCTAATACCGGCATTTAGATTCTCTTCATCCCACCGAGTCTCTTTCTTACTCTTTTACGATTCTTTCTGATGCGACCACTTGTCACCATTTGAGTAATGGCTGCAAAGATGGGGAGGTTTTCATATTGGAGACTTTTGGCGTGTCACCTCTTTCATCTTTTTTCTTTCCCCTCTTCTCTTCATTCAAATCTTCGAAAGCTTTTTTCTTTCTTTCTTTTTTCCCCCTCTCCTTGAGTCCCCGATATGGATGATAACCAAGGTTTTCATTAGTTTGCGCCTTTGAGAAAGAGGTTCGGGGTAAGAGTAAGGACTGCGAGCGCCGGGCTAATGTGCATCACATCATATTCAAGTTTCTTAGATTTGGTACACCCCAGAGGTTTTGTTATTATTTATTGTTTTCCCAGTACGGCATACATGATATGGGTCCCTGTTGTTTTCGCGTCTCACTTTCTTTTTCTTTCATTTCTCTTCTCCATGAAATTTAAGCGGGTCGAAAAAAATAGTCGATTAGATTTGATGAGGACTTATCGATGACGGCTGAGCAAGGTATCAAAGCTACTGTGGGAATTAGCGCCGGGGGAGTGGTTTTGTGATGCACGCGGCAAGAAACTGGATGGACTCATTGACGGACGGCAAGCTCGTACAGATGCATTGTATGGAATGGGATACTCGGGTTTTTCTCTCTATATCCTCTGCATGGTGTTTTTGTTTGACCTTGCGTTCTTTGGGTGATGTCTTGGTAATGGTTTCGCGGCTATACCAGTCAGAGGCTGCAGATGAACTTTGATCTAGGCCCTTCAGCTTCGTCAATTGGGATTCTCAGTCCAGATTCTCGTGTCCGGGTGGCTTGGCGCTTGGTTGCTTGGCTTACTGCTTGGCATCAAGTCGCCACTTCTCCATGCCAGGCATTTCCCATCCCTGGCGGAGGACTCGCAATTTACGCGGCGGACCCTTCAAGCCAGCTGGCTCATGTCTCCCCTTTTCTCACTCCCTTTTTTTTCCCTTTTATATGCATACACTCTTCTACATGTTTCGCAACTGCACACGCATAATTCTTGCTCTATTGCTTCGCGATGTGTGGTTTTTTTTTTTTTTTTTCTATCGTACATAGGCCTTTTCTCACTTGTTGTCCCTCCAAATTTTCTTTTTCATCTGTTTATTATATTTATGGCGACAAGCCCCGGGGCATAACAGTACAATAAGAAGTAATGTTAGTCATAGTAGGCATCATCAACATCATCATCACTTTCTCCGAATATGGTCATCTCTATTCTCATAAGCGTTCGAAATTGCATCATGTGTTGCTCTTTTGCGTAGAGCATGATCTCAAATCACCATTCTTCCTTCTAACTTGCTTGTTCAGATATAGAGCGTCGTTTTCTTGATACACATTTCCAGATGAAAAAGTTAATTACTTGAGGCCACCCGCTACAGTTGAGACTGGTCTCTGAGAATGAAAGCCGCTGACTGACCTGCGTCCTGGGGCAGATTAAACATACCCAGCAAATAGACTCCTAAGCAGCTCTCCATTTTGAATCTTTGATATAAAGGTACTCCTCACATCATCGTTATCGGTGTTCTGCATATGGCTGGTGTAGAATATATCACTGGTGTATTGTATGGATTCGACTGAGAGGACGCTTGGCTCTCAACTCTCAGCTTGTTGTGCCATTGGCTAGTTCCGACCCCGGACGCTTCTCCTCAAGTTTGCGCTTGATTGGCTTGTGCATGCTAGACTGGCGGAATAAAGTTTACCCGCGTCGGCGTCCATCTACGTAGTACTTTCGGGCGATAAGCGTTGCAATGTTGTCGTCTTTTCCCCACGCGAGCAGAGGAACTGTGATTACTCTTTGGGACGGGTTTGTTTTGTTTGTCTCGTCTTCATACTCGATACTCCGTACATCCCAAAGCTTCGCGATAATTCATCCCCACCGAAGCCACCAAAGCAAGCAATTCTAAACGTATTTTCCGACGGATAATAAGACGCGCATCGATCACTGCCCATTCATTCTCACCGACTGAGAGCTTGCCATTCTCCAGATTAGCGATTCGCCATATTTTGTCCACGTCCACTTTCACGTCCAGCGTACTAAAGTTTCAGTCTGCGCATCTACGCCGGCGGGTCAAGACCAGATCTAGTTTATCGCATTGATCATAGGTCAAGGCAGTCTACATAAGGGCAGACCAGTACCCTTGCGCTTTGAGATACTCGATCCCGCGACCGCCGCTGGGGATCTGCGACTGAACAATCTGCGCCCCTCGCGCAACAATAAAGGCATCGGAAGCAACACGGACCCGATCGAGAGTCATAAGACGGTGGTGCTGATCAAGCTGTCTGTCGAGCTGTCTATCGAAGACTATCCTAGACCGTAATCATCGCAACAACATACAATCAGCATGCCGCTCCCTCAACCGAGCAACTCACGGTCGCGGCCATCGACTGCAGCTGGAGGTACGAAACCATGACTCTTATTTTTTCCTGAATCTGTCTTCTCCCCAGACTTCCAGACTTCTTTCCAGACTTTACAGTCTGCAGTTAAATAGAACAGTTTAACTGGGACAGGATGGGATGGGATGGGATGGGACGGGATAAACATTCTCTGGTGACAATGTGACAATGTGGCAAAGTACTGACAAGCACAGCATTTCCCCGCCATTCGATGGCCCCCAACCGCCTGTCGACCGCCACGGGCAGCATCAAGCCAAGACAACACGCACACTTGCAGTCGCAATTAGCGCAGTTACAAGCAAACCTTGCAGACACGGAGAACCTGCTCCGGATGACTGCTGTCCAGGCAAACTTTATCGCCGAGCTCGGTGGATGGACTGGTGGATTGTACGTCTTCTTTTTTTTTCGCGCCCCCCTGCCGGGGGGGAGGGGGCGTTTGCTCCCCTTCTTTTCTTTCTCCTTGCATTCATTTTTATTTTTATTTTTATTTTTATTTTTGACTGGCGGTGTTGGGGTCGGGAAGTTGCTTCACATCTCACATCTCACACCCTATTTCCCCGCCCCTGCCTTTTTTATCCCCTCTACAATAGCCCGACATCCAAATACTTGACATTCTAATTATCTAATCTCATCTTTATTGTATAGATTCATGGCCGCGAGCAAAGTCCTCGGCGAAGAAACCGCTGCCGCTGCCTCTGCTGCCGCCGCTCACCAGTACCAGTACCAAGCCCAGTACCAAGCCCAAGTTCAGCGCGATCAGCAGGAGCACGAGCAGGAGCAGGAACACGAACAGCACTTGACTGAAGATGAACAATAGATTATTTTTTTTTTTCTCCTTTTTTATCTGATTTGCTTGTACATTTCTCATGATTTGGAAGATTGCTTGTACATTTCTCCCGCGTTGGAAGTTGCTTATCATTTTTTTTTCTTGACGCTGATATTGGCGTTGGTATTGACGTTGGTATTGGCGTTAGTATAGTAGTGGCATTACCACTGGGCATGCATTTCCGGAAACGGGACATCGGATTCGATTTGATTCAATTCAATTCATCTTTTTTCTTTTGTTTGTTTCTCTAGTGAACGAATGCAGATGAACCTTTGTTCACCTCGACGTGGACGTGGACCTCGACGTGGACTTGGAATTGGACCTGGAATTGGACCTGGAATTGGACCTGGAATTGGACCTGGAATTGGACCTGCATGTAAAATTACAAATGAAGACGTAGACTTAAACTTAGACTATAGACTGAGCAAGAGATGCACTACTACTACCACCACCACTATCAACGCCATCCGTTCACAGTATTTTAATATAGTATCTGAATATGGTATCTCATTATAGTATTTCAGAAATAAAAATAAAAAAGAAAAGAGAGAGAGGGGGGGGGGGGGGGGGAGTGAGAGTTGAGAAAAGGAAAATAGACAGATGGACAGCTCGACAGCTAGACAGATAATGGATGGATCAAAAGGAAATAAAAAAATCAAGTAAATTGATAGTGGATACGAAGGTAGTGGATAATGGATAATGGATAAGTATATGATTAATCATATCGAGTCAAATTTATAAAAAATAAATGAAAATAAATAAAGATAAAGATAATAAATAAAAATCCAAGAGATTAGTAATAATACCGGAATCGAAACAGAAAGAAAGAGAATCCCAAAATAAAAATAAAATGGAAATAAAACGAAATAAAATAAAAGAAAAACCCAAGACGTTGAAGAATATAAAAAGGGCCTCAAATGTATATAGGTCGACGAGGCCGACGAGGCCGATACAGCCAACATCAGCTATCAATACCAGCTACCAGCTAAACACGAACACATCTGCAGGAGGAGGGAAATCGGCAGGAGAAATATAACAAAAAAAAAGAGTATAGAAAAAAGAGTATAGAAGAGAGGATAGAAAGACAACTTTGTATCGGATATAATAAGTTTCAGACCCCAGAATCAATACATTTCCACCAAGACGGAACAATGGATAGGAAAAACGAAAAATAAACAAACTTCTTTCCAATTTACCCCAATGTCACCAAAGACTCCGCGCTCCGCGCTCCAAATTGGGAAGAATCAAGAGATATTAAAACAGGCAAATTGTATAATAACAACATAATGAGATCATGTCGTGGTAGGTAACAGCAACAGCAACAACAACAAAAAGCCACCCAGTTCAATCATCGCAACGTGTCGTCGTTAAGAGAGAGAAAAAAAAATAATTCACAAACTCATGGTGAGCCATTCCCATTCCTGCGGGCCGGTAGTGCCACCGCTGGTGATCGCTGGCGAGAGACCAGTCATCATTGAATGTGTCTGGCCCGAGTGTCCTCCTAGGGACGAGGTCGTCGACGGGGCTAGCGGTGATAGTTCCCTCGGCAGCCCTGGTGTGTCTGCGTCAGTCATTTCGGATTCTTGCGACTTGGAGTGCCGCCGCTGTCGCTTGGGAGCAACGTTTGGTGGCGCTGTGCGGCTGCTGGCCGCGTTCAGTGCAGTGCCAGCCGATGTCTTGGGAGGTGCTGCAGCAATGGGCACCACACCGCCCTTGCTGCCAGAGGAGGCAAAATTTGTCGGTGTGCTGCCTGCTGTTGACGTTCCATTTGCGGCAGGCGGTGACTCCGAGCCGGTAACGCTGGTGCCCTTGCCCGACGATGTAGGCGTTGCAGCGGGCGTGTGCTGCAATGAATTCTTCCGAGATGACTTCTTCGAGGATCTCGTCGATGCCGAGCCAACAGCCACGCCGTTGCCGCTACCTCGGTTTCTCTTCTTGATAATGTCCGTTTTAAGCGACAACGGTCGGACCACGCCGTGAAGCTTGAGGAAGAGACCGCATGCATTGCAGAGCGGGTGACCTTCCGGGTTCCGCCGCCATAGCGGCGTCGTCTGCGTGAGACAGTTGGTACAGGTCGTGGGTTGACCGTTTTGGTCTCCACTCTTGGAACCAGTCGGGCTACCAGGCCGCGAAGGCGCGGCGGAGCTGAAACCCGAACCGGGCGGGGTGTTCGGTGATGAACGTGACTGTTGCTGCTGCTGGATACCCTGCGACAGTTGAGCAGCATTGGGAGTGGACGTCGTGCGAGGGATCTTTTGCCTGCGTTGCTCCGTTCCACGGCTGCGAAAGTCGCTGACAGATGTTGAGGCATTGTGTCCCCGATCAAGGCTTCCCAGCTGGCTCCAGTCCTGGGGCGATGAAACCATCTCTGTGCCTCCAATGGTGACCTGCTTTCGGGGCGGTCCGCCAGGATACCGCGCAGCAGTGGTGCTGAATTGGCCCGGCAAGCTAGAGTCCCATTGCAAGCTCGACGAGAGATCAAGTGACGCGGCATCGTCCAGACTGGACGAAAAGTCCGTGGACATCGCCATCGCCCGGTCGGCAAACGCCGACGTCTCGTCTTCGTCGTCAGAGTCCGCGCCAAAGCTGAATAGGTTCTCCCCACGGGAAGGCATGCTGCCTACTCCCGGCGAACGAGCATTGGAGAATTCAGGGTGCAACACATGCGAGGGATCGACATGCTGTTGATGAGACAGCGAGAACAGGCCTTGCGTCGGATCTGGTCCACTAACCGCGCCAAACAACGAGTCGGTTCCTGGCCCGTACATGTAATGGTGAGGCATAGAGCTGGACATTGCCGACGGTCTGCTCGGGTGACCACCAAAGCTTTGCATTTGACGATGGCGGCGCATGTCCATGGAACCATGGTCAAAATACATTTGCTCGCCCTCGGGAATCGGTTGCGGGGTTGAGGCGGTGGAATGATAGGCGGAACCAGGAGGAGAGTAAAAGTCGGCAGAGTTGAGCGAGGATGCAATGGCTCCATTTCCATGGACAGAAAAGGGACCATGGTTGACCAGAGGAGATCCAGTGGGAGAGAAGGCGAAGTTTTGCTGGAATGGCCCCGCCGAGGTGATGATTGGGTCGTGATCCACATTGTATGTGTCCAAACCGAACGGAACCTGAGGGTGTGCCGGGCCGTGCTGAGTGAACGGCGCTGGGTGAGTGTGGTCAAGGGAGTAGTTGTGCAACCCGGCCTCCAGCTCAGGGTCGTGCGGGATGGTAATGCCGTTAACGGGAGGAACCTGAGGAGAGAAATCGGCGGGGCGTTTTCTTGGCTGTTGCAGATAATATTCAGTCAGCACACAGTTGTCTTTTTTAATTTATTTATTTTGAAACCCCTCCCTTCCGTTTCTCGTTTTGAAAGTCCGTTTTTCAGAGGGGCAAGGCACAGGTAGGTGAAACTCACTCTTCGCTCGTCAATGCTCGTCTTGCGCACGGAGCGCTGCACATAGCCAAACTCGCCTTCGTTCTTGTGGAAGTGATGAGGAGGCACCGGAGCGGACGCAGGTGGGAGTTGCGCTGCCGCTGCCGCCTGTTGCTCCTGTGACTCTTTTCTGGCCTTGATGGGAATGGCCGAAGCGATGGCGTTTGACGATGATGCCAATTCTGGAGGCGGCGAAGGTGTTAAACCGGCAGGCGAACCCACCGAAGAAGGAAGAATGAAATCATCAATGTTCATGGTATCGAGCTCGTTGGCCGCCTGCTCCGCTGTTTGGTCGGCCGATTTTCGCAACTGCTGGGCGATTCCGCTCGGCGGCGGCGGAGCTGATCTTGTCGACGACGGTGTTTCACCGGGGCGTCTTCAACCAAAGCCAAAAGTGTTAATAGACTTGCGTTCAGTGACTCTTTTTTTTTTTTGGAGGATCGCGACCGCGCTCATCGGGCTGACGGCAGACCGTGTGGAGGAATGGGGGGAACAGAGGGAAGAAAGGGTAGCTTCTTACCGAGCAGATTCCATCTCCTTACGCCTCAAATTCATGGCCATCATGCGCCAGGTGAGATTTTCCATACGCTCCTGGTTTGGCAGCTGGGTTTTCGCTCTGCTGTAGAGCTTCCAAATCTGCGTTCCCAATGGGTCCTTTTTGCGCATCTCCTCCGGATTGTCCGAGTCTTGGGTAGAGGCGCCGTCCTTCAAACTCGGGAAGAAGGACTGCGTGAGCAGCTCTCGACGAGCCGCCGAGTCTTGCGTTGGCAGATCCAGCTTGTTGGCGGTGTTCGACGTCTGGTTATTCTCCGGCTCAAAGGTTTCGGCGTCGTGGAAAGATGAGTCCTGGATCGGACTGTGGCTGACAAGGTGATGCGCAGGAGAGGCCGAGGACATGTCGAGGAAGTGAGAGCCTGAACCTGCAGGATCCCCAAAAGGTGTGGAATCAAAGCCGCCAAAGAGCGTGGAGGCATGGTGGGCGCCCCCACGCTCTCCATAATGCGCCTCCGTCATGGCCGAATGGAGCGAATGATTGGAAGCAGCCTCGGGGAAGCCGTCGTGATCGTCTGGTTGTAGGATGATCGTTGCTCTATTGTCGCTGACGTTGTTTATGGGCGTTGGATGTCTTGCACGTCACGCACAGCCAAAGGCGCCACGAACTGGGACCACCGCAAGGGAAAAAAAGGTAAGACAGAGGGTTGTCAAAGGTAGACAGTGTCAAGGGGACGAGGGTACCAGCTGCGGTGTATGATCAATCGTCCAGGAAATGTCTCGACGGGAGACGTTCGCGGGGCGCTGCACGGGTTTCCTTAGCGATGTCACTCGCTCGAGAGAAGCCGAGAAACAAGGTCAGGTGGATCAAGCGAAGTTTGATCAATAGATTCCAATAAAAGATCAATGAACGTGACGAGTAAAAGGTAGAGGAACCAGGAGGAGAATTGGTTGGAAGTGCCCGTGACAGATTGGTGAATGGCAATGATGAATGTGATGATGAAGTTGGAGAAAGTCACAGGCAACGTACTGCGGTATGAGTAGTATGCGGTAGTGGCTCTTGTGTGTCGATTTCCACTTGCGTCGCTCGGAGTCAAGCAGTTACGGGGTCGTCGTATACGGCCCAGATCGATGCAGCTCTCAAGCCAAAGTGGGTCATTTCAAAAGGTAGAACGGGATGTAAGGTGAGGTAACTCCGCTGTAAATGGGAGGGTGTGTACAGGCGCAAGTCAGCGTATGCCGGTGGCAGAACCAGCAAACGAAAGGGCCGGCAGCGGCTTGTGGGACACGCTGGGATTGGAGAGATGGGGCGAAAAGGAATGGAGCATCGAGCGAACTAGGGGAACAGCACGACGGACGGAGGGGGGATTAGTGGGGAGTGGCGGGAGAACTTGTCGGGCCTAAGAGGGAGGGGGGGGGAGGGGGGGGGCAACTTTTGGGTTTCGTTGATGGTACGGAAATGGGTTGTGCCATAAGAGTGAACAGATTTAGACTCGAGGGTGTTGTAGCCAGAGAGGCGAAGAGGACGACGAAGAAGAAGAAGAGGTGGGAGAGTAATAGAAAAAGGTAAAGGGAAATAAGAGTCCAATCTCGCCGATGTAGGAACGAAAAGGATGTCTCTACTATTCGCTACTTGACCTTGACATACATGTGAAGACTTGGACTTACCTAGGGTAGAGAACTCCTCAAGTGTCCAACTCCAGCCATTGTTTACCCTCATGATATTCTAGGAAAGAAAGCACAAGAGTTGAGTTACTAGTCATGTGTGGAGACTCAACGACCAGCAGCGCCGCTCCAGCGCATCCGATGTTCAGTCTAGATAATCGCACCCCGGAGTTGCTACGGCGGCCCTGGAGCGTCGTCTCTGAAAGCATCAAGTACGTAGGATGAAGGGCAAGAACGAATAGAGCTAAAAACCATCTAATTTCCCCTCTCTCTCTCCTCCACTTGCGCGTTGACCGTTTGGTCTCCTCCATCCTACAATTAAATGTTCCCAAATGATGATGACCTCCCCGTAGTGGGTCAAACGTCCTTGCCAATATGTTGAGTAGTACGGTATGGATCACTATACACGATTTCCTGCTTACAGTTCCCGTCGCCGTTCCTGACGTTCTTGGTCTCTCCCCGTCTCTTTGTCGCTCCTCCTCGGTACATCCCAAACGAACAAACTACGGAGGAGACGAGCGACTATCGTGGAGACGGCGGCAATCATCGTCCACGACTAGACGGGGTTGCGATGCGTAACCGCATTATTTGGCATCGGCGTCCCAATTAGGGTCTCGTCTCGGCACTTTAATGCTGGAACGAGATGCGCCGCTGACTCCACTTTGGGCCCATTTGGCATGATGAGCGTCCGCTGGTAAGCAAACAGACAACGGCGTTTGGTGGTCCCTCAATTCCAGAACGTCACCAAGCAAAAAAAAAGGTTCAGCAGCAGCCCAAATGCGCCCTGGTAAGGATACATTGGTCTGATCCCTGTCAACTGCAAAACCTGCCCTCTGTCGGCAAGGGGAGACACCACCAAAAGTAAAAAAAAAAAAAAAAAAAAAGCAAAAGAGAAAATAAAATCTTGGGACGTAATAACAAGATAACAAGGTTTATGGAAGACCGAAGTGGGAGCGAGAGGCGCGAGGAGCAAGTGCAGGTCGCATGGGTGGGGGCAGAATTTCATTATTCCATTTGGGACGGACGGACAGACACCACAGCCAGCAGCGACGGGCCGATGAATCAAGCAAGGTAGCTGACGGAGTCGAACGAACGCTTCGGCCGCGCACGAGCGTTGTCAAGCATTAGTTAGTAGAGCCAATAGCACATGTGCAGATGGTCAGAGCCCCTCTCTCTCTCTCTCTCTCCCTCGTCCCCCGTCATCGGACACTGAGTAGAAGGGAAGCAGCATCCCCTTGTCGAACCGCGCTTCAATAGAAAATTGTTGTTGCAACTGTTCGACCTGGTAAATGCTCCAACGCCCTTGGTTCGTCCAGATGTCTTCTGCGACCCTCACCTTATGTGTAGTGGACCAGTCTCGAACCTTTTCTTTTTTTCGATTTTTCCCTGTCTTTGCATGCATGGCCTTTTCTTTTTCTCGTTTTCTCTTTTTTTTTTTTCTTCTTCTCTCGTCTGTCCATCTGAAAACTGTTTTCCATGCTTTCACTTTCTCCTCGCGACGTCCAAAGTTCCTCGGCCGGCTTCGCATGCAGGCTATCCTGTAACCTTGTAGCCGACAGTGCCCAATCTCGCCGGCTGTAGTCCTCCGTAGCCGGGAACCATGCCGGATGCGACCGAGGAGCCGACCATGAACGAGGCCATGTTTAAATGTCATGGCTATAATGATCATCCAGCAGCGTGAGGGGAAACCCGCATTGAACAGGGAGAATGATGATCTCTTACGCAGCTCTAACGTGGACTCGCACAGTACCCAGATCGTCACCAACGATGACGCTTCAAGTGTAAACGAACGAGCGCTCATCATCACTAAATTCCATGATGGCGGACCGTGGGCCATGAGCCCGGACCCGCCACACGGGACTACCAATCGGGGCTAGCGTCTCACATGTGCCTACCAGCTGCACCCTGCATAACTAACGGACTTATTGATATCCCCAGCGGCTTCGCTGACGAAAAAAAAAAAAAGAGAAGGCGACTCGTGCGTCTAAGAGAGGGTGTAGGAAACGAGATGACTGGCTGAGTCGACCGACCATGGCCTATGCGGGAAAGAGTCATGGAAGGTTTCGAAGCATCTGAAAGTCCGCTCAGCGTGGCATTTTAGTCCCCTTTGGCCCCTGCCATCCTTTCGACTTGGCTCTCGCTTTGGCTCTCGCTCCCACCCATTGAACCCTCGGTCATTCTGTCATTGATCCGTGGTTGCTCATTCCACGTTCTGTTCCTCACCTGGTTTCATCGGAACACTCCAACAATTGTGCTCTTCGGCCCTTCTTGCGCCACTGTACAGCGAAAATGCACCCTTGAAATTGATATACGTTCGAATTCTCGACCACGTTCACTCTGTCGTAATTTTATTCTGGGTTCAAGGCTTCTGCAGTTCGAATTTATCTGCTCACTGTGGCCCTCAGAAATAGGGCGCAAATGCAAATGAAGTTGTGTGTTGAGCTGCTAAGGCGAATTCTACTAACTTTACATCGTTGATGCTGAAATTCCCGCCGTCCAAACGGGTTTCCCGACTTGGCCTCCCTATTTGTTCCGAACACTATTCTGACCAGACTTCTGGTCCGCCGGATAAATCCGTCTGCCTTCGCTTAACGCTTAAGCGAGACCCTTTAGCTTTTCAAGATGCAGGGTAGACATGTTAGCCAGCAAGTGCCAAGCCGACCTGTAAGCCTGTTTTGAAATGGTTACTGCTTAGACTTTCCACCTGAGTTGCATGCCGATACACTAGCTTGCTTGACTTGGCCGGCCGAACACCCATAGTCCCTGCTCCCCCTTCAATTTTGGCGAAAGGCAAGTTACCTCAGGTCAAGAAGCACGCGTCGGCTCTCCAAACGCTCCATTGTCGCCTGAGCCAGCTACCGTACTTGCTGTACTGTAGTTCACCTCACGGACGCTGCGTGGAAGCATGTCACACTGGGATCAGGGATCATCAACCCCCAAGTGGGGGACCTTCTTCGTTGGTCAAATTGCGCGCACTGCATTGGCCCGCGAACTTGCTCTGCGGGTATGGAGGTATCCAGTTGATACCCAGTATCCATCCAAGGTCATGTCCAAAACCATGCTCAATGGTCGTGAGCGCGTCACTTGGCCCCCACCAAACTCTCACAGCTTGTCTTGACATTCTTGTCTGTTTCGCGCTCTTCAGATATCGACAGAATTTTGTCCGATACGGGGGCTTTGTAGAGGTCTGTCTGCCTCGGCCGTTACGCGATGTGGCGATTTAATGATGGCGAGAAGTATTCGGAGAAATCGTCAAAGATGGAAAAGCCTCGAAGAACGGACTGGCTTTGTGTTGAAGCAACACACCGCCGCTCCGGTTTCTCAGCGATTTGATTATAGTGGTGACGCCAGCCCGCATCTCCTCCCGCCTGTGTCCACGCCATTGGCAGCTCGAGGACTGATGGATTGCAGTTCTTGGACAACTTGGTGTGCTGAAAAGTTCGCCGCTGTTTCGGGCTTTCTGGTCTACCTTAGATCTGGTCGGTAAGCGATCCGTCAAGGGGCTGGCTGGCTAGATCGAAAATAGCTTGAGGCACAAAATGCAGCCACCGTTATCGTCGGCTGAATTACCCCAAGAGGTAAAGTCAGACGCGGAAGAACTTACTTTAGCCAAGGGGTCGTGAGCATGGCACAAATCAGGACGAGTCAATTGATGTACGTTGCCACGGAGAGTGAGAGTAACGATCTCTTGCCTCCTTCCATCCTTTCGCCCTAAATGTATGTGCCGGAGATACAGAGTACTCGTATTTGACAGACTGGACGTGATACGCGTCTTGTTGTCGCAAGAACATTTATTCTAGTTCAAGGGCGACCAAATATGCCAATGCCGATAAATGCCATTCCGCACGACCGAGCCGGGTTTGACTCGACAATCACATGTAACTCCGATCTGTCCGCGAAGAGGAGGGTCGAGGGCGGTTGATGTCACAGGCGAATCGGAAGCGAGACATGTCCATCTTTTCTGAACCCAAACGCTTTGGCAATAAGCTTCAGAGACGCCTCTGATAGGCGTGCTGTTGCTAGCAAAGCTACCAAATATGCCCAGACAATTATTTGTTGGAGGCTTGGCAAGAATATCTGTTCCACCCTCGGTTGGGAAGCTCTTCAGGCGTATTGTCGGCTTGCGCAGGCTTACCAATTTCTCGTGCGTAGACTTGCGTATGTTCTCAACCCATAACAACTTCTGTCCAGTTTCCTCATACAGATAGTGGACTTCGAGGATGCGGACGGCTAGACGGTGGATTCGATAGGCGTAACCTGCGATTCCATTTTGTTGCCGCGTAATTCATCGCATCCTTGGATGCGACGGGTGGTTCGAAACTGACCCTCTCTGAGCAACTCTTGCTTACTCTGTGGGGAGTCGGAGAGAACCCACTCGAGTGAGCCCCCACGGGCAACGCAAGGTAGGCGATTTCAGAGATTCCAAGTATAATCCTTTCGCGTAAATAGTATAGCAAGATAGACTTCGCCGGATTCTTTTGTGGTCGGAGAGCAAGTACAGAGGTACTGTGGGGGATAAGGGACCTGAGACGCGGGGTTCTCTCTGTCAACCTCGGGCGGTAGTTGCGGTGCCTAAGGGTCTGAATATAGAGTAAAGCGATCTGTCGCAATCGGAGGTTTTGCCTTATTCTCCGCCTAATGCAGTCATTGTAGTCTATTGTTTTGGCTTCCCACGTGCCCCTCGATGGTCGAATTATCGCGGTAGTGATGGCTGTGAAGTCTCCTGATAGAAGGCCATCTCAATGACTAAAGCTCCGGTAGTGACATTATCTTGAACACTAGTTGCATTCCCGCATTTCGGTTGTTGGCGTACGTCAGAGATCAATCGAACGTGGTCGCGTTGTTGCAAGTGAGGCTGGTTTCAGTCGAGTTTCGTGCGCACATCAACCATTTTCAGCATTCTCTGAGGTGGGTGCCCAGCTACTTTAAAAACAGGCATATCGGCGTACTGTCGTCTTGAGATAAGAGAATTAATGCACGCTGGTCAGACGGGCAGAGCCCAGAGATAGGGCTGCCAAACAATTTATCGCTGCTCGGGTTCCTGACAATCGCTACAGGGACTTGAAGCGAACCAGAGCCAGCGATACGCAGCGGTGAAGGCTGCAGAGCAGCGAGTCAGAAGCCACAGATTGATCTTTCGTAGATATGGGAAACTATATAGGAAGGCCCTTGAGATCCTTTTTCGAGCTAAACCAAGCCTGGCTGTTTGAAATCGCAGCCTGCAAAGATGTTGTCATCCCTATCTTCCCGAGCGCATACTCCGTAGTCCTTCGTTCGAGATAAAGGTGGCGCAATGCGATAAGAAATCACGGCATTGCTGTTGCAAAAACAGTGCATTCAGGCGTGATTTGTTTGTTGCAGCAAACGTACTTATAAAACAGTTTCCTAATTGCATTCATTGCCGATTTTTGAGAGCTTCTGACGCGGTCGGTCAAGTGAAATGCCTGATGCATTTCGAAGTCGCAAATACTCTGGTCTCTCGTCTGTCATTATCTTTGACATTGCGACTCGCAAAATATGCCAAAACTTCTGCATTTTATTTTACTCTGATGCTCTTATTTGGCATAGAAAAGTTGAGCATTGGAGCAAGCTTTCTAAATTATGTACTGTATGGTAGAGACAGGCATTCTGGAAGGATTTTTGCTTGGTTCCCTTGCCTCAGAAATTTTGTCGAGCAAGTTGGTGGCGTCATCTCAGAAACCAAGCCGGGTAGAAGGGTCCCGGAGATCCAGATTGTGGCTTGTGCATCCTCTTGGATACACTGAAAATCGCACAATAAAGCCCAGGTTTTGATCATACTGCCGAAACACTGTTGATAGTTCCTCAAATTGAGATCATAGTGAGATTTTGCAGCAGCACATCGCCAAAAGAAGATCCGTCTCGGACGCTTTTGAAGCCATTGCAATATTCAACAAACGCGTGTCAGCGAACACAATGCGTCAATGAGATGGTATTTAAGACGTAGGGGGGATGAGAGGAATCGAGGTTAAGCCATCTGCTTTCTCATTGACTGGTGGCGCGGAACGGTCCGACATGACAATGAGTGAGACAAGAGCCTTGGCTTTGCATCTCGGCTGCTATATTTGATGATATACTAGATGCTCATACAAGCGCAAAACCAGTCAAGGCTGGTTTTGTTAGTGTAAGTTATTCTTAACAATACGCTCTTTGAAGGGTGGAGAGTCGATTCGAGGTAAGGTTTGTTTATGAATCGAGGACCAGGTTGCATCAACATCTCATCTAATTTGTTAGCCACACCCAAATTTATGAACTGTCAGAAGATAACAAACCTTGACAGCAACAGGATACCATGTAACTTAGATTAAATGCACCTAAGTCCTCGTGGTCCGATATCTTGCCCACAGGTACTCAAAAAAAATAATGGTAAGAAGAGCCTATGAAATCTCTCGAGGAGATGTACTATGCCGATCTGTGAAATTAGGTAAGACTGCAAGAGAACTAGTGGTAGATACTAACAATTGGGGAACATATCATGATATGATGCCGCTTTGACTATTTCAATAACTTGATCTGGCCATCTGGCCTGTCGCAAATATGAAACATCGGGATCGATAATCCTGGCAAACACTGGTGGGACAAGAAGCATGACGATATCTCATTCAACGAGATATTATCAGCATGTCGTGAGAGGTGAATTAAAAAAAAAAAAGAAACTCTTGCGTATGAAGCAGAATTCTTAGAAATTCTCGTCAAGACTTCGTATCTCAGGTGTTTTCGGTCATAGAGTCTTGATCTCCCTTTCCTTCTCACGACGTGAAGAAGAAACACCTGTATGCGCTGCATTGCCGAGCATGATCACTGAGCAAGGACTGGAACGAATGAGTCGTAAGCTCCTTGAGCAACGCTCAATATAAGCAACACCTCCATCAATCAGAGGACATCTGGTCACATTCCAGCGCTGCACGGCAACCTGCCGAGATTCGACAATGATCTGGGAGGAGAGGACAATCAAAACTCTGATGTAGAAAGAAAATTGATGTCAATGTATACTCGCCCTTTTATGCAGAATCTTAGATTTCCCAATCTGTAAGCTTTCTCCTGCGCTCCCGGGGTGGCTTATTAGAGAAGACCCAAGCATCGAGAAAAGGACTCATAGAGATAATCCATTGATTTCTTCGTCTGACTTGCAAATAGAAGGAAGGAGCATGGAGCAATCCAAATGCAAACCGGACTGGCTTTCGGATTTGATGGCCTGAGTACCCTAGAGATTGCATTTGTAGGGTGAGAGATGGGAAGACGGTAGACGGTAGATCTGGAAAGCCCCCGCTTAGCATATCTCCGGCCAATCTACCCTCTGAATGCACCCTTGGCCAAACAATGCAGGCTCTTAGACAGTGGCAAGAAGTCATCGCGCGACAAAGAAAACCAAGGAACAGTGCGAGCAATAAGTGACATGCAAGATGGAGAGGATGAGAAGAAGAAGAAGAAGAAGAAGAAGCGATGTTATCCTGAACTTATGAGAATAAACAAATCAATTTGTTGGCAGTCATACTGCAAACTGAGGGCTGCTAGAGTACCCTGCTAATATACCACCGAATCGGACGGAACGTTTTTGGACAAATTATAATAATACTGTACAATATGTTTTGGGTGGAAAATGCCGTTGAAATGATGAACACACAGAATCATCTATTCTGATACCTTTGCAAGATTACCTTGTTCCACCACATGTCAAGCTGTACCCAAGCAGACGCTCGAGAGCCAGCAAGGAAAATTTCAAGACTCTAAGCGCGAAAAATAGCAGGCGCCGTTGGACATCCGAGAACCACTTGTTGCCCGGTTCTCTCCGAAACGTAACACCAAGGATCTGAAAAAAATACAGGTGAAGTAGAATAGAAAAGTTAAAAGCCCAGCTCCCAGTCCCTTTCCTTCAATTGAATCCGCCGCATCGAAGATGATATGATGCAGGACCTTTAACCGTATCGTAACCAAGCAAAACGCCCAATGCCATAGAATTCGTAAGCCGTACAATGTCGCATTCAAGAACTTTGACCACTGAGCCTCAGAACTCAGGTACAAGATGAGGGGTCTGTTCTTGCCATGCAATTGTCAATTCGTCCCAGTAAGCCATTCCAGTCGCCTTTGAATGATTTCTCACAAACGAGATGGCTTTTTCCTTGGCCCAAAAATCCTCAATGTCATACTTGTGAGATTTGTGCGCCGAGAAAGTTGAGCCTCAAGAAGGAGACTTCTTTTACTGGAGTCCAGCCGACAGGGCCTAGATCATCCAGGATTATATTGATCGGCTGGAAAGAAAGAAGGTGGAACGCCGTTCATATATGGTGGCCCGCTGTCTTCCTCTTGAACCTGGGCCAGAGGTGCAGAGTCGCCGTACCAACCATTGAAACCATCGGGAAATTTTCGGGCCATGGCGCCTGCGGTATGACCCGGGAACCCTCCCCAGCCTGTAGGGTACCCAAATGCTTGCATTGGATGAGAGCTAGGAGCTGCCGTCATTGTTGCAGAGGTCGGATCGCCTATGGAGTCAGTCGAAGGCGTGTTGCTTGTGTCAAGCGAAGGTGGGTCCGTAGGGATCCTCCGCGGGACACTAGGTCGAAAAGGCTGAAATCCAGAGTTAACCTGAGGAAGCGTGTTTACTTGATCAAACGAGAGAGATCTCGTTGGCATTGGCCAAACACTCTCTGTGCCAGTCACTTCAGAAGGAAACATCCCAGCGCTAGAAGATGGGTATACGGGTTGATTGACGCTCGGAGAGAGGTCAAACGGGGTAAAGCCGGTCGCAACAGCAGGGTCCGTGAGCCGCCAGTATGAAGTTGAAGGTTCCTCCATCATCTGCTTCCCGATACCTCCTGGCGATTGCTGCACAAGTGGAGAGGTCTCCCATTGCGGCGCTCTCTCTACGTCAGAGGCATAATCAAAAGACGAACGTGGGACCAAAGGAGCTAATCAAAAGTCAGATAAAAATTCAAAAAGGTCCCGGCAATACTGATTTTGGAGACGAATTCGAAGTGACGCATACCAGTTCGAGAAGCCATGCCGCTCACCCCGCTGGTCGAGAGCATGCTCTGACGCGAATCCAAAGGAACAGGCGAATACTGAGGAAACACACCGACCTGGTCGAGCGTGGGCCCCGTCGCCAAGGTTGGTGAAGGGGATGAGGAGGTGGATGCCTCAGCTGAGATTGCATCAATTTTCGATCCCGTCCTTTGTCGTCTCTCCTGCGGCTGCTGGTCGACTGGGAAGAAATTGCACTCCTTCTTGAGGCGAATGCAATTTGAGCAACGCCCTTGCGGGTCATCTAACGCAAGCAGACACCTTATCTTCCGCCTTCGGCAATGACCTGAAGAGAATGGTCAGTAACGGCAAGAGGGGGACAAATGCGATGCTGGCCATTTACAACTCACCGCATGCAACTGATGTCCGGTGGTAACCCAACTTATTCCGTCGCTTATCTGCGGAGCTCGGAAGGCTCGATGAATCTGCTGATGCCAACGCGCGAACATTGGGAGTCGACACTGCTCTCTTCAGTACAGTTGGTCCCGCTCCTTTAGACGATCTCCGACGAGGCGGGCCCGGGATAGCTGTCTTCAGGACGTGTCCTGATGGCGCTGGAGAGAGCTCCAATCGGTTACTCATGGGGTTGCCTGAGGGTTCATGAGGAGCGACCGGACGGGCCTGCGTTGGCGGGGGTGCAGCCATGTCCGTTCTGAGCTTGTGGACGACTGGATAAGGAGCCGCTCGTGCGGTTGACGAACTCGGGAGTGTCGTCGACTCCGAGCGGGCCTGAAAACTATCGCCAGCTGTCATCCACTCAAACACAACGCGCAAGCGGCTCGAGCGGATCTAAGCCCTAAGATGATAACATGTGATGGAAGGTACAGATAGCAGTTGGCGGGGCGCTTCGAATAAGGTCCGCAGTGAGAGCTGGGTTAGAATTTACGATCCAGAAGCTTCCAGTAAGATGGCAATGGGGTCGTGACCCAGCGCCTGCATCTGAAGAGCGAGACAAAGATGGAAACGACGGTGTCAGAGCCTTGAGGTCTCTAGCATCAGATTGACAGTGATTGAACGAATGAATAAGCAGGCATCTACTCGTCCTCAGTTTCGGCGCAGGTTCCGAGAATCGCGGATGATCAGCTAGCAGCGTTCTAGGGTTTGCGCGAGTGTCGTCGAAGTGATGGGTAGGTACGATAATCGAAACAATCTCGAAATGCTCGATTGAAGGACAGAAGTGGCGAGCGCACGACCCTCGTTGGCCGTTGAAAATATTCACAACGCTTGTCTTGCATGCGGAAAAGACCCAAAGAAGCAAAGACCACAGTCCGCCCTCCTCAGCCACTGGGCGGCATATAATAGGTCCACTGGTGGCGGGCCAGATTCAATACCGAAATTCGACCAGCGTTAGCAGGTTGGGGCTCTGGATATCCGGAGCACCAGAGACGTCTGTCGAGTGCGCCAAAAGGGATCCGGCGGGGTGAGTGGCAGTCACTCGCTCTCAGGTGAGCGTGGGCAAGCAGACGAAGATCAGGCAGTAAGGTGAAAGGATGGACTAGGTAGGTCGGTCAAGGTAGATGATAGGTAGATCAGTAAGAAGAAAAAAGATTGGGGGCGATGAGACGAGACGATCAAGGGTCGGTGGCGACGAAGACGATGAAAGACAAGCAGCTGATTATGCTCAACCACACGGCGTCCATGTATCTTGCTGATGCCCTCTCGACGGTCGATTAGAAACGGATGAATAAGAGGTGACCAGGAACGAAAAATCCAAATTGAGATTTTTTGGGGCTACGGCGAAACCAACGAACGTCTGGCGCATCGAGCATTGGAATTGGTCGTGTGTGCGGCGTACCCCAACGCCGACCCAACCCCGGTCCCAGGTATGGAAATTCGTGGGCACTTTGGCCAGAAACTCCAGGCCCCTCCCCCAAAAAGGTTTCATAAGGACACCAATTCCAATGTTCATTCGTGCGTAAGCTCGTCGTCCGCCGCTGAACCTAGCGTGGAGCGCCCTGGTCCCTATCGTAGGCGGTCCCTTTGGGCTTAAACTCGAGTTGGACTGGGGACGCCGTCCAGTCCATGTTCATTTTTAGAGCCCACGCACAAGTCCCTTTGAAATGGCGTTCCGAGAAAGAATTTTCAAGCAACGGACAAGAGGTAATCTCATCCAAGGTTCCCATGGCGATCGGGGTGGTAAGAATCGCTTGACCGTGGCCATCACAGCGTCGCTGACTCGCCTCATTCGATGGAGCGGCACAGGATAAGACGGTCGTAGTGGTAGGCTGGTCCGGGGGAACGAAGAGCTGTCTACGACGCTTTACCTTTCATGACAAAAGATCCAACCTTGGCCTTTCGTACCGGTACTTTAGCGTCATGACTATACGCGATCAGCTCCCACCCGGGCAGCCTCTGAACAAACTCCCCTTTCCGGCCTTCTATCGATCCTCTTAACCGAACGCCGCTATGCCTTTAGTTCGCCGCCACGATTTGAAGATCTTGAGTGATACAGGAGCTCTTTGATGCAGCTGCCTTTTTGCCCAACAGGTCCCCCCTCCGACGTGCCCCTTGGGGCCAGACCATCACGAGCCCATTCGCGTGGCATGGTCATTGCATGCATGGTCATGGCATGGTTCCAAAGTGATCCTGCGTTTGTTCCCTTGGCGCTTCCCCATCATGACCGCGTCTTGCTCTCCTGTTATCGGCTTTCTCCATTGCCGCTTCCTTCCCCAATTCTCTCTTTCGTACGTTTTCTCTGTTATCGCAAGTCAGCAGAGACCGAGAGCTCGTTTTGGGGGTGGAGATGGGACTAAACTGCTCTCATGGCTCTGCCTCTCCACCGCATTCCCTCTTCTCCTGTCATTCGCTTCGCCTCGCCCCTTCATAAATATCCTGGCAACTTCATCTCGTTTGTCCAAGTACCTAAACCGCGCCAAACGACATGCACTATTCTACTCTACCGGTTGAAGCTACGGTGCCCATGCTCGTTAGACATTTCTGGGGTTCTCGGCAGCTCGACTCGTCGCCCGAGAAAGTCGTGTAGCACGCTTAGGGGACAACGTTGTCTCATACGGCCATTGGTTCTACTGGCGAAACTCAGTAATTGGTTGAAACACGAGAAGGGGGCGTATGGCATTAATCACGTATTCCATTTTTCTACAAATCGGAAGGCCACCCAAAGGAGGTTGGCATGGTCAATACTTGGGTACGTACTGCACTTTTTCCCTCGACAGCCCAACCCCCCCCTCGCCCCTTCTGATTGACCCCAGCGCCGAGACACTAGCGGCCAACCAGCGTTCCCGTGGCCGTGGTAGGGAAGACGCACCGGGGCGCGTCTGAAGAAAATGTCCGGTCTCTCTCTCGTTTCCTTGCACGTGCTCGCGTGCATTTCCAGTTTCGGGCCCTTGGCTTATTGTAAAGTGGGTCGATGGCTATCGTTTCAGTATTAGCGTGCTTATGGGGAGTTGGGTTTTGCATCTGATTAATTGCTGCTACGGAAGATAGGGAACACCCAATGCTTGATAACAGGTACCTGGGCATGCCAAAGCATCTGTCATCGGATCAGCGGAGAAGCGGGCGGTTCCAGTGGTTGTCCAACTGCAGGTACCACGCGCGAGGGCGAAATGCATCGAAAAGGCGTGTCTCCCAATACTTCGGTGTCGGAGCAGCTTCTCATCATTTATCCCGGAAGGTGATGATCGCAGCGGCCGGTAAAGCCTTGGTTAAGGATGGTTTGCTCAATTAAAAGATTATAGAGAACCTGAAAAGGCTGGATCAATTCCTACCTATATCAACGTGGCACGTCTGTTTTACCTTGTCACACCCATAAGAACGTACGACGGAACTGTACACAGAGACTGCTATAACACTAGGGGGCCCAGCCAGCGCAGCCCCAATCACTTAATTGGTCCTTTGACAATGCCCCTGAAGGGCCAATGACCTTCAATTTTATTAGGCACGAAAATTTAACGGAGAACTAGCCTCATTCTGCAATGCAACATCTGCCCTTGGCTGGTGATTCGAAATCGTTTCAAACTGTAAAGCCATACCGTACTGTATTTTACTGTAGCTAAAGTACACGGCGTCTGCTTCTCTAATGGCCTGGTCCATTTGGCTGGAACTCTTATGCCAATATTACATGGAAGATCAGACGATCAAGATATCAAGACCGCAGAGTCTCAAAAAATTGCACCTCGATCTCTGACATCCTTCAAATCGGTCTTATTTTCCCGTTTCCAACAAAGATACTATCACGGAGAATAAAAGGATTTCCGATATCATATGGAGCGATGCTCCTATAATCAAAATTAGGGACTCGTAGCGTGGAGGATGGAGATTTTGATGAAATTTGAAAATTCGAGCATAGGATCTATCGTCTTTGGTACAGAAAGTAGTTCGGAGCAACCAGCAAGGTTCAGAAACAACAATGTTCGATTCGTAAAACAAATCTATGGATTATGCACCTCGTACATTCGGATGTTTTCTTGACAGGTCGCGTAGCTGATCGCCTGTAATTTTCACTGACAACTCTTGTTTCGTCGAGACACCTTGGCTCTCCAAATTCTTAAGCATGAGATGCTAGGTACAGATGTAACGCAAGTTGCAACATGTTCGGGTCTTGCTAGTCTAGTCAAAAGACTATATATGGGAAGTTGAGGTGTTTCATTGAAATTTGGGACTATCATGCCTGCGTGGCAAAATTTGGGCTTCTCCAATTGAAAGATAGATAATAATGAAAACGACAAATTTTCTGTTAGAATAATTAATCGCATCATTTTCTGATTTCGATCAGATGATCTGAACCGCATTCGAAGACGAACTATTCTCAAGAAATCAGGATGCCGTTAATTAGTCCGCTGTCTTTTCTGAGCTGTAGACTGTAGAACCATCAATATCCAATGTATTGCTGCTCGGGCACAAATGACACTACATTGAGAAAAGATATGAAAAGGTCTTATTTGAATACTCGATCGCAGGGTCACAATTTTGAGGAAATTTCCTGCATAGCCTGCAATGCTACCCAATAAGCGCTCTCATACTTCATACAGAGCAATCGAAGATCTAATAAGCAAGACAATGCCGCCAAGACCGTCAGCGCATGATTGTTTTTGCTCAGTCCCCGGTTCAACAAACTGTGAGGACAATCCGATAACACATTGTCCCCTTGTACTACTTGATACCCCCTGTTATACATCGTGCGACATCGCTTGCTCGCACGAATGAATCTCCCTACATGACTCCTTGGATGGACATGGCCATGTATGCAAGTTCCTGTATCCCTAATTTCATCGATGTACTGTTGATGAATCTCATGCGCTATTTTTCCAAAACAATGGTTGCTGCTTGTCCATTACACCAAGGCTATGAGGGGTTGTAGAATGTCTGGAGCCGCCGAATGAGTTGATTTTCTTCCACGAGTGACGAGTCCACGACTCGAGGACTGCTCTACGCCACAAATAAGCAACAAATATATTACGTGCCGGAGAAATCTCCATCTAAGTCCGAGCAGGCCACAGACAACCATTCAAAGACATCGAGTTCTGGTTTGCACAATTTTTATCTAGTTGATCGCTTTTACCTAGAACACTGATAATATACCTAGGCTTATGCTAGCCATACATCAATGATCCTTCGATGGATCCTCGGTCGTCCATTTGCCCTCGCAGTCCCACTCGAGTGAAAAATTCTCAAATGTGTCTCAGATTTGTTGCTTTGTAATCATCAACACGAGTTTGCCAATGGCTTCCGCCATACTCCGTACTCATAGCTTGAATGTGAAGTTGTAGGGCCACCCCTCTGGTCGATCAGCTGTGCCTATGGAGGAAATGATCACCACAAACTTGCTTATATAATCACGGCTCGGGCCTACGGACTTTCTAGCGGTTCAATAGTTCAACAGCCCAATATCACACCGGTGAGCCCAATTGTGGTTCTTCTTTAATGAATATGCCTTTCAAGAGCCCCGGGAAAGATACGAAGTATATCCGATTTCCGGATCTCATCATTTGGTGGCAATCGTAAAAGGAGGGGGGAGGAGACTCAAAAAATTTTTCTTTTTGTCTGGGTTCATGAGTTCGACCCGCCCCTGCAGGATGATCGTCACCCGAACATCCAAGCTGCCCGGCACTACTAAAAGCTAAGGTGCACCAAGGTGAACATAGTAGAATACGGAATGTGTGAAATGAAAGTGGCACTTGCACAATGCACTTTGGGCATGATATTAGGCAGAAGTTCTGATTTATCATTTGAATTTATCCGCTAGTCGTCGCAGCGGGAAGAGTCCCTCCTATATATGGACGTTTCTTATGCTAATCTATCAAATTACATAAACTGCATAATTGGCTCATAATTTTATGCCAGGGATTCGCGAAACTCGCGCGTTTTGTGAGGGTGGCAGCGCGGCTCGTTGTTAGGTCCTTTAATGGATTTCCAAATATTAACCCGCTCTCTCCAGGCCCGCCTTTGATCTCACGTCAAGATATATGACAATTGAAAGCTTCTGAATCGTTCAAATTATATTTTTCATGCTAAAAATGGAGAAGGTGTCATGGAGGCTGCGTCCCTCTTCATCACCTCTTCAGGGGCCTTTCCGAGCAGAATTCGATCACCGAGTTATGTAAGAAGGACTGAGCTCAATTGAGACCACAGATATGCTCAGAGTTGAATTGCTTAGGCCTTTCAATTTGCTTTGGTTTGACCACATGGCCATGATCGCATATGTCAATTATTTTCATAATGTTTCTGTTTCCAATATTCCCTCCAGCTCTACCCAAATATGAGAGGTCAGGCGATCTTGAAAATCCGCATTTGCCTTCTGCCTTGCTCAAATATTACATACCTTCATTTTCTCTCTCGTGCAATATTTTTCCAGGTAGCACATATGTTTTCGATTTGCACTGCATAAAGAGGCTCCCAAGTGAGTTCGTCCAGATATCTGCTCCAGTGCTGAGAACTTCAATTGCTTGCCCTCTGTCGGTCTTGTTCACACATGTTCATTTTTACCATCCGAAAGCCGGGAAGGTCAAACTCAAAACAAACTCCAGCAACCTCATACAGACAATTTCTTCAGTTAATCTCGAACTACCGAAATCAGTAAATGCGTATCGCTGAGGGACTTCTACTTCTTTCTATCCTGAAAGTCAACAATACGGTGCAACTGTGCAAGGCAGAATCAAAAGTCAAAACTGATTTCTCAGCACAAGACTCAATTCTGACCAATTATCAATATTTGCTGAGCCTTTTCATCTTCGAGCTCTTTGAAGAGGCTGTGAGCCGGGGCTTTTGAGCCCAGCTTTTCTCTTCCTCACAGCGTGATGCTTGTCACCTGTGACTATTCCATGCAACCACACTCAGGCTTTAGAATACCTTTTCATACAGTCACGCAAACCGGACATTAAATTATTGGTTAGAAATGACTTATTTTTTTTAACGCCTCCAAATACCAGCAACGCCTTGGAAATGCTGGCTGATAGGCTGATAATAGTCGCATAATCATTTCTTCAAGCGTACAGCACTTCACGTACGTCTTTTTCAACTCCGACCAACCGGCTGGCTCTGGAAAGCTCAAGATCATTTCGAGCTGCATCTGAACGATGTCATTCCGCCGGAATCCAAACGAGGGTCCTCCGAACCGTGTCATGGGATGGGCGCTCTCAACTTGGAAAAAACATCAACTCGCACAGGTTCTTGATGCTATTAACGTCCCTTATGAACGATGGCGTTCGAAAGTCGACCTTTACTTGATACTCAATCAGAATAATCAAGGAGATGGGCTGACTGCGGCGGATCGTATCAGGATCCTTCGACGACCAAGGGCTGAGCCTCCCCCGCCTGAACCCCCAGCGGTTGAGCCTTCAGCGACACCACATCCAGCGGCACAACCTCCTGACCCGATCGTGAGAGATCCAGAGAATTCCTGGCGAGTTCTACTTCAACTACTTGCTAATGTAGTAAGACCTGTACAGGAGGCAAATATTGTCACCACAGAATGCATTGGTTGTGTCAGTGATCTCACCCCTGAAATCACGCCTTCTCGACCCATCACCGCGACCTGCGCTCACCAGAACAATATGTGCCTTGAATGTCTCGCACAGCATATTCAGGTTCAATTAGATAACAGGATGTGGAATAACATCTCTTGCCCTACCTGCCCTTCACGACTCTCATATGAAGATATACAAGAGTGGGCACGGCCAGAGACTTTCCAGAGGTGGGTATCGCAAACCATATGACTGACTGATCCAGCCATGAGGAGATTGCTGATTCTAATTCAAGATATGACCAAATGGCTTTACGTGAAACTATGGCGACTGATCCCACCTTCCGTTGGTGCCCTGCCCCTGGATGCGAGTCTGGTCAGATTCATGAGCGCGGAGAAGCCGAGCCTATAATGACTTGCGCCTCTTGTGGTCGCCGCAGCTGCTTTATTCATCAAGTGGAATGGCATGTTGAAGAAACTTGTGCACACTTTGAACAGACCAAGAAAAAGGCGCAGGAGGAAGCAGATCAGATGGAGGCAAGCTTAGCATTGGTAGAGAAAGAGAGCAAGCAATGTCCTAATCCCGACTGTGGCTGGAGAATCATCAAGAATGGCGGCTGTAACCATATGACATGTAAGTGATTGGTGTGTCCATCTTTCATATTTATTTCTTTTGGCTAAATTTCCCCGGGACAGGCCTCAAATGTGGACACGAGTTCTGCTGGTTATGTTTCGCTCGCTATGACGAGATCCTTAGATATGGAAATGCAGCACACAATCCCGGTTGTCGGCACCACACCGCCCAGTTAGAAGCGGCTGCGAACGGCCGTCAACAAGCTCGACCACGGCGACCACGACGTGCGGCAGCCTAAAGTATCCTCATTGTTTCTAAGGCAAAGCTGTCGGATCTGCTAGTCAAATTGCGGCAGATTCGTAGCGGCGTTCAAAAGGATTTTCCATGTCAAGCTCAATGTGTCTCAAGCCCACATCTCAATCACATTTTTACTGGAAGAATAAGGAGACAGTAAATCGGCTTTCGAGGCTAATTTTAGGGGTTATGGAATCTGTCATTTAACTTTTAGTCTCAAAATTGTGCCTGTGGATTCCTTTTTCTCTTGTGCACCAGAGGCCCTGGGTTGCAGTCATTGTGCCAAGCATAGACATTCAAATTGCACATGCGGTTCTGGAAATGGTGTCAGAATCGTAGTTTATCAATACCTCTTCGTTCGGATTAAGATATTATGAAATTTATGACATAAAGGATAATTTAGTCAATGAAATATGCAGCACGTGTTCATTTTTCGTCATGGAGATAGAGTAAAACAGCTTTTCGAGCGTCCGAAGAGCATGTAACCTGCCTCCTTGTTTGCGCCATTGCTTGAAAGCGAGCATGTGAAAATCAAAGGCCATTGGGCCGAGTGCCCCTTTGATCCTGTGACAGACGTCGTCCTATCGTAGTCCCTCAACTGTCGTAAAGCTGATGTACACCGCTGTGGCACTACGGGGATGACCAAGCCACACCAAAGGGGACAATGGACTACTCTAGCGATAATGGTGTGGCGTCATTGAGAGAGCTAGAATCTCAATGACGTAACCTGTAAATCTGATCATGGCGAACCCAGAGAAATCGCATACTGCCATGGTAAAATTGCCTGCTCAGCCCCTTGCCATTTTCCGCCTATGGACAATCGCTGTTTCCCCCTCCCCACAATTTAGCAAAGACAATCCAGTTCTCCATCCGGCTTGAAGTGGCTATGACGTGCTGGTAATTGCCGGACCCCGCCAGTCATCTCAGCTGCCCCTCCTTTCACAAGCCACAGGACAACCCTCTATACCCTTCCGTAATTTACGTGTACATTCTATTGTTTCATAGATGATCCGGGGAAAGCTCTGGGTCCTGTTTACGATGACGAATTTTGCTTCCTCACTTTAAGCATTCCCTCGAGCCCCTTTATCCTCCTGCTGCGTACGGTAATGAAATGGATAATCATTTGCAATCTCGGTCCACTTGTTTCGGCAGCTATTTCTCACATTCAACCAAGCTTGACGTTGTGCAGTTGATCCTAGCCCCACCTTGGAACTGACAACTGCCATTTTCTGGGAAAAGCGCCTCAAATCATGGAGTAACAATGTACCGTACTGTGTCCTACCCTCCGGCCCCCCGCGTTCTAGACTTTGGGAGGCTCCCGTAGGGGACCTTCCTAGATCCGCACCCTTGATGTAATCCGTATCCGGTTACTCTCATCGTGAAAGTGATGTGACGATGCTGAAAGCCGAGGGATTCCCACTTAGGCAAGAACCAAATACGTCAGGTCGTCGTCGTTGCCCTCCACACAAACATCATATTCACGCTAGACAGATTCAGGACCTGCACCCCGTGTGACAGGATCCAGCACTACATAAAGACCCCTCCCCTCGCAACCTCATCCATCTTCTTTTCTCCTCATCAACACACGCTTCACTTAAACAACCTGAATTCTCCTCTAAGATCTTCCAATACACAAACACTTTTCATCTCAAATCATTCAAATCCATCACAATGGCTGACCTCGGGTGAGTAATTCAATCGTCCTTTGACCGGCGGAGCTTCTTCCAGCTGTTCAATGTCAATTTCATTTCATGGATAGAAAATGTGCTGACTTGTTGCGTTAAGACGCAAGGATTTCTCCACCCAGGCCAAGGAGAAGGTCACTCCCGACTCGCAGAAGTCGTACCTTGACCAGACCAAGGAGTCGGTCACTGGCACCGCTGACAAGCTTGCTGGTTCCGTTCAGCCCTCCGAGGACAAGTCCACCACTCAGTCCGCCTTTGACACCACGCGCTCCAACAAGGATGACGCTAAGGGCACCAGCCAGTCTTACCTTGACTCGGCGAAGGACACCGTTGCCAATGCGGCTGGCTCCGTCCAGAACGCCCTTGGTGGTGAGTACAACTGTTGTTTGAAGACTTGGATAAACTTGATGCTAACGGGTACAATGTAGGCGGCAGCAAGTAAATGATTACATTTTACTTTCCAACGATTAAGATACACCATATTGTTCTCTCGTTGTTTGTCAATCGATTGACGACTGCACAAATGGGTTTCTCGGGCTACAACTGAGATTTGGGTTCTTATGATGGGATGGCTTTACGATTTCCTTCATGCATTGTTACTCTTGCTACGATAGCTTTTTATAATCAAGTTGAAGATGATTCAATTGCTCATGTTTTCTACTCTGTGAATTGATGACCTGACGTAGCTCGTGTATGGAGACTTGAATCCATGTTTTTGACACAGGCTTAATGGGTTATTTACAATATCTATAGTGAGTATCTTCATTCTGGCTGGAATAATACGCTTAGCCTTGGATGATTTGATCATCAGGCATTTTCCACACGCTCAAGCTAGTAGTTGGTGGCTATGCTTCGATAGTAAAAGCTCGAAACGCCTGTTTACACCTTACACTATTGTGTTGGAACGACAATCTATGCTTTTCTTCAGCTCAGAGTTGAGTAATGAAACATACTCCTCTGTCCTGCGACGCCAATCTTTTCTGGAAGCCCAAATGATCAGCCACTAAACCCCCTTTAGTGGAAGAGGAGAGAAAGAGAATAAACATACTTCGTCATTACAATCCAATCTTGGGGCCAGTGTCGCGAGTCCGATGCAATTGACTCGTCAACATCGTCAGAAAGCATGATGAAAGCGTACGATGGATGCCGATGCGGATTGTCAACGTGTTGGATGGGCAAGATATTGGAGGGAAGATTCGAAGCGGCTGTGAGATGATGCGCTAGCTTCGCAGGTGACAAGGAAATGCTGGAGACGTGCGGTTCCTTTGCAGAGAAACGAAAAAAGAATATCAACAACGTGCTCAAATATATAGATTGGTCAGACTCCCCAGCATACCACATAGACAGTCTTTTGATCCCAAAACCCTGAGTGCATGGCCTCGGCATTAGGTCTTGCGGGGCTGGTCGATGGTCGACGCCGCACATGATATGTATCTGGACTCAGCTGTTCGTTAAGTGATGTTAGACAGTCCAATGAAACAGCAATACATCCCTACTACTTGGGAATGTTTCATGCCAAGCTTACCTCAAGATAGCCTTCACTTGATAGCTTCATCAAGGATCTCCGCAGAGCCATTTGAGTCACTGTCGGTTTCATTCGTGCAAAAATGTTGGATTCTAGAAATGCAGATAAATGTATGTCTTTCATTATCAGCATCGGGCAAATTCCACGTAGAAAATCATGCATGATAATGGTGCCGGTGTTTGTCCAGATAAATGCAAAAACGACTGGTAGAGATAGAGCACATACATCCGTCCTCTCCGTTGATCTGTCTCTGGCGGCGAGTCAACCATTCTCGACTTTCGACATGATCAAGTACCCAGTCGGTAAAATGGAGTTCCAGGCCACAGACAAGCTGTTCTAGGTACGTCTCGTCCAGTTGTTCTGATGATGAAGCAGCGCTCTTTTCCCGTGGGCCTGTCGATGGAGTGCTTCGTCGGGGCTTTTTCAAGACGGCCGTGTCCTCCTCGATCGTCGTGGAAAAGTTATATGGCTGGTCTGAAGATGCGCGATGCTTTCCATTTAAACCGGTTTTGCGTTTGTGTGGTCGAGCAATCTGAGGCGGGATGAAGAGGGTTGGAGTGTTCTTTTGTTTTGGCGTATTTTGATCCATCATATGTAATTATTGCAAAAACACGCAAGTTTTGCCCACAAAAAATAAATGAATTAATAAACGAGTAAAGAATTGACTTAGAAGGAATTTCAAATGAATCTCAAACGTCAAAATAAAGACCAGAGCGTGTGTGAATAAAAATGCAACTATTCGATAACAAAACTAAGGCAAACCGTCGCGTCCAGTTTTGGCTCCATTGCAGGTGTGCGGCAGGGGCTCTTGGATATTTCTCAGCAGCTTCAAGTTCAGGACCACATTGTTTTCCCAGAAGAATATAGCGAATGTTGGACTGGAGGGATTTATTATCGAAAATTGGCCGTTGGATATGAAAGATCATGATTATTATGCCAGTGGTAGGTTGTCATGGCATTGATCTGCCCGAGCCAATGCATCGACGGAAACTAAACTTGATTGAGACGAGCATCATCCAAAATGTTAACTTCAGCTGAATTCATAGACAACCATAAACCATCAACTTCTTAAAGAATCGGACTAAACTCCAGTAAAAGGAAACCCTCGTCGGACCTTTATAAACGAATTGCTCCAAGTGCCGCTCGTAATCTTATTTGAGTTTTCCAGCTTATTCAATCTGAACGCCGCTGCAACGAGTACATCTAATCTCGACACTGAGGTGGGACGGAGAGTCGCATCTACGCCGCTGCTCTTTTATCCTACCTTCTAAATACCTTGACTAGTTTGCTTTAGACTTCGGCGATAGCCAAGATGGTAAAAGAGCGCTCTGTCAACCCGGCGCAAGCACAGCGCAAGCTCGAAAAGCAAAAGGCCTTGAAGAAAAGTAAGTCGCAAGCGATCATCCAGCAACGCTTATAGCTCTACTCCCACATTCATCATCTGTCATTTTATATGCTACATGACAGCATCAGCTAAACATTGGCTACAGGCAAAGCCGAGCAGCAAACGCGCCGAAATGAGAAGCTCGCCCGCCGAAATCCCGGTCGCATGCAGCGACAAATCGATGAACTGAAAGCCGCAGAAGAGTCTCGCCCGCTGTCGACACGAGATAAGAGCGTGCTTGAAGAGCTCGAAAGGGATCTACGTGCTGTACTCAAGGCGCGGGAAGCGCTTGGTGACAAAGCTCCACAATTCTCTTCATCACATCACCACGATGGCGGCGGCGGCGGCGGCGGTACAGGTCGAGGAGGACACGGTCAACGAGGTGGCCGAGGCGGAGGATCATATCTGGGCAAGCGGCGGAGAGGCAGCGACGATGGAGACAGCAGCGATAGCGAAGAAACCGACGAAGAAGTTCGCAGAATACCTATGCCGCGAGACTCGCCGCCGCCAATCCCGCCGCGAAGAAGACACAACAAGAATGCGAATATGATTCCCTTGGGAGGAGGAGCAGGAGAAGGGGGAGGCCGAGGAGAGCGGGTTCCCCATGCTCTGCCGCAAAAGCCGCAGGTACAGGCGCCGGCACAAACGGTGTACGAGTCGAAACCTGTGGTCCGAGATTTGCGCAAGGAGGCCATTTCAGCATTCGTCCCTGCAGCTGTGCAGCGGAAACTGGGTCTCCAAAAGGGCGAAGGCGGGAGATTATTAGAACCCGAAGAGGCAGACCGCTTGGAGAGAGAAGGATATGGACAAAAGGAAGCAGAAACATCTTCTACATCAGCATCACCATTACCCCCGTCGGCTGTATCCGCGCAGCTGGGTCCTGGTGGTGCAACATCCGAGGATGAGATAGCGCGTCTCCAGGCCGAGCAAGAGCGGTTCGAGCGTGAGCTTAGGACTGTGCAGGTCGAGGAGGTCGAAGACGAGGATTTGTAACGTCCTATCCTTTATTGTTTACGTCTAAGCGTGGAAACGTTGCGCTCTCATCATATTATTTTCCATTTACCACTCCCATTTCCCATCCCCCATATTCTCACGTTGCTCCGAGTCTTATACCTGGCGTTTTTCTTCTCTCTTTTGCTTATGAGAAATCGTTTCCATGTATTTAAAACACTCTCTCTCCCTATTGTACTCTCGTACAATTTCAAAAACAAATAATCCATCCTCCCATAAAATAAAATATTTCTTTCTCATTCCTCAACTACGGCTTTCTTCCGCATCTCCGTGTGACCATACGCATTCTGTTTTTCTTGATTCCTTTGGACTCCATTATTGACTGACCAAACGAGCCCTTGGTGAATCAAACATATCCTGTCCTAATGACTTGCAACTTGATTCATTTTTATCCTTTTCCTTCCTTCTTCCTTCCTTCCTTTTTTCTTCTCTCTCTCTCTTTTTTCTTATTTTGTTTCCATCTAATTCTTCAATGCGGTCCTCTTTTCTCTCGTTCTTTCTTTCTTTCTTTCTTTCTTTCTTTCTTTTTTTTTTTTTTTTTTTTGGTCGAAAGTCGAAAAAATACATGTAGATTTAGACAGACCTCGGTGTAGAAGTAAACGCACGCTTCATCGAAGAAAAAGTTCAGAAAAAAAAAGAAAAGGAGGGATATATACCTCACCACTAAGCTATCCAAGTACATGCGACCATAGACTGAGGAGAACTGGGCATCCCGTCCGCTCTGCCATACATAAGCCTCAGATCGGCGGACTAGTAGTTGGGTCGGTGACGACCAGCGAATCCCCGCTGTTGCATGTTTTTTTTTTTCGTGTCTCCGCGTCTCCGCTGTTCCTACTGTTCTCACTGTCTTTTTTTTTCCCCGTCTATTTGGTTAAAATTTTTTTCTCTATCCTAGACTTTCTCTATTTTATTAAATCAAATTAATTTTCTTTCTATTCTTTTATTTAGATTTTTTTCGGAGGGGGTTTATTTTTTTATTTTTATTTTTATTTTTATTTTATTTTCTTCTATCCCACTAGAAAAAGAAAGAAAGAAAGGCCAAACAACAACAACAACAACAATAAGCATCAATGCACATTACAAATCACACATGTCACTACGACCGAGGACGCCAGGAGAAGATTCCAACGTAGAACAGGAGTCGATTTCATGCAAGTACAAGTAGCGGATTAAATAATCATATTCCGAACCCGATTGTGCATGAATAAATGAATATATAAGTATAAAAAAGAGGTGACGAATGCAAATGATGGTAATTGTACTACTAATTGTAATACTAATAGTAACAGTAATACCGATACTAATTGTCCTACTGATAGTAATAGCAATACTAATACTAATAGTAAAAGGAATAGTAATAGCGATGGTAATAGTAATACTAATACTAACATTGAAAGGAATAGTAAAAGGAATAGTGAGCAATGAGTCCAGTAAAAAGACGCATCGAGAGGGAAATAGCAGATGACTTTCGAATGAGAAAAAAAAAAACTCCAGCGCCATGATTAAAAGGATAAAAGAAACTAAAAAGGGAAAGGAAGAAGGAAAAAGGAAAAAGTAAGACGGCAAGATAAAGAAAGAAAGGAAAACGAAGAATGGAAATATGCACAAAAAGGTGAGAGGGAGGAGAAGAATGAAGCCGAGGAAAATTGAAAAGCGGAAATGGGAAGGAAAAAGAAATAGGAGAGGAAAAAAGGGAAAAGGACAAGGAAAAAGTAAATGTTGGGACAAAGTCAGACTGACTATACGAAAGCAATATGCTCAACCAAATCAGATTAGATGCTATAAAAAAGTGACAGTGACACGTTGAGTTGAGAATTGTGTGCCAAGATAATAACCTCAAATAGAAAACGGGGGAAATAAAAACAGGGGAAAGGGAAAAGCTTCATGCAATGGAAAATGCCGTGGCGCTGATAGACAAAGGAAAGAACTTTAAAAAAGGGGAAATAAGCTGAGGTATGCATGATGGCGGCAATGCTCAATGGCCGACCGGCGCGCAGCGAATGAAACGATGGAAAAGGCGAAGAGAATAGTAAATTAAGAAAAGGAAATTACAGAAGAGGAACAAAATAATATGCATTAAAAGAAAGTACGGCTGCGTTGAAGAGGAAGTGGAGTCAAAAAAAAAGAAGGCTGATAAAAGAGAAGAGATGACGAGATGATGAATTTTGAGAAAAAATCATGCAGAGAACATCGAGTGAGACAAAAGTATAAGCGCTCTGGTCATGAATATGCCATCCGAAAAGAGCATGGATGCATAGGTGGCAACAACGATAATGACACTGATGATGATGAAAAGAAAAAAGGTGGAAGAGTTTGAGAGCCGAGCAAACATGGACCAAGAAACAATGACCGGGCCGATGAGTCCGAAATGCCAGATGCAGAGAATGCAGCAAAACCATGAGGTTTAAGACGTTTAGAAGCAGTGATAATGGTGGCCGCGCAGCGTAAAATAACGATAGTAGAGGAAAAAAGCCATGAGAACTCCCTTTTCGAACAAACTGTAAGACCCGACGTCCTCTGCCAAACACCTGAATAACTTGAAGAGAAAAAACCAGTATGCAATAACCAAATGCAAGCATTGATGCTATGCTCAAGACACCAGCCGTCGTCTCAACTGGTGAGAAATATAATAATTCATCGCAAGAGATGAAATGAAGTCGCAAAATCGTCATTGTGTGTCAAATGGTCCCACATGACGACTAGGCGAATAGAAACCAATTATCATCGTTCTCAAGGAACGAGAGAGCTGGCTTCAATGAACAATGGCAATGTCAGACCATCAGGTCCGAAAGTCCAAGTGTCCACGTGACGTATATTCATCATATCGCATTTCAGCTAGGATGAACCTCATGCATTTCATTGATCTCTGCGAGCTTTCTCGTGAGCGGTCGCGCAGGGATTCTACATTGCCATGACGTGATGCTCATCAGAATGGCAGCCGCGCTCGTGTCTCTTCATGTTGCTCCTCACACTAAAAGCCTTGCCACAGCCCTTGTGTGGACATCGAAATGGTTTCTCACCGGTGTGACTGTGGCTGTGAATGCGGAGAGAACTCGGGCGTGAGAAAGCCTTGTTGCACGTCGGGCAAATATATCGATCTTGCGACTGGGGAAAGGCGGCTTGGGAAGAAGGGGAGATGTAATGGTGGTGTTGCCACGGGTTTGCGCTGTTTGCTGCTGCCCCAGGCGTAAGTGGGATCGCTATAGGCGGCAAATATGAAGATGGAAGCGGGCGCTGGTAGTACATGCCAGAAGACGTCGGTGCGGAGCTCGGGTGATGAAGATCAGAGAAGTAGGACGTAGGAGTGGATATATGTCCCGGGGATGCGCTGTAAGACGATCCGTATGCGGAGTCACTGTAGGGCGAGACGGATTCAGGATGAGACGAGATGGAATGTTGCGATTGTGGGGGCACTACAATCGCCAATTGGTGTTGTGAAGTCGGGTCAACATTGTTGATCCCTTGAGAGAGATGATATGGTGGCTCGGAGATTGACGAGGCCGACGAATGGCGTGAGGGAGACTTTGGAGCGTCAAAACCGGATCCCGGCCGCAAAGGGGGTGTAGGCGGGAGAATTACTCTAGAATGACTGGCCAGCATTGAAGGGCCACATGCCGCTGAAGGGAGAGATGTCGGCCGACTGGCATCTACCGCAGGTTCCATCGTCATTGGTGCATGCCATTGCTTTTCTTGAGCTGCAAGAGGGAAATTTATAGATTAGCCTGGTGCAGAAAAAAAAAACAGACGGCCAGAAGTTATTCTGCTTACCATGACCATCTTGGGCAACAGCCCGACCAGCAATGTCGCAAAGTAAACTTGATATCGACGGCAGCGAGCACCTGTTGCTGCTCTCTTCCACTGGTGGCGATGGAGGCGGCTGCGGCAATCGCTGTTGCGGAACATAGTTGTTGATACTCTGGCCCGATGAGTACGGGTTGGATGCCAATGCTGAAGCCATAGCTGTATGAGGATAATGCGCACGCGTCTCGTTGTGAGAAAATCCGGATCCAGAGTGTATAGGGTAATTGTTGTGAACGATGCTCGACAATTGCATGTCGCGAGAAAGTGGGTATCTAAAATGACACAAGTCCAACCCGGAAATATCCCAATGGGAAGGGCTAGCTAGAAGAAAGGCAAGAAGAAATATGGGAGAGAGTGCCAGAGAGAAGAGGGGCAGGCTCGCAGGCTCAAAAACCTCAGCACAGCTCAAAAGATCACGATGCGGGATCCAGGCACAGAAGACGCCAGCGACCAACGTTGTGAAACACCACAGCAAATCATCCAGACGAGTACCAGACAGTGCACAAACGAAGAAAGTTCACATCCGTCAGAAATGGGAAAGGTTTCGTTGTGGTGAGGAGCTGTCCTCTGCAGAGACAGCAGCGCTTCACAACCAGAGATAGGCAGTGGAAGGCGGACGTCGGAAGCAGCGTGGGGAAGCAGCGTGCTATTCAATCCTGATCGTCGCCCTTTTTCAAGACTCTCGTGACTTTAATGTCCCCAAACACACTCGAAGACCCTTGGTGGGTCAACGGTCGGACTTCGTCAGACCAAGCCAAGCCGAAGATCCAAAGCTCGACACCGTGGTGCAAGGAGCCACCCAGACTCAATTTCCCCACCGAAACGCCGTTTTTGCGTATCGAGTAAGGGGGGAACCTTGGGCCATCAATCGATGTACCCGGAGATTTCGGAACGAGGCGTGCAGACCGTGCTGCGAGGCTTCCGTCCTAAGGAGGATCGTGGGGTGGACCAACCTCACTATGCAAAGAAGGGCCGACGTGATAAAACCACAAGCAGGTGAGAATACACTTTCGACGCGAACCAGGATGCGCCTGTCAAGTCCGGTGTAAGGCTATCGAATTTGGGGTATATGCAGGGCCGAAGACAAACTGGAATGGATACTTCTGATAATAGGCAGCTACTTCTTTCAGAAGCTCCGAACAAAAATCTCTTGTCGCGAATAACGGGTGTGAAAAGTATCAAGATTCAGGAGCTCCTCTTTTCTCTCACTTCATGGCCAAAAATTTGAGCGCCAGATGCTGCGCGGGCATAACTGGCGCCTCTTTTTTCTTGTAAAAAACTCAGTTGCTCGAACCATATGTCAATTAGGCATCAAGCCGCTCGAAGAAAAGACGGCGGCGGGTCCTGCCGGGGTCTCCCTAATAGTCAGGAAATAAAGTGGACAGGTGGGATAGAGAGGTAGGGAAGTATTGACGAAAGAAAAACGGAGCTACGCAAGGGACCATACGCCAGTGTCTTGTAGCATGACAGCGGGTTGGCCGTCTCGTGCGGTCGCTTTTGAAGCTATTTTTCAGGAACGACCGGCCTATCGCAACGGATCGTCAAGCATTAGAGGAGCAGCCCTTCACGTCAATCATCCTGGGTAGCGTTCGCCCCGTCAAATCAATAGCGCGACCCTAGGGACCCTTGTGTCGAGTTAAGGCGCCATACAAGAACGGAAAGTAGCATCAGTAGCTGGAAAAGGGTCCCCGTCCGACCGCCGGCTGTGCAAGACACGAGGACACAAGCGGACCAGGTATGATGAAGAATCGTCGATGACCATGACATGGGACCCTGAGCCCCAAGAAACACGGGGGAAGACCTCTCGAGGGCCGACCGTGCGGCGAATAGTGGTCAGCGTTGCGGTGACTTTGTTTTTTCGTCTCAGAAGTTTTCACACAATTTCTCGCAGTCAAAATTTTTTTCCGCAGCCGCCGCTAGCCTGTGTATGTATGTGTGTGTGTGGTCCCAGGATCATTATCGTCGTCGTGATCGGTAGTCGGTGGGACGATCTACTGGGGGGCGTCATTTACCTGGTTAAGGACGCCAACCGGCGCCTAGAGCCACGCTGGGGTCGATCTCCGCTCTTCTGGTAGAATGACTGCCGAAAAGCGGGACGAGGACTTTTGTTCATCCACTCTCGCGTCTTTCAAAATGATTCTCCACTCCCCTGTCTCGCTTGTTTGGCGTACAGTCCAGCTCCCGAACCCTTTCTGGCGCATTTTCGTACGAAAATCGTTGCCTCGAGTAGCTGTTTGGAGACCGTCTCTGCGGCCGAGCAATTGGTTGGTGGCCCGGGAGGGTGGGCGTCGGGGCGCCGTTGCGCCGCCAAATTTGACATATCATTTTCATTTCATTCGACACGCCCGAAAAAGGTAAAAGGAGGAGGTATCCGTAGAATGAAAAGAACAGCACACTGCTGCCTTGCCGGTCAATGGTTCCAATGGGAGGGCTGACGATCACGCATGCAGCGGCGGGATGGGCCATGCGATATCGTCCATAAGCGTAAACTGTAACCCAGATTTCCGTCACCATATAACATATCCCATGGCTATCGCGCCGTGTTGTGTTAACCAAACCCAATCATGTTTGGGGCGGCGTGCACCTGTAACCTGTGGGGAGCCAGTGGGAAACTGCGCCCCAGAGAGACCGCAGGAGTAAGAATGAGGAGAGTAAGCTCCCTAAACTCTCGAAGCTCTTTAACCGACAGCCCTAGGTTCTCAAGCATATAGTGAAGGGTAAGTGGGAGAAAGAGCCACCCTCTTGATCTACTCAACCCATGTGTTTTGTGTCCGCATCCACCTTTTGATTTGATTTTGCTGTCGAATAAGCGGGCCCAGTCCCTAGATCGTCCAGATGGTGCATTTGAGCTTGATTAGCCAAGTTTGATCCCGTGCCCGGCCAGCATGCAAGCAACTCAGTCCATTGTATTGCGCGCCAGAAGAGGCAGGCAGTTGTTCACTCCACTCTTTGCGACGCTTTCTTCTTTGGATATCTGGCCCAATTTTCTTGACGTGCCGATTTTTCTCCGCCTCGCTCGGTGTGAGAGGGCGAAACAAGCGTGGGTAGATCCACCAAGATCGTTCATCGTAAATAATTTCTACCCGCAAAAAGCGCAACCCCCTGTTATGTGGCAACGCATCATTTCCCTAAGAAATTATCCTTAACCGTGCACAAAACTATCATCGTTCGAACCCCATCCGGCACAGGGACAACATTCGTTCAAAGCAAAGCATCGCAACAAACTGGGTGGCCAGTGATAGGTAGCGTTGCCACCGGTCCAGCCTTGGTACCCTTAGCTGGGTACTTGGGTCCACCAACCTTTGTGATAGTTAGCGGTGATCCACCGCATAACAGTAACCGTAATTGATGTCTTCCACAGCAGTAGTCATGTCAGATTATGCCGAAGTCAACTCTCAAAGAATTCGGAAAGACAGCTAAGCCTTCCAAGCGGGGAGGTAACCGAGCGCGGTGTAAAAGGCTCGTTTAGAGTAGCATCTCCTGGGAAGGAGAATTGCTGACATTGGACATAACTATCACCCGTTTGTCCGATTTGAAGTGACAATAGAGCGCCGTGAGGTTTGTTGGGGCACAAATTGGTGACAGCTGCTGAAACCACACAACCCTCGTGATGCCGACTACAGTACATGCCTTTCCCAAACATCTGCATGTTCAACTTGCTCTAAGTGACTCCCTGCATGGCTGCTGATCGGCTCATACTTTTGCAAAAAAGTTGTGGCTTAATATTTCACAGAGTGGGGTATTGCAGGTAATGGCAGTACTCCGTAAGAAGATCATGCTGCTATGAGAAGAGCCGTCATCTCATATGCGCTGTCACTGCTGCGGCAAAGCACGTTTGGCGTAGCTTAAGACCCCCATACGGAGATCGCCCACTGTGGACATGGCCGTGTCCCCTCGGTCGATGCATGATCGGCGCCCCCTGACGCGCAAATTCGAGAACGATGCACACCACGACCGAGGGACGCACCAGTATCCGAATAGGACCATTCCGGTCGAAAATAGCAATGTCAGGGTACTGGTAGTGGACAATCAACCGCCCAGAGATTTTAATATTTGAGACTTGCACACGTTATGGTTCGTAATTTGGTTGACTATGCATAGTACTTCAAAGTCGATCCAACAACAAATTTAGCAAAATTTGCTTATCTCTGCCGAGAAAGAAAAAATAAAAAGGCGGATTTCAGACACTGTGGATGATTAGAGTGGGATTTCGTCATAGAGGCTCAGAGATCCATTAAAATTGCAGCGTCAGCGTGCCTAACGAGTTGTTTAGGTAGATTTTGAGAGCCACACAAGGCTGCCTCAGGTATCGAAATTCTTCAAAAGCATTTTAGTAGCAGATGATCAACAAGAGTTTGTAAAGGATTCCGTCATAGTGTGGACACCTTCTTTCCCAGTCTCATTTGGATGGTACTAATGGAAGCCCCTCATTTCAAATGTTTCGCGGAGAAATCACCGGATCATCTGATGGAAAAAAGGGGGGCGATCAAATGGTTAACTGGAGGCCCTTTTGGGGCTTTGTTGGTCTCAAAGCACGGTGACATGTGCGTACTCCGTACAGAGGATTTGGCGGCCCGTCCAGGGGATGGAAAAGTGCGAGAATGCGGAAGGTATCGACTGGGTCCGGCACTTGGAAGCGCGAAAATACACCGCTTCTCTGTGCCGGTTCCTTTGGTTTGATGGGTAGCGTGCACTCTAAGTGGAATCTCTTCTGTCGTGCCGCTCCCCGCCCTCTGGGAAAATGGATTTCCCGCGCACTCCAAACCGATTTCGCTCAACCTTTTGCGCGCTTTCATGAATTCCTCACCGTCAGACAGATTGTTGAATATATTGGACTTGACCCCTCGAGAATAGCAATGCAGCGATTCGGCCACGGGGGAACGCGCGGTTTGAGCTCATGACTTTCTCCCCCAAACGATAAGGACTCATCTAAAAGGAGTGTCGGCATTTCACTCTTATCCAGACGTTTTTGATTGAGCTGATGGCGATGAAGCTGGAGTATGACCTTTGAAGCTACCCGTAGGACGAAAAGCCCGGCCTCTCGTAGGTTGTTCTCTTTTGGGCGTCGTGCAGGACTCGCTGGCGGGTCTGCCCCCGATCCACACTCTGCAGTTAATCTATTTGGCGATCTAAACAAAGATTAAGCCGAAGTACGAGCGCTCTGGGTACAAGAAAGAGAGTGGAAATCGGGTGTTTTCACTTTCGTGCATGATCTGAATGGAAGACCCTGGCCTCTTACGGCGGCTGGCTCAGGAACCTATCTGAGACCGGTATGGTTGGCTGATTAGTCCATCAACTCCTCTCCTTCGCACCCGTTCAAAGATTTGCGTCAGGGAACAGGGGAACTCTGCCAACGGCGCAGTGTCCCTAGAAGTTGGGCGATTGAACTCAACATACATGTCTGCCAGCGTCTTGTGCGCCACGACCGGAGACCCGCTGGAGGCCACCATAGACGGTTCACCGATAGAATAAGAGAATTCTGGCACGATCACTAAATCCACTCCTCTGTTGACATCTTTTCGCTTCGTAATTTAACCTCCTCAACGCAAGCGTGATCATAACAACTTTGAGAAAATCATTATGGAAATGAGGGGCTTAGGGCAACCAGGATGTTCATGGAGTAATACCTGCAAACCATGAACCCTGGCCCCAAACCGTACCGTAAATGCAGAACGGCGGTTTCATGTCAAGCAATATCAGAACACGGCGCAGAAGTTATACGTAAACCAAAGCTTATGCACGTTCAGGGAGAGCGGTGGCCGTGCCACGAAATGTCCCAGGGAGAGGATGCGGTAATGGTGCAGCGGGCTTACCCCATAGATGGCGTGTCTTAATCGTGTAAATCGGCTATACGACCGAAACGACAAGGCGGATCCACGCCCAAGCGTGGCCGCCGGCGCTGATCTTCCCCACCGGATCAGACCATAATATCATCATTGCCATCTTGGCCCTTCTCTAGCTTTACTTTCGTGTGGATAATAATGCCAGGTGTTCTTGCGCACACGCCCCCTGTAACCAGTCGCAGCCATATCCGCCTTCTTCACCGTGTCACAAATATGCGGCATCTCGCGTCTTCGTCGCGTGGGTAAGGTTACTCAAAACCACTTCTGTGGAAGTTTAGCTCCAGTCAATATGCCGTCTTGCTTTTCGCTCGAAGAACCACGGAGAGAAAAGGAAAAAAAAAAAAAAAAAAAAAAGGCGTTAAAATACGTTGTGGATACATTTTGCAATCTTTCGGCCCTGGTCGGCATTTGATGTTTACCTGCCGCAAATATACCGGAGTAGACGATTAGCAACAATGCACCAAAGCCGCTTACTGCAGGTTACTCCGTATCTATCGATAATTTCCCAAGTAAGTTAATGGGTCTCAACTCGAAAGCTATCCGTAGTAGGTAAGTCAACCATTGCTGCTCCGGTGAGATGTGGATGACCAATGTGGTTGCGCTCAGTTGTCCCAGGCGACAACATGGTGTTTGATCGCTGCTGGACAAGAACACGTTCCCCGCTATCACGATATGTAATTAAATTGACGTATCGCACTATTGGCGTTGCCAAAATCTAATGATGCGAAATGAGAGTTCTAGTTAAAAGTCATTTCTTTCATTTCGGATTTGGATTTCCTCCCGCTTGATTTGGTTGGATGAGCAGGGTTGGCGTTACTTCGGCGTCTGCACCGTCGTTCGCTTTTCCCAGCCAAACACATCCTAGTCGGGTGGTCTGGCCTGAGGCCTGGCAGAGAAATGCACGCTCGTGCTTGATGCAGATATGTAGTTGGTAAAAGTTGAGCCATTCGGCGAGATGTATTTCCTTAGTCTCTCCCCGGCTACATTCACCGGAGTGAGCTCCAAGGCCAATGCTCCGGCCAACCGGCATTTTTCTTCCTCCCCTTCTTCGAGCCTCCCCCAGCAAAGACGTTTGCGATGTGTCCGGAGCCTTTTCTGCGATCGCAGTGGACGCGACTCGAGCTTTCAATGGAAGATTGATGGTGCCGGTTCCGGGAGGAAAACAGGGTAACGAAGCTCTTCCCTGACTTGCCAGATCTCGAATCCGAATGAATTCATGGAGTTTCCTATCAGCCTTTCCTGCGCGGGTTTATGTTTTTCCTTGCGCTGCTTTTTTTTTGTACGCGTACTCGCTCTTCTTGCGCTTATCATTCTGCTCTTCTTTTGAAATTGCCGTCTTCCACTAAAGCGATATGAATCATCAAGATTCGCTGCTGTCTTAATTAATCTCACAGGGGCTTTTTCGAAGAGCCGAAATCGCGGCTAGTATTACGCTGTGACCTTGAGCGGGACGAGGATGAAGGGGAAGGTTCAAAGACCCTTTGGAGCATCTTTCCTTCACCGCCAGCAAAGGGTCTCATCCATGTCCACGAGCTATATAGCCAAGCGATGGCGTGTTATTCATAAAATTGACACACAGAAAATATCCAGGGCCTTCCGAGATTCGGTTGACTAGGCGTGAGAAAAGAAACCCAAATTTGCTGAATTCCACAACGGTCAGGGGCAGGGGTTTCCCAGCGGTAGAATCCTGCGCCCGATGTGTAAGGGTATTGGTCTCTTTTCCCCAGCTGTCGGTTTGTACCAGTCCGCTCTTCCTTGTCGACGCTTGGTGAATGACGGCCAAGAACTTTCGTTGCAGATCATACTCTGCCAATCCCAGTTCTTAGAGCTAGGACGTCCTGGGATTGCGAGGATGCACAGGGACCTTAGCCTTGGAAGTAACAGGAACTCAAAATAGGAACTCAAATATCCAGTTTTGCTTCTGAGGGTTGTCTGCGAAACTAACGAGTCGACAGAGCTTGATGTGTGGCTCGATCCTATCTCTCGGTGTCATGAGTTGTCTTGCAATGGCCGGAAGTTCATATCCATACCCATGATCCTGTAGTAAACTGCCCGACGTCAATGAGTTCTAAAGGCCCGTTGGATTCTTCAAGGGTGAAGTCTACCAAATTCGCCAGATAAAAGATTTGAAACGTAGCTTCACGGGATAATCGCGGTCAGTGCTGTCCGTTCATGGATTGCTTCCAATTCATTCCCTGACGGAAAGAGGTCGTGCATCAACAAGCATCAATCCTGTCTTGAGTCTTCGGAGACGGGAATACCTTTCTTTCGCCTTCGCTGGGCGGCAGCCGCGCTCAGTAATAATTCTTGTTCAAGGCATCAATGCATTTGGATGGGGCGATCCACTTACTTGCGTCGGACTTCATATATCTTCACTACGTGGCATGTAATAGAATTGCGTAAGCTCCAGACCTGGGATAACAAACCGTTTCCTGAATCACAGCAACGAAGACCTCAAGCTAGAATTGCAAAGAAACTTTATTGGTTGTATGGATGTTGTAGGACCCCTCTCTTTAATTTGTTAACCGTGGCAAGATGTTGCAAAACTTCACGAGATAAGATTGATGCCCACATTATCCTTGTATCAGTTGTTGCTGTTCCAAAATGACGACAATGCGGGCGGGCCCGGAAGCGGATCACGACGAGGAAGAAGAAGGTTCATTCCACAATGGGACTATTTTTCGGAACATATTGCATCCTGGAGACGAATCCGCATTAAGTATGCACCAAATACAACGGCTCAATACCGCCAGGATACTTTGCGGGATATGATTTCAGCAAGCAGGGCTAGAACGCTGCGGCAAATATTCATTGAGGAGGAGCGATTTATGATGCAAAATCGACTCTTGCCCGCCTGCTTCTCCCACGTACTTGACCAAGTATGAGGCGTGGTGTTACCTTGATCCCGTTAAGGAAGATGATCTGATAATCAGACATTTTGGACCGAGCACAAAGAAACAAGACCTCAATAACCCGTCCTGCAATAATGCCTTAGTGACGAGATGAAGTGTGAAAACTTAACTAGCCACGGTTGGTCTACAAGCGAGCATAATTTACGACCTCTTTTACTGTCCAACGCGCTGTGAAAAGAGCAGTCAGTTTTGGCTTGAGGCGGACTGGATAAGTTTGTTTTTGCTCCTTGATGACCTTTCGGTTCTGCAATAATCCAATCGTTTTGCAATCTGAGAATGTTCACTTCAAATGTACAGAATGATCACTAATCCGTGGAAGCTTACTGTATTTATTATACATATTTATTAGGCTGCTTCGCGGGCCATTTCTTTTTATTTCTGGGATAACGAAATCGGTAAGACACGCATCCAAGTGGAGATTCGTGCTTCATTCGCATTCTTTAAGCGTGTGTAGATATGAAATAATGTATGAAATGTTAGCCCCAAAGTGGAGTGCTGGTAAGTGAGATCACAGGAAGACGAATAGTAGAATATAAAAGGAATGGATATCGAGAATAGAAACAATGTGACGACGGAAAAATCTCAAGTAAGAATGAACGCCACAAATGCAAGTCAGCCCTGAATATTGATAGATGATAGAAGCTCCTCTGAGAAGTGAAGACAGCTAGTAGAGAATAATAAAATTGAGAATGCACACAAAAAGCGTGTGTGAGACGGGGCTGAGGGTGAAGCACAGTGTAGAGGACTAAGGGAGCTGAGATTAAAGCGGGCAAGAGGAACAACGTATTATCAGTTTCGAAAAAGTGCTGCCGACGAAGCACATGATGGGTTATGCTCCTGGTAGAGCGACCAACATTTCTCATTAGGGATCTTTCAGTGTTGTTCAGGTTCTGCCGCATAGAATTAGAATAAAAGTAAAATTTTGGGTAGTAATGCAAATGGGGATTGAGAGTTCGTAACATCATAAACTTGCAATATAGAAAAGGGAGGGGGAAGACGAGAAGCTCCATGACAAGAATACTACGTTGCGTTATCGGCCAGGTTCTTCTCATTGACAACTGCTTTCGTCTCTTGTGCAGGAGGCTTTTCAATCTCGTCGCTGTCGATTGACCTGACTCGCTCTAGCGGATGCATGGTGATAGGTGGACTTGCGATTCGCGTGGAAGAGGAGCGGTGACGATTTCCTTCTTGCCAAGCGATAAAATCTCTTGAGCTCCAACTTGCACGATGGACACGTCCACCGTAAGGGACTGTAGTGAATGAGCGCTGACTCTGAAGACTATGTGAGCGACTAGGCCGGGTCTTGGGGGGTTGAGAAGATTCCAGGGACGTAGGATCTTCAGGGAAACTCGCGATGACATCGTCCTCCTCATCTTCAATCTTAGGACATCGACGGAATGAAGTGACGTTGAAGTAAGGTTCCTTTGGCTCCTCTGGTGGTGGCGGCGGAGGAGGAGGAGGAGGAAGGTCATCGGCGGCTTTGTTGATGTGTTTGAAGTATTTCTCGCGCAGAGGTGTCCAGCTCTTGGGCTTGAAGGTAGCTCGATTTCTGGAGAGGGACATGGAGCTGGAGAAAGCCCCAACGGCAATGGAGATGAGTAAAAGAACAACCAAGATCCCCTGGATGACGATGATGACAATACCAATGGCAGTCGTGGTAATGCGGCCGAGATTGAAGCGTATGTCAAAAGCCGCGGACAGCGCGACAGTGAGAACCTTGCTGAAGCCCAAGAAGTAAACCATGAGTGCGTTCAAGCGCGTTGCCTCAAATGGCCGCAACGTGATAATAGCAATCAGTGCGATGGTCTCGACTGCCAGCAAGCCGAAAACTTGTACCATCGGGTGCCCAGCAGCTCCCCCATAAAAGCACGCCCGCACAAATTCGTAGAGGAGCCAGGCAGCAAAGAACCACCACCTTGTCCTCCGAAACCGAGATGCAAGCCAGCCAAATTTTCTGATATAATCTTCATCATGATGTATGTCGGTGCCTTGTGACTCGCCCTTCACTTGTTGAACGCTCCACCACGGTATCGACCCGGCAAATACTTTATGAGAGTTCTCCGTCTCTTTGCCATTTTTCAGGCTGACGCCATACCAAGGAATAATCTTCCAGACCCGCTTTCTTTCAAAATTGAGTCTATCGGGACCTGCGTGGTAGTTGCCACGGCGGAGCCGATAATATATCGCGAATACCGCAATGGCGAACATTCCGACAAAATAGATGACGAAGAGAATGGCTGCAATGGCGGTGACGCCAGGGGAGCCTCTGTAGGTGAATTGGAACATCGTCAGGAACATCATCATGAAGAAGCCAATAAAGAAGGCTCGCAAAACGGCAGCGACAGTAAATTCAATCCAGTGTCGCTTGTAAGTGCCTAGTCGATCCTTTCTCACGAGCTTGATAGCCGTTAGCGCCTCCAACAACCACCGAAAGCTTGCAAATGCTGCCGCTATGACCGCAATGAGCACGAGGAACCAGAGAAACCCAGTTATGAACGCATTTGAGGCCGGGATGTTCTCTGGTGCCAAAGTCCCGGCGAACCCAGAATAATTGCCAGGAAGGGGAAGACCCTCACGAACCGCATCTCCGTACCATGAACGCTCGGTTTCGTTGTGCGTCGCGCGCCGGTAAATATTGGAAAGAGACCGCCCATAGATTTCACGGATGGAGTAACCACCGCCAACGTCGTTGGTTGTGTAGCCAGCGCCGGCTGCTCCAACTGAGAGTGTGCTGCCGAGGTTCGAACCGGTCAATTTCTCAACCGCATTTTGCATATGGTTTGAATAGATCATGCCGCCCGCCCACGCAAAATTGCTCCACCAAGCCGGCAGCACACTGGGCCAATTGACCGATAAGGCACCAGTGAAAAACACATGATGAAGAACAGCGAAGACGACAAAAACGGAAAGGGAATGAGCATAATGTTTCCGCATTGTTGGGATGTCGTCTCCGTATGCGGCAGTTGCAAAGGAGGCAACAATGGCAATCAAAGTAAAGATACCCATCACAGTGCCCACAGCGCTGGGATGAGAAAAGGTCGCGCCATTTGTGACGACTGCAGAATAGCAGCCCACCTCCGATTCTGTCGAATTTGCAAAGATGCGAAGCAGAGCTTGCCCTTCAAAATCCGGTATGGTGAGAGCGATGGCTACTGCATGTGAGTAAAATCGTCTGTCATTTTATCCATAGAGATTGCACGTACAAGGAATGCCTGCAACGTCTGACGGCGAAACTGGAATGATACCGCTGGCTTCAATTGGAACGCTAGCATTCATAGGACAAAGACTGAAGATTGTTAGTTACTGCGAGATACTTTATAAATTAGGCGAAAAAGATCGCACCTGGCGATATTAGCATCACAGGGATTGAATGTCAAGGTAAATCGGCTCTCGCCGTATGCGAACACGCCAATATACACTGGACCAATGTTAGCACACGTCTATGATTATAAAATGGTGGTTTAGGTACTTACTCATGAGAGACTCATTCTTGACATTGGTATTTCCTCGGAGGTGAAATACGACAGTCATGTTATCTTTATAGTAGGCAGCATCGAATCGAGTCACGTTAATGAGACTGTCTCCCAAACAGTCACCATAATCGCCCGTGTAGAGAGCCGGCCGCCTCGCATCATCAAGGTAGACCGTATTGCCAGAATCATCGACGGTTTGGACATATCTCGTATCACTCGCAGCAAGGACCGGTCGATGCAGCATGAGAAGGACGAGGAAAAATGATAAGAACTTGGCGCATAGGACGCCAGAAGTCCGTCGGGATGCCATTCAGCCAGATATTTGGCCTGAGCCAAAGGAAGTTGGAGGTCTATCGGGTAATACGCAAGCCTATCTGAGGATTTCTTTTCTTAGCTTTGTCGATTTCCGGTCTACATTCAACCACCTGTCCTCGCTGTCAGTGCGAGAGAGCGTTGGGCGACTTTTGGAAGCTGCCTTCACCGGCTCGAATGGCCTCAACAAAGCTCAAAGAGCTTGGCGAAGACGACCACAGCGGACGATGGACAATATCGTGTCGCGAGCGCTGCAGCAGATTGATAGAGCACAGAGAGTTGAAAGGAGCGGGTATGTGCTCGGCCCACCCTCAGTGAGGTAAGCGGCGGCAGCACGTCACGAATCGCCGAAAGATTCAAGGTGTGAGAGCATCCATCGTGGCTTGACAAATTGATGGGTAAAGTGTGAGTGAAGGCCAAGTGAGAAAATTATCGGAACGAAAGGATTAGGTTCAAGAGGACAAAGAATGAATAGATACAGCCTGTAATGTGGTCTGTTCTAAGGAGACAACGAGAGGAGATCGGTGAGCGATGTTGAAGAGGTGAATGAGAGAAGCGACTATGGTCTACAGGGCTACTTCGGGTGTGCCGATCTGTCCGCGAGCAGGGAAACGGGGCTTGGGCTGAATGAAGAAGGACAAGAAAAGCTCAAGGCGCTTAGAGAGCCAGCCACTCAAGTACCTGCAAGCCGCCAAGGACTCTTTGCTTGCTGTGCATGCGCGCTGATTATTATTATCTATTGAGTCGGTGTCAAGGTCACTTTGCCGGTGCATGGACGTGCATTCGTATTAGCTAACAGCACCGTCTGCGAGTCATTCAAGGCCTAAAACCCCCCTTTTCCCTATGATGCCTCGTGGAAAATGACCATTACTATTTGAAATGAACAATAATGGCCTATAGTAAATGAGACCAGGCCAGCGCATTACCATCATCATCATCTCATGAGCTATCATTATTAATGGCATGGGCATTGCCAGCTAAAATGTACGGTGAATGCGCTGGTAAGACGACCGGACCCGCTAGGGTAGAGACGAACGTGGGCCCAGGTGAAGTTGCCGAGGAGTGGCTGGAACCGAGGGGAAGCAAAATAGGCTTTTCCCGTCCGACTCAAGGTTCCACCCGCTCTCGAAGCTAAAGATACGGGATGACGGCGAGGAGAAGGGGCAGGCTTACTCCGTAAGGTATTTCGCGCAGAGGACCGTAAGATACACTGGTAAGACAGTCGTTCTTGATCATTACTAGTAGAATGCCATGTTGTGATAAGCTGACCACACAAATAAGAATATCCTTTTTGGAATTCTGAACTGCTCATGCGGCCCATGATACGCGATGCCGTCACGGGCCCACTGAGCGATAGCTTACACACGGGCCCAATTGCTTGGCGATCGAATACACAAGGTATCGATACTTTATCTAACACTCGAAACATGGTACGTTTAAAGTACCAATACTATAGATCTGAGCTTCCGTCGATCGCTGGACCAACGAGATGATGCATTGGACTGAATAAACTTTACACATGGCCAGAACCCTAACACTTCTCCGCTGTTTCCCATCTTAGTAAACTGAATCGGAAAAGATGAGCAATACTGACTCGGCCACCCTCGTTACTTATACCTTGACACATGTTTAAAGTTGTTGTAGTTTATGCGCGTGTGGATACAGTTATGCCTTATCGTGGCTCTGTACTGGGAAACCCGCTGTTCCGGTTAAACCAACTCTAGTGGTCCCTCAGGACTTGCACTTTACGGAGCATCCAGAGGTTCCTTCGCTTACGGATGAATCTGAAGGCACTCCCACCCCTCGCACCAAACGCAAATAACCATACCACACAACGACTGGAACATCGTCCGTTCGGCCTTTCTTTCATTCTTGTTCGTCCATTTCTTCATCTCTTGACATGGTGAGATCATTAATTCTTCGGCCAAGAGATCTTGATAAGAGTATGCTCAAGTTTTTGGGAATGAAAATAAGACTCTTGCTTGAAAATCTATATTCTAGAATGACCTATGTACGGACAAATTGATCCACAAAGTGGTCCCGAGAGCCACAATGAGGAGAATGATCAAATACTCTCTACAATACTTGTTTCAAGCATCAAGTTTCAGTCTTTCCAACAGTGTATCAATCTTACCAAGTAGGATACGGTAATTCTGAGCATCTGTCGAAAATTCATCCCCAGTGACCTGCCCATCGAGCGTCCTCAAAACGCCACTGAAATCAAAGGCATTGGCCCCTTCAGAAGTGAGATCTGGCTTCTTTGGTTCTTGAGAGGTATCATCTGGGCCCTTGAGGTCTACCCCTTCGTCATCGGGCAATTTGAAGTCAGGGTTCTGGGCCGCAACCAGATCCGATTCATCGCCAGCCGTTGCATCAATCATCTCGTCAATTCCAGAGTCTTCAAATCGTAGTCTGAAACGTTCAGAAAGATAGTATCGAATACTGAAACACAAAGTCAGTAACCCATCATCCAAAATACCAAACATGCAAATAGACATACTCATCCAACAATTCGATACTGTCCGTCTCCTGTCTCGCTTTGATTCGCGCTGCACTTTCGCGGATAAGCTCTGCGAATTCCTCCTCGTCGATGTAGTACTCTAGCCTATATGCTAAATATCTGGCGGCAAACTCTTCCAACCGATGGACACGGGTCAGCCACCCTGCCCGAATCACATCGTAGATGTCAATTTCTGGCTCGGTCTCGTTCGACATCCCTCGGGGATTATCAGACTCAACAACGGTCATTGTTCCGTTTCCGAGTGTGCTGATAACTGTTGCTGCTTTGACCTTGAGCTTCTCGAGGAAAAGTTGGTCCGCTGCAAAAAGCACATCGATTGCTAAATCCAGGGGGAACTCGGCCTTTTCCGTATAAATAAAATATAATACAATCTCTAATACCTCCGGTGAGCAGTCGATTGGTATTATCTGCAGATGGGACGTATCTTGTGCCTCCCGAAATGTGGACGAAAACATTGCAGAAAAGAAGTCAGATCTGAGAAGCATCGCACGATGAACGGGAAATAGAGTCGATGTTCGCGGATATGAATGGTGCTCCGGTGGTGGCGAAGGGTCCCTTACGGGACCCACAGGAATGCCATTCAGTGGGCCATCGGTGGTCCGAACCTTTTGTTCTGGGCCAACACTTTCGATATTCCCGTCAAGCTCTTCTTCATCGGTATCGACATCGGCGTCTGCTCGAAGAAGAACATCTGCAAATATGGCATTGTCGCGATCCCAACGGACATCATCTGCGTTTCTGGTATTGGTGACCACCTTGTGCTTGAGCACGTGTTCTCTGAACCACTCTTCAAGCTGGTCACGTCCTCGGGTCACTTCCTCCGTACGGCGTTGGCGAGCCAGACGCCTGTCTCCACCGCCCAAGATGTTATCCAACAAGGTTTCAAGCCCAAGTTGCTTGCTTAGCTTGTCGATTCCTGCCACCAGTGTCTTCTCTTCCTCATCGCTTTCACAAATGCCACTCAGATCCAGCGGAATCTCTCCGAGATAAAGATATCGAATCACGATATCAAACGCAAGCGGAGGGATAGCACTAGACAGCTTCCAGCCATTCGATTCAGGTGTACTTGCAAGCTTGTTCCTGAAATATGGGGAGCGCGCGGACAAGATGAACTTATGAAGATTGAGCGCACCGCCTGATGTGCTTAGTGTGATGTCAGACGTCTTTGGGTGAGTTCTGATCAAGAGCGACGTGATATGGGAGGCCAATGGCTGCAATGGATCCGTGGACTTGGAATAATCGTATTTGAGTAACAGATTTCGTATCCGATCGTTTAATGCATTGTAGAGACATCGCTCGCCTTGAAATGTATCTCGCTCGCATAAAGCGCCAGATTCCAGAAGCAGCTGCACAACTTCATAATGACCGCAGAGACTTGCCTGGGCACACAAAGTCAGAATTGAGATCGAAAGTCACATATTGATGTAGATATTTGACGAAGGGTCTTGGAGGTCGGATAAGCATCCTAAACCCCGCAGTCTGCGATTGTCATTGGATGAATCTTTCCTCAGCTCCCCCGCTCAATGATAGCATCGTTTCTCGACCTGCGTGATGGGCATCTGACTGCCTTACAGACGGTGCTGCAAAATGGTGCAAACATTACAGAAAATACGGCATTATGGCCCGCACTTACGAGAATTAGGGGGGAATAATCATATTCATCCCTCGCATTTATATTTACACCATCTGTGATGAGTTCTTGGCAGCGCTTGAGGTCTCCACGCCGACAAGCTCCACACATTTCCTGGAACCCTTTGCTGACATCGAGCGGATTCTCATCTTTTAATCGGCCATTGGAAATCTCGCGTTTCTCCGCATGGAGAGTGGCCTCTAATTCATATTTCTTGAGGACCATTTAGACTGAACTTTGACACGCTGACCCGCAGCGAAAGTCAAATGCAATATTTCAACAGAAAAAATTAAATAAATCAATAATGCCGAATAAAAATATGACTTGAAGATAGCGAAACAATGTAATAGCTGGTCAATTGACCCGGCATATGATGTTCCTCCATGTACGTAAGGTAAGTCATGCTCTCTGAAGTCGTCAGGCAAGTGGCGGATTCGCTTGTCTTATCGATAACTGCACGTGACTTAATTTTCTCGCTATGACGGGATAGATGTAGTTGCCGTGTCAACGAGGCGGCATGAAAATAGCTGGGGTCCCGTTCACTTTCGGCTCACTTGTTGATCTCATCTGGTTAACGTAACTTACCGTATTTGCAACACGACAGTCGACTTGCTACTAACCTAACAGCTTCAATTCATCAATCCACCTCCTTTCAGTTGGTCTGTTCATGGAATAGACAATACTTGCTCTGCAAATTGATAAGAGTAACGTCGGTTCCTTGTCCAGGCACAAGGAAGCTCAGAGGTCACCATGGGTGACAGCGATCAGTATGAGATTCTCGAGAAAATCGGTAAGTGGTGCTTCCGTATGCATATATATACATGAATGAAACAGATATTGACTTCTCGCAAGGCCATGGCTCTTTTGGGATCATCAGAAAGGTCAAGCGAAAAACGGATGGCTACGTATGTTATAGCAAGCTTTAATCCAAAACGAAGACCCAACTCACACTTCGTCACAGGTCCTCTGCCGAAAAGAGATCAGCTACACACGCATGTCCCAGAAGGAGCGAGAACAGCTTCATGCAGAGTTTTCCATTTTGAGTTCTCTTCGTCATCCGAACATCGTCGCCTACTATCACCGGGAGCATCTCAAATCCAGTCAAGACCTTCATCTGTACATGGAATACTGCGGCAATGGCGATCTGGGCAGAGTCATCAAGACGCTCAAAGCAAATAACCAATTTGCGGAGGAACCCTTCGTCTGGAGTATCTTTACGCAGCTTGTCACGGCTCTCTACCGATGCCACTATGGCATTGATCCCCCCGAGGTTGCAAAGAACGTCCTTGGTCCGAGTAGCTCAAAACCCACCGCATTGAAAAGCAAAGCAGGGCAAATCATGATCCTCCATCGAGATCTCAAGCCAGAGAATGGTAAGACATTTGCACTCGCAGAAAAACTGGATGGAGCTAACGATTTGCAGTCTTTCTCGGCGAAAACAACTCGGTCAAACTCGGCGATTTTGGTCTCTCCAAAATCCTTGCTTCGCATGATTTCGCATCCACGTATGTTGGCACCCCGTTCTACATGTCGCCCGAGATATGTGCAGCAGAGCGATACACACTCCACTCCGACTTATGGTCACTTGGATGCATCATTTATGAACTTTGTGCTCGAGAACCTCCGTTCAACGCCAAGACACATTTTGACTTGGTTCAAAAAATCAAAATCGGCAAGATCGAGTCATTGCCACCAATCTATTCCAAGGAACTTCAATCAGTCATCCGCGACTGCCTTCAAGTTAATCCCTTGCGACGGCCCGACACGTGGCAGCTGCTCGATCTACCCATGGTCAAAATCATTCGAAAGGAAAGAGAAATTGTCGATCTTGGGAAGATACTTAAGACAAAGGAAGAGAGCGCTGGACAGAAGTTGAAAGAGGCGGAAGACAGGGTTGCGCGATTGCAACAAGATCAAGACCAGTTCAAGGCTGACATCGAAGCGAGCCTCCGCCGGGAATGGGAGGTTCGAGCGAGGCTCGAAATCGACCGACAAGTTCAGTTGGAACTGGAGAGACTGCGTAAAGCCTTTGGTCAGGAAGTTTCCGAACGAGTTGAATCAGAGCTCTCCGCACGGTTGCAGGCCATGACGCAGACCAGCAACGACGCAACAAATACAGCAGCTGAAGTCCTTCCCGAGTCCATTCCGCAGTCCTCTGTTAGCACAAATAGCGACGTTGATTTCCCATCCATGACTGATCTCAGCGAATTATCTCTGGAGTCACCAAATGCATCTAAGTCGGACGCAAATAAGAAGAGCAACTCCAGAACTCCCTTCTCACGGTCGCGAACCATGTTTGTCGGATCGCCTGCCGATGTGGCAATGGCTGATCCGTCTCCGATCTCCATCGCATCTTTGTCACTATCCCCCCGCCGAACAACTGGCAATGGCAAGGGCCGGAATATTTTTGCTGCAGCTGCAGAGAAGAAATGGGAACCAATGACATATTCTGACGACGAGGATGATGATGATGAAGACGACGAAGTTCCAGCACTTAATTCTCCAGTTGCGCACAAATCCCAGGGACGAAACGATCCATTCAAAGTTCCTTCCTCGGGTGCTTCCCGACCAGCGATGCTCCGCCAGAAGACCGCCCCAATGCGAAATATCGGTGCGCCTCAGCCCAGCCTGTTTGCCAAGACGCTTTCCGATTCGCCCTCTCGTCAATCTGTGTACGGCGGAGAGAAATCTATCCCATTGTCACCTAGTCGCCGTCAGACCAAGATCTCTGCGCCCACTGGAGCCGGCCGTGTCAATGGTTCTGGATCACCTATCAGCCATCGAGTCCAGCAGGGCAAACTCAAAAGCGGAATTCCCAGCGCTGTGGGCAGCAAACCGTCTGGTCATGGCGGCGAGGAGATGCGCAAAGCTGCCATGCATCGCAACATGGGCGGAAGGACGCTCGTCGAACTTGCTCAGGCAAGAGCTGGCGGTAGAAGCGCAGAGGAGGCCATTGCAAATGGCGAAAAGAAGGCGAATCGACCCACGACGCTGTCCGGCCCTGGCCTAGATGTCAAATACGCAACGAAAATGGCGGATAAAGACAAAGAAGTTGCTGTCTGGGACCCTGAGAGGGACGATATGCCCAGCCCATTTCTGAAACGAGGAGTAAGGCAATCAGCTTTTGGCGCTGCAGCCCTTCGAAAAGCTTAGTATTCCTTTCCAGCTGGAAAAAGCCCTGTGTGCTTCCAGCACCGAGTCACTCCCAGATAGTGGCTAAAATCAACTTGACGCGAACAAGGAATAAGGACCGGGAATGATATTCTGGCGTTGATAATTGCTATGGATATGGAGCATGGCGTTTCTCTCTTCTGTATTTTCCCCATGTCGCTCCTTCAATCATGCTTGAACTTTCAGAATACTCTCCGAATTGCGGCCGGAGGCTCCACATCGTCATCGTCTCCATCCACTGGAGCCTTAACTCTCCTCTCGCCACTCCGTCTCGACGGTGAAACGCGAAGACTGCTTCACCTTTGCTATTTCTCTCATACTGCATTTCAGCGATCTTAGGGGAAATCTGGCCGTTTTCACCTCGCTCTTTCTTTTTCTTTTTCTTTTTTTCCCCCCTCTTCCCTCCTCTCTTCTCTTTTTCCACATTGGCCTTTTTCTTCCTCTACTTTTCCCAAAGTTTTTCCAAAGCTCTTTCTCTCGTTCTCGGACTTGGAAAATGACAACCAGCAAGCAACTCTAAACGGCCCCGAATGGCGCGAATGGTGTGAATGGCGCTCATCTCATCTTTCTATTCATACTTTTTTTTCTTTCCTTTTCCCTTTTCTTTTGTGCCTTTTCGCGCTATGAAGGGATTGTAATTAACCTTTGCCTCATTGCATTAACTAAAACTTCTCCGCTTTCCCTTTTCTCTCTGTTCTTCTTTTTCTTTTTCTATTTCTTCTTTTTTTCAACCTCTTCTTTTTCCCTTTTTCCTTCTCTCCCTTTTTCTCTCTCACAATTACTTCCTGGCGTCACGATTCACATTTTTTTTTCTCTTGTGGCCACGAATCTCCGGTCTTTGAAAAGCAAACATGTCCTCGTGTCTCCTTTGTCTCGAAATTCGAGATTGAGAGATTGAGATTGCTTTTTTCTGATGCAAAGCACATAAAAACATTTGTGTACTTTGCCTTATCGATGTTGGATCAAATGGATCTCTTACCATCATAAACACCGGTTTTCTCTTTCTTCACTTTGAATCTTCCTCCCCTTCGGCATGGGAGAAATGATAATGTACATTACTTTTTTTAAAGGAAAGATTTTTTTAATTCATTTTCTCACACCATAATGGATTTGATTCTGGTCGACTTTGTGGATTTTGTGGGACGAGAGAAGTTGTAAGCTTCTATTGCTTGTTGGTGTTGTGTATCATGTACGTGTATCATCCGGCTTCTATTACATCTGATTCGGGGCAAGATGAAGTCTGAGGTCCGGGAGGATAGGGCTGGAGAAGGTATCAAATGCTTTCACATCAGTTACGACGCACAGGCAGCTTGATATCAAGCACCAGTAATCGGCGAGTGAAGCTTTGAGGAATGGTCGCGAGAATAGCACGGGCACACGGCGATGAACATATTCCAAGATATATCATGAACAGCATAATCCCAATGAGCCATAACGATTTCACGCTAGACGGGGCCAAATTGATGTACAATGACGCCTATGGATTGCTTGCATTCCACCATTTCATTCTCATTCTTACGAGAACGGCCGGCAGTCCCATCCCAGAGTGAAAAGCGAATAGATGTCCATCAAATAAAAAAAGCATTCATGTAACTCTATTGCTGCTTCACCCTCCGGAGAACAAACAACAAGGAAAAGAGAAAAATGGAGTATTTCCGGACTCCGGTATTTCCGCCCCCGATATCAAGTCACCATGCACATCATAACCGCCATCATTCTCCTCCATCGATCAACATATCGCGACGATTTCAGATATTGCAGGAGCGAGCCGTTTATGAGCCGGGGTTGGGGTTCATCTGGATTCATCATCAGTACTCATATCAAAAAAGATGGAGAGACCATTTGACAGATGATCATGTCGTTGACCACGCAAATGGGTTCCCCAGCTATTAGAATTCCCGCCGTACCTTTCTCTTACCGCCGGTCATGGTGACGTTGACGAAACGGCGGGTGTAGACTATTCTCTTCTTGGCACGGCCCTTGGGCTGCTTTCTCTTCTCCTGGGGCTCAACCTATTGTGACAAACGTCCATTAGCCCTTGTCCCATCTTCAGAAGTCTCCAAACGCCTTCCAGATGTCCCAGTCTTTCCATATCGCCTGATTGTAATATTTCCCTCCTGCTTCCTTTGCGATCTTTTTTTTGGGGGGGGGGGGACGGTCGAAGCTGGCGATATCGGTGGCGACCGAAAAGATGGATGACATCGGAAGGGTCCTCGAAAGACAATATAAATTGCGTAGAGCGGGTTCTTTTTATCGTACCTTAGGAGTGGCGGCCTTGACCTTACCGGCACGAGCGAGGGATCCGTGAACTTTACCCATGGTTGCAGAGTTTCGAAGTTAAGATCTGATGAGTGGCAAAATGCCGCGATAAACGTCAGTCCCGAGTGTTCCCAATCCAAATACGGTCTGAATATCGATATACGGCGCGGGAAATGAGAGCCGAAGAGTTTCTGAAATAGATTCCGGATTCTTCGAGGTGGAAAATTGATGCGATAGACGTGGATGGAGACTCACCGAAGCTCTCTCTCTTGGTGGTTGTCGACGTGATGATCGGGGGCTGGCTGGGCGATTCGACTCTCCAATTCCTTTCCTGGGTGTGCCATCGCTAAGCGAAGCGGTGAGTAAGCGGGGTGTCAAGCCCTAACCGTGCCCTATCAGAACGGAGTCGCGGCTGCTACAACCTGACTGAGGAAACATGAGCAAATCGAACGAATGTCTATTAAAGATAACGCTACAAATAGGGATATATATAATGATTATTTGAATTCGATTCCTTAAATTATGGAGACGTTCAAATCATTGCTATCATTGGGCTGGCGGTAGACTGGCGGTAGACTGGCTATAGAGGTGATTCATCCTCTTTTACGGTTGCCGAGGTACACATGGTATGCGTATGTGGCGTCTAATCAGATCATCTGATACGCACCCCCTCCTTAGCACTTTACGTTGTAAACAACGCCCACTGCTGCCCTCTTTGCTCTATCTCAGCTCTTTCAGAGCATAAATAGGTGCAATAACACCGAAGTACATTCTTAATATTATTCATCCTTTCATACGTATCACCTTGACCATGCAGCTTTCATCGAGCTTGCTGGCCATGCTGGCCAGTTGCGTGGCGGCGAACATTCTTCCATCTCCAGAACACATCTTCTCTAATCCTGGGGGCAACAGCCTCTCCGATTTCAGGATCCCTACTGTACATGAGTCGGCAATCATGGCTCGCCGGATCTTTCGCCTTGGCTCTATTGGAACGCTTTCCACTGTGTATCCATCAGCAGACGAATCATCTATCCAGAGCAACCCAAGCGATGTTGCCGGGGCGCCTATCGGGCTTATGGAATATTTCGCCGACTGTGAGCCCGATACGGCGGACCCGACTCTCCTTGCAATTGATATTGCGACGAGTTTCAGGAACGTTGCGGCTGGAAGCAACATCACGTTATCGTTGCGTTGGCATCCGCCAAGCTCAAGCCATCGATACTCCCCAACGGCTCTTCCTCGCTTTGCCTTGATTGGCACTCTTGAGGACATTCCTGAGTCCAAAGCCAAGGACCTTGGCTTGAGAGAATGTTTCGCCCGCTATCACCCCGATTCGATCGCCTGGATGCCTGGTAATCGTATCCACAAGAGCCATTGGGTTCGTTTAGTTGTAAAGGACATCTATTGGGTTGGAGGATTCGGCGATCGGGCGTACATTGGTTGGATCACTGCGGATGACTGGAAGAGTGTAACGGCAAAGGAGATCAATGACTGTCGCCTGCCCGGCGAGAAGTCACGACACTGGTCTTGGCCAGACTGGCTGGTTGGTGGATTTGAGCTATGAGACAACATGGGGTTATTATTTCCAAGACGTCGGGCGTTGGGAGAGATATTTTGAGCGTGAATCTGTTGAAGTTTTTCTTCGCCTTATGGTTTATGGCTGTTGCCATCATGCTATATGAAAGCTTTTTAGAGCGAATTAATTTTTTCCTAAATTGACGATGGCATGATAAGTTTGGACATGTGTGACTTCTTGACATGGAATGACGCGCAGAGAGCCACGAGGCTGACTGACTGGCTGTCAGTGTACCACTCGCCTACCCTTACACTAGCAACATACTGCCGCGAATTACCGCCTACCAGAGAGGTCCTCACGCTTGTGAAGGTTGTGCAACCTAAGTGAAGGCAGGGAAGCCCAAACTCAGTAACTGATCACCAAAGCGCCCCGCACGCGTGAGGCTTTAGATTTGCTTTAAGATGGGGTATCTACCCGTATGACGATGCCTCAAGAAACCGCTCTCCTTTCCCGACCCATCATGGCGGTCTCAGCATTTGTTTTCTTTCTCGGAGCGTTCCTCCTCGCCATTGCCCGCAGTCCATGCTGGGCACAGCCGTTTTGGCCCACGCGCTATGATACGTCTGTCTCCTTCCCTGTCTCACAGGCCGAGTTCTCCTCCCCCTCAGATGTTGGGTCCTGGTGGTGGCCGTTCGATCAACAGCCATGGAATGTTCTCTACCATCTTGGTGGCAATGGACCCTGGATTCAGAAGAAAGATGGGGTGATTAGTAGGAATATCGCAGCTCCCGAAAGTTGTGAAGTAGAGCAAGTCCACATGGTGAGTTTCTTCTACGGACAATATTTTAAGAAGCTTGTATAGCTGATCAGAAATGCTCAACACAGATGTCAAGACACGGCGAGAGATATCCTACCAAGGGCGCAGGGACGAGTAAGCATCAAAATACGCAGATACGTGCAGGGCAATTTACATTTGGTCGCTAAAGTTTCTTCCAGAAATGATCAAACTGTTGGATCGAATAAAGGCTTCAGGTGTTAAATTAAAAGGCGATCTGGGTTTTGTCAATGACTGGAAATTCTTTTCTGATGGTGTATCTGCCTTGGATCCCGCTCTGGATGAACCTCAGCTAACAATTATGATTAGATACCGACAGCAACTTCGAGCAGCTCACCTCTACTGGCCAGTATGCCGGAACTTTGGAGACATTCACGACTGGTGTCAAACTGCGAACTCGCTATGAGCACCTTCTCAAGTCATCATCCGGTTCCAATGTGACTCGAGTCTTTGCGGCGGGCTCTCAGCGCATCATTGACACAGCTAGCTACTTTAGTGAAGGTTTCTTTACACGGCAGGCGCAAAACTCGACAACTCTTATCGTTATTCCAGAGACAGATGACCTTGGCGCAGACACATTGACACCCGGTGTCACTTGCTTCGATTATGTCAATGACACCCAAAGTGGCCATGACCAAGGCAAGCGACAATTGTTTGAGTTTACCCACACTTACTTACCAGCAATATCGGACCGGTTTCACCGGCAGAACCCGGAAATTCACTTCACCGAGGAGGAGATCTACAGTATGCAGGAGATGTGTGGGTTCGAGCTCCTCGTCCGTGGCAGCAGTCCGTGGTGTGATGTGTTCACTCATCGTGAATGGCGCAACTTTGAGTACGCTCGGGATATCCTCCATTATTACCGCGGAGGGCCGGGAAATCCCTTTGGCCCCACAATGGGTTGGCTGTGGTTGAACGCTACAGCTAATCTTTTACATGCTGGCCCCTCTGCCGGTCCATTGTATTTTAGCTTGTGAGCCCAAGAAACGATGTCTCTCCCTATTCCTACAACAGACACTGACTCAAAGCAGCGTCCATGATGGCGATATAGTTCCCATGCTTGCGGCATTTAACATTTTTCCTGATAAGCATCATCTGCCTCTGCACCGTGTCGCGAAGCACCGCACGTGGCGTACCTCTCAAGTCACCCCCATGGGCGGTCGAATAATTCTCGAGCGGCTGCGCTGCTCGGCGGGCGATGACTCTTCCAATGACTTTGAACTGAAAGCGAAGAAGAGATCCTCTGGTTCGTGCTCCACTAGTCACTACCCATGTTTTTCAATTCTCTACTTTTTCCAGCGACCTTGAATTCCGTGTAATGTCTTGTCTAATAAGGATTTTTTATAGATGCCAATGACGAAATTTATGTCCGGCTCAACATTAACGACGGGATCGTGCCCATTCCTTCTTGCGACTCTGGACCTGGATACAGTTGTCCGCTAGACGATTTCCTCGAGCTTGTTCGGCGTCGCGGCGAAGAAGTTGGTGATTTCCGTGAAAAGTGTGGACTTGGAAAAGATGCGCCTGATCGCATCACCTTTTTGCACCAATAGCATGTTGATATACAAAATGTCTGTCCAACTTGGGACATGTATAAAACCTTTGCAGCATGGCATAATCCCTTTAGCATTACTCAATTGTTCAAGAAAGAGTATTAAAAGTTCTAGTGACATTGTCCAGCCAGACTTGCGCCATACGGAAACGGGCAATAATAAATGATGTTTCTGAAGCCACTTGCTTTGCACGCAATGACAAGAACAGTGACAAGATTCAAAAAAAAAAAAAAAAAAAAAAGCAAAAAAGATGCGTCGTCCGGGAATCGAACCCGGAGCTCGTCGATGGCAACGACGAATTTTACCATTAAACCAACAACGCCTCACATGATTGGCCATGTGTTAACTCACTTATGTATCTTATGAGTGCCATTGAAACTTTTCCACTTCCATTTTATGGAAAGGGCCGTGGTGCGGACAGGACGAATCTAGCTTAATGACAGGACTCTCACGCTAAGTAAAGTACTCTTTCTCAAAGCAGTATTCTAAGCAAGACTTGCAAGTACCTTCGAGTGTTCTTAGGTATTCTTGTATTTTAGTCTTAGTTACTTGTCTAGTTATACATTTAACTATCTTTTAGTGATACTTCTAATTATCTCTATGCTCTCCTCAACTATCTTAGCTACCTAGTCTAAGGTATTTATCATTGTTTTAGTTAACAAAGGAGCCTCTAATATTATGTTTTATGTAGTAGACAAGCAAGAACTATTATTTCAGTTATATTTTAATAAATTCTAGCAATTTTTTAAGGACTCTTCCTCGAGAAGGTTCTAGGGATTTTTACTACTTAATTGATAACAGGGTCAATTAGAGGAGCTCTAGAAGCCATACTATGGTGATTCAAATACTTCGTACAGTAGTTACCTTAGATACCTTGTCTTCCTTAGCATGTATACATCGACTAGCGTCCTGTCATTAAGCTGGATTCATCCTGTCCGCACCACTGCCCTTATGGAAATTGTTCTTGTATGATCGTGGTTTTCTTATTGCTGTATTATTTTTTGTTGCATGTAAGTTTTGTAGCATGGTAGTAAGTTATAGTACCTTCCATTTCCGAACCTTGGGCTGGTATACCTTAGCTCGTATAATGTTTCCAGATTGCTTGTATCTTCGTGGCACAATACTTTTGCAAAAGGCCTTTGGCTTGGGGTTCGTCTGCTTTATTTTTAAGCTGCAAGCCTGCACCACGCATTATTTTCAGAGATGCGCGGTCAATCAAGGAAACAACGAGCTCAAAGCCTGTGACTCTACAGAGCAATTGGCTGGGGGCTACGTGAAAGCAACGGCCAGGATTGTAATTCTCCCTCACCATCTTCAACATGTCGCCCATGGAGCAGGGGCTTGGTGCAGAATGAGGCTGTTGGATCCTCATACAGATTTTTTGGGCTTTTCCTGTGGCCACTACGCTTCAATATTTTCAGAGATGGGGTTGCCAGTAGCGCACAGAGTTGTGGGACTGGGATTATGCACTCTAGTACTTCCAGGTCCTCCGGTAGAGACTGACAGTCACTGAATCAAGACATTTGGAGAGGGACAAAGCCCATCGAGAATTGTCGGCGATCGAGCTTCGGGCGACTGGCCTCAATATAATTGTGAAAAGAAAGCTCTCCGGTGTGCAGACTACCGGGTGGGAATGTCAAAGAACACCATCCTAGGCTGGTCTTTTTGGAAGGCGGCGTCGAGCCTGAAGTAACCTTTGCGTTCGAACTGTACAATGGCGCTATGCTCAAGATCCTTTACGTTAATGTCCGCAAATGCCTGCTTTCTGAATTCGGTAACAGGCGTAAGGAAATCGCCGACTTCGTCCGTTTTCTCCAGCTTATCCTTCGAGATGAGGTAGTCGAACGACACGAGATCAACGTTGACCAGGTTCCCATCCACAGCTGCGAGCCAAGTGATTTTCTTGGTCTTCTTCACGTCACCGCCCTGGCGAAACTCGAGGTCGAGCGCGGCGATTCTCTTCCCGTCTGTGTCCTTGGTGATCTGCCTAACAAATGCGTTTCCCCAGTTCATCAGCGTAATTTCCTCGTTCGCGGTGAACGATTGGGCGTCGACTTGCTCGAGCACAATCGTCTTGCCGACCAGTACCTTCTTTGTACCAAGCTCCGGCTTTTTGATATACTTCGGCTTTGTCAACTCTTCCAGATTGTCAACGCCGTGAACGGTACAGTATACTGCGTCTTCTTGAAGAATGGCTGTGTGTCGAGGCGCGACAGGGTCAATGTACTTTTTATTAAATGCCCAGAATGCATTCCACTCCAGGTTGAGCGTATTCCGACTAGGTCCTTGCTTAAGGACAAACTCTCGCAAAGCCGCCACGGTCATGCCGCGCCTTAAAATGCCTCTGATGGTTGGCATACGAGGATCATCCCAACCCCACACTTTGCCTTCCTCTACAATCTGGGTCAATTTTCTCTTGGAAAGTAGAGTCCGGACAAAGTTCATTCGCGAGAAGTCGTATATGGGCACCTTGCGGAGGCCAAGAGCATCCTGGAACCACTCGTACTGAGCGTTACGGTCGCGATACTCGTTTGTTCTTAGGGCAAGCGTCACGCCCTCAATGGAGTCGAGAATTGGAGCACAAAAGTCGTAAGTCGGATAGACTTTCCAGCTCGTCCCGGTGCGATGGTGCGGGGTGAGATTACAGCGATAGATGACCGGATCCCTGAGCGTGCCATTGGGGCTATCGTAGGCAATCCTCGCACGGATACACCAGCGCTGACCCTCAATCGATCCGGTCGTCATCTCCTCAAACCGTGCCAATGTCTCCTCGATGCCAAGGTTACGACGCTTTGAAGGCAATCGATTCTTGCGCTCCTGGTCGCCTTTGCCTAATTCCGAATCGTCGGCGAAGGCCTTCCCTTCCTTAATGAGTTGGACGGCAAGCTCATACATTTGCTGGAAATAATCGCTGGAATAACTGGTCGCATCAGGAACGATATCCATGAGTTCCAAATCCTTTATGATGGCATCTTGGAATTCCATCGACTCCTTTGAGGGGTTTGTATCGTCAAAGCGGCAAAGTAATCTTCCGCCAGGTCGTACATGGGCGAAGTAGTCGTTGAGCAGGGCTGCCTTCGCGTGTCCAATATGAAGATATCCGGAAGGCTCAGGAGGAAACCTTGTGACGATATGGCCTTCCAGTGTCGGCAAGTCAATGTCATAGCTAGCGCCGGCTGATGAGGCTGCCGCGCGCACCTTAGCACGCTCCTTGGCGGCGGGAGCTGTGAGCTCTTCAATCAACTCGGATAGCCAGGGATTTGAAGAATCGATGTAATTGTACCACCGAAAGACGTTCCCTACGGCCTTTTTCATCAATGACAGAGCGATATGATTGCTTCTCAAAGTTGTCCATATTGCAAGGTCAGCGATGCTGATTTCATGGTCGATCAGGTACGTGCGCAGGGTGAGATGGGCATCCAGATCAATCAAGGCGGTTTCCAAGTCTCGGCGATTCTTGCTCGCAAAGGCCTCCATTTTTTTAATCCACTTGCCCGCCTAAGAGAAGAGAAGGATAATGAGCCTTTGTTTATAGAGAGCCAGTAGTGTCATGACATACCTGTACGCCTCTTTTCTTCTCAGAGAGATCTGCAAGGCAGCGTATGACAGCCATATCAGTCACCGTCTCTCCTTCCATTTGTGTCAATTGTACCGATGAGGTGTCTCCAAAATTGCTGACGGCGTGGAACCTGGTCGTGAGACCGGGCAGAAGCTCAGCACGATTGAGATATCTTGCCAGCACCAGACTTGGCAGCACAAGTGCCATCTCAGCATTAGCAGCGACATCCAGTGTAGCCATGGCGTCGTCTTCTGTAAGAAAGTGTGTTCTGCGACAGAAGGACATTGGGCTTGGGTTAGGACAATGGCTGTTTTGTAAGTCCTGTATCATGGGGGATCTACAAGCCTTCTATGACTCAAGCGATCGGCTGAATTTAACTCCTTATACTACAAGAGGTACTTTTGGCCAATTCTCCAAGTCAGTAGTGTGCCTGCATTTTGACCATATTAGTACTACATTTTATACATTATTAGAGAGTGTTGTAATTCAATAAGTTAGTTATTAAATGTTTATAGTTATACTAATTTTTAGTTAACAGCCAACTATATTGCTTAGCTTCCGTGCTCTAATCAATTAACTAATCCAATCTAGAAATCTATACTATAGTGGGAAATAGACTGAAATTAGTACGAGTACTATAAAATGGATTTACTAGTCCTAGTTAGATTATAGATGTTGAACTATCTTATCTACGAAATAGTTAGCCATATTTAAGGTATATAGGTGGAAAATATTCAATAACCAAAAATAATTTACCTCAACACAAGAACTTGATTGACAGCAGTCCAGGACTCCAAGGGTACTATACGAATTTTGCTCGAGCAGGTGAAGAAAGTCACTCTATTCCCTTTCATACTATAAAATTTTCTGATATCCCTCGGAGCCTCCATTAATCTAGCTTTTGGTTCCGAGAAAGGCGAGCCTTTTTCCTTGAATTGAGATCGCCGGTTGCAAGCCATTTGGTTGCCTCGATTAACTGGATAACATTTACATATTGTTTGAAAACCATAAAGACGGTGGAAAGAGCAAGGAGGATCCATGGCCCCGTGCTGTCAACTTTATTTGCCCTGGCCCCCAGATGTCAATAAAACATAACGCCGGTGTTCATCCTGTAGGGTTTACCTAGCTACCTCCATAGCAGCAGCGCTCCATGGGGCGATAGAATCTCTTGAAGAGGTAGGTGTATTTTTGTATGTCGCCGTTTCCATGTCGTTTGCCTGGCGGAATAGGAGGTTGCCGTCAAGAGTAGGCGATTGAAAGGAGAAGGAAAGGAGATAAAGTGCAATAAAGAACAACTCGTTAAATGCGCAAACAGTAAAAAGTACCTTCTAATTCATACGTTACATATTAAATCCCGTTGAGCTACGGTTGTCAACGACCCAACTTACCGGGTTGGAATAGTATATCCTTAATACCTTTGGCCGGTTTTCATCAATCTCCTTATGACTCTGGCCAGTGGTGCCCATGGCCAGCGTCGCGTACATGTGGGCGTAATGGCTGGCCAGGTCCAAGCTGATCAGACATTGAAAGACCATACTCCACGCCGGAAATACGCTGGCAAGAAAAACCAATAGACATGAAGTGGTACACCGGTCGATAATCATGTCGAGGACGGCCCCAAATTGGGTTGATTGGTCGAATCTCCTTGCCGCGGCTCCGTCGAACGCATCAAGAATGCATGAAAGGCCATAGAAGAGAATGCAGGTTCGGGGATGAAGGGGCATGAAGTAGAGAGAGGTAACGACGGACAAAACGCGACCGTATCCTAGAGCAGATTTCAATTAGTATGCATATTGCGCCTCGCGCGGTCATTGCTCAGAAGGAAAGCACCGATTAGGTTTGGGACAAAAAGGAATATATTTTCTGAGGTTGAGGTTGTGGTCCACCTATGATGTCCCAGGGAGTCACTATTAATTTGCTGCCTGGAGTTACCGGCATTTTGGAGTTCTGCCATGGTGAACGTCAAGTGCTGGCTTGCAGGCCGGCCGATGTAACTTGATAAGTGGAAAAAGGAAAAATTGTATCAGATGGAGTATTGCACACAAGAATGTGTAGAAGATGAACTTGAGGTCCAGCCTCGAGATTTCGTGGCTCGGTGGTAGAATGGAATTCGAACGTCATGGTGCGCGTAATGAGAAGTTCCAGTGGAATTATACCCATGCATCCCTGGCATCCGGCAGGGGTCTACAAGAGCTGCAGATACGAATACAGTTAAACCGAGCCTATTCTCCATTATAAGCCAATGCGTCAACTTATATTCGTTGTCTACCTAGGGTACACCTGTCAATTCAACATATGAGTCGGACTTTTGATAGGCATCCATTTAGCTTTTGTTACATAGACACATATATTCTTCCATAGCATTAAAAGAAGATAATAATGAGTGCTTCCGGGAAAAACAACAATTTTTAGTCAAAAACTACCCATATCAGATTGGCCCCAGAATATTTACCAATGCTTGCTGTAGTTGTTGTATTTTATGACACATACGGTATGGAGTAAAAACCCACATAATTACAGGTAGGCTCAAGTCGATTGCTGTATACTCCAAGCACAAATTGTCTTGACAGAGTATACTATATAATAATTATAGACTGATAAGCCGTCGGGAAGGGAAGCTTCTATATGAGAATAATTGATAAGTTTTTCTTAAAATCCATCTCCAGTCTCCTCGCTCGTAGGACAAGTACGTCTGTGCAAACACTGTATGGCTAATAGATGACTAAGCGAATATATACTCCGTCTTCGGGGCGAGGGGCAAATGCCACCCGGGTAGTTCTCTTCTTCGGGGGCACCAGAACGAAGATATTAACCACATGAAGTATAATACAAAGCTTAGATAGTCCAAGCAATTTGTGGCTGGACCGTCTCTTGCAAACTCCAGATTATTCTTCCGAAAACCGGAACTTTATATTAACGAGTAATTGTTAGGGTGAAAAAATATCAAGCTATATTCCAAATTGGGCACTACTTAACTTCAAGTGCGTTTTCTAGAAAAGTCCAGACATCCGAGGTACCTCTCTTCGCGCTTAGACTTGTTCTCCGTCATGGAAAATCTCGTACTGAACGAAACTGCATCTCAACACTACTTTGAGTATCGTTAGCATATACTGTGCCTTCTAGACCTCATAGCTGCATGAAAAATTCCCCACTTCGTTATGGAAGGAAAGGTCTACAAAGCTGAATATATACCAGTAATCTTTTGGTATGGAGAGCAGAGGCACACATGGTACCTTAGGAAGTAACCCCACGTTACCCAACTAGGCAAAGGTGCCTGTGGTTTTGCGGCTACGCTAAAATAGTGGTCTGTCATTAAGTAAAGGAAACCTCTGACTGCAAAATAGTCTTGATGGCAACATCCATGGATCCTTACCGTGTGCGATGGTGCAATCGATCCCCCACAGAATCTTCAGCACTAATTTGTCATACAAAATGTCTCCATATACATTTCGTTTCAGAAGAGCGCGCCCTTCTCATGACATACCAGGAATCCTTATGCGAGGTTCGAAAGCACGATGAATACCTCTCCAAGCTTCACATCCGCCGACAATAAAGTCCAGCATGACGTTAAGCCATCTGGCGGCGATGCGACTCAAACCTATACGGACAAAGATGAGCTGCAGCTCAATCATGGCGGCCAAGGCGCCACGCAGCGGCGTCTGCGAAATTACCAAGTCACGATGATTGGAATTTGCAGTGGTCTGGGGACAGGTTTATTCATTGGTACGGGATCTGCATATGCAAAGGCGGGCCCGGCAGGTCTTCTCTTGGCGTACATTATCGTTGGTTTCATTCTTTGGTGCGTCATGCAGAGCATTTCTGAACTGGCAACATTGGTAAGTCATTTGAGAACTTTTTTTGCAAATCAATTGGCTCGATACATGGCCTTCCATGTCTCCCATATTCTGTTTCTCCTGCTAACGAACGGGGTTCTGGGGAAAACAGTTTCCAGTCGCTGGATCCTTCCCACATTGGGCCACTCGCTTTATTGATCCCTCTGTCGGTTTCTCGCTCGCCATCTCATATGGCTACTGCTATACGATAGCAATTGCTTCAGAAACGTCGGCCTCGGCAGTGCTTGTGTCGTATTGGACCGATCTCACCCCTGCCGTGGTGATCAGTATTGCTTTGGTCCTCATCCTGCTCGCCAACTTGGCCAGCGTGCGCTTCTTTGGCGATGTCGAGGTCTTCTCTGGCGCTGTCAAGGTGCTTTGCTTCCTTGGTCTCATCATTGTTTCGATTGTCATCTCGGCTGGCGGCGCACCTAACCATCATGCCATCGGCTTTCACTACTGGAATAACCCGGGCGCATGGACCAATTTCAACGGCATTACTGGGCCTTCAGGACATTTCTGTGGTTTCGTGGCTGCTTTTGTCAATGCGTCATTCAGCTTCATTGGCGTTGAAACCGTTGTCATTACTGCCGCCGAGGCCATTGATCCTCACCGAAGCATCCCCAAAGCTGCCAAGCGCGTCACTTTCCGCATTGGCTTCTTCTACATCCTTGGCGCCTTTCTCATCGGGATAATTGTGGCCTCGAACAACCCAAACCTAGTCTCGGGCACCGGCAATGCCAATAGCTCGCCGTTTGTCATTGCCATCAAAGAAGCAGGCATCAGCGTTCTGCCGTCTATCGTCAATGCTTGCATTCTCGTTTCCTCCTGGTCTGCTGCCAACTCGTACTGCTGGGTCGGCTCACGTATCATTGTGGCCATGACCACCGATCGTCAATTGCCACAGATCTTCGGACGCACCACGTCAAATGGAGTGCCTTACGTTGCGGTCATCGCCGCCTGGTTATTTGGCCCGCTTGCCTATCTGAGTATGTAGTAATCTGTATCGACCATACAAAATATCTGCTAACATGGAATCAAATCGTTAGGTCTCGGAAGTGGCGGCCCCGCGCAAGCATTTAACTGGCTCCTCAATTTGAGCACCGTCGCCGGTCTTATCGCCTGGGCCACGCTTTCCCTGTGCTATCTCCGTTTCCACGCCGCGCTAAAGGCTCAGGGTATCAGCCGCGACACGCTGCCGTGGAAGGGCCCTCTGCAGCCATACGCCGCGTGGGTCGGCCTTATCGGCTCCACCGTCATCACCCTCATCAACGGCTTCTCCGTTTTTCTCCGGGGTAATTGGAACACATCGAACTTTGTCGCTTCATACGTTGGAATCCCCATTTTCATTGTCCCAATTATCATCTGGAAGATTATAAAGCGCACAAGAGTAAGTCCTTGTCCTACGGTCCTATGTATTGCCAAACATGATACTAACACTATTATAGTTTGTTCGCGCTTCTGAAATTGATTTGTGGTCTGGCCGTCTCCCCGAGGGAGAAACCAATGAAGAGGAAGGCGTTTCCAAAAAGCTGTGGAAACGCGCTGTTGCGCTTGCCGTCTAGACTGTAGACTCTAGACCCTAGAAGCTTGTTTCTTTTTTTGTTATGTTATTTTCTTTTTGGTCTATTTTATGAGTCCATTTTTACGACGGCTGCATAAATACCATGCATTTTGAATATACTACCTTTTTTCTTTTGTGGTAGAGTCCGGCACAGAATGTGGGGTTTCTGGGTTGCTTACCGCTATTTCATTATGAGGTCCTTTGACTCCTGGCATTTGTATACACCCATTTAGTTAATTCTTCTTCTTCTTTTTTTGCCATATCGAGCATGAGTACCCCCGGCGAGGGATATAAAGCGTTCTAGAAATAAAGAAGACGTCTTTAATCGTTGTTAGAAGAAGGGCAAATACTATCAAACTAGCGCAGTTATGTACTTTGTGTGCAAAAACTTGTGTTTTCACCAGAAATCTTGCAATTTGATCTCACAAAAGCCATGGCTAGCGTGCTTCATGTTATATCTGAATAATGTTAACAAAATAATCATCTACAGCATTAAGTTCAAAACCCCCCCGCCCCTTCATATATATGGTGGTCGGTTGGGCCGATTGGCCTCAGCCAATTTAAAACCCTCCGGTAACTGCTATATAGTGGCACCAAAAGCTCCTTGTAAGAAGATGGATTGAATCAATTTAGAAGATGAAGAAAAAAGAAAAAAGTAATATTATAAATCTAACTTATTGGATATCGTAAATCTAATTGCTTGATTTGACATCGCCGGGATACTGCACGCGGCGGACCATGGACCTCTTGCATTCAGAAATGTTTTGGATGCCAGCGAGACCCATACTTTGGTCGAGATCCTACGAAGAAAAAGAGAAAAATGATTAGATTGTAAAGCTTTTGGGACCACGAGTGCACACTTACCGCCAACAATCCGCGGAGAGCGTCCTTTGCGCCTAGCTTTCCACCCACGGCAAGACCATAGACCCATGGCCTGCCAATCAAGACACCTTTAGCGCCGAGCGAAAGGGCCTTGATGATGTCGACACCGGTACGAATGCCCGAATCGAACAGTACTGTCAGTTTGTCGCCCACGGCATCCACAATCTCGGGGAGCACATCGAGACTGCCGACTGCGCCATCAAGCTGCCGGCCGCCGTGGTTGCTGACGACGATACCGTCCACGCCCTTTTCCACAGCCAGACGGGCATCGTCGACATGCTGAATACCCTTGAGGACAATGGGACCGTCCCAGTGTTTCTTCAGCAGATCAATCTGATCCCACGTGTGCGCTGCGCCGGAGAAGATATGGCCCGCCCATTCCTTCGACGCGGTCAGAATGTCGTCCTCAATCTCCTTGCCGTGCTTTTCGGCAAATTTCTTGCGGAATACCGGGTCGGTGAAGCCGGCCTGGTCGCCGATGCCCTTGAGAAAGGGCACATATGCTTCATCCAGGTCCCATGGACGCCACGAGAGTGCCCATGTATCGAGCGTCACGACGAGGACTTCGTAGCCGGCTTTCTTAGCGCGGTTCAGGAGCTGGGTTGGGATCAGTTTATGTGTTCAATTGGATAAAAGATTTGAAGTGAATGACTGACAGAAATAGTAATGTCGTTGTCTTGTGGCCAGTAAAGTTGATACCATCGTGGCCCTGCACCGTTTGCTTGTGCAATCTCCTCCATGCTCGAGCTCGATGCGGAACTAGTAATGTATGGCACGCCGAGCTGCGAAGCCACCTCGGCGACACCAGTCTCCTTGTCTTCATTGAAGATGACTTGCACACCTACAGGTGCCACCAGGAGCGGGCTATCATATTTCTTGCCGAACAGCTCCACGGTCACATCTCGGTGAGTCGTGTCGCGGAGCATACGGGGGACGAGCTATTACTACAGCGTTAGATTTGTCGTGCACGGAGCTTCAAGGATTTGAAATGTGCAATTGATGGACGGCGAGGGGTTGAACGGGGGAAAAGACGAGAAATTACCTTCCATTGTCTGAATGCTAGGCGGTTAGCATCCATCGTGGCCCGCTCGCCCGCTCCGCCCGCAACATAATTGTAGCTTGTCGCTGGCAGATGCTTCTTCGCCTGCTCTTCTAATTTATTCGGATCTGTAGTCACGGTGGGCTTGATATTGTCTAACGTGCCCCGCGCATAAATTTCATTCTGATAGGCACCATAGTTGCGGGCGACTGGATGCGGGTCTTGGACTCTCTGCGTGGCACTCATATTGGAAAGTTGAGGAGTTTCAATTGCGTATCAAAAAGAAAATGAACTATATGAAATGGGAATGAATTACGAGGGCAATGGCACTTGAAATAGAGTTGTTCACCAATTCATTTCTAAAAGGACTGATATCACCATCGGACACAGCCCTGTCCGGAAAAACTCCGAGCTCATCGTCGATTGGAACTTCTGCCACCATGATGCATTACCTCCCTACTATTGAGCCATTGGACAGATTATGACGTTTTTATTTCGTCTAGGAACCCTTGCCGACTTGCATTGCCGCTGCCGTTTGATCCGTTTGCTTTCGGGATTTATCTAATCTTATCGATTGTCAGCGTTCAAACTTTCCCCATCATCGTCATGATGGAGCTTTCATGCACTTTTCCCATCTCGGTCGGTTTCCCGTATGAAATCATCCATATGTCCGGAGGAACCCTAGATTTTCCGAGATCCGAATGCCCCTGACCATAAATCATTTATCTTATTGGCATCGACGTTACATAGGATATATTGGGCAACATTATCATTAGGTTGGGCTGATGGACCTCGGCCGAGCCCTTTTCTCCGCTTGTCTCCGTCAGTGGGGTATCCGCCAGGCTACGTTGGAGCAATCATCGCAAAGTAAGTTTTTGGGAAGGTCTTCTAGCAAAGTCATCCTACCTCAGGTAGGTAGATATGCTGTGCCACAGTTTGTCTCAGCTTCTGGCCGCAGATGCTCAAAGACAGAAGAAATGCCTACTATGACTCCTCGTGACTTTCTTTCCCGTGAAGCACCTTCCCCATTGAGGATGACACCCCACAAAAGCAATCTAGCCGGGTCAGACTCTTAAAGAGCCTTTCTGTACAATAGGATTTAAGGTATACTGACTTGCTATTTCCCCCCAAGTGTAGAACACAAATGCAGTTCAATATCCTCAGAGCAAATCTACTTTGGAAATAATCCCCCTTTGAGTCCTTTTTTTGTGGATCCAAGGGCAATTGCAAACATATCTTTCCAGTCGAGAAGAGCATAGGTTTGAACATCTATGTTTGTGCAGGAATTATGCATTCATGTGAATAATCAGATAACTGACAAAATACCATGTAAACCGAAACAATTCTAATGGAATCCCAACAAGTCATTTCCTAGATCTTATGCTTCAGCAATAAAGCAAATGAATGAAACAGCGCTATTGAGAAAAGAATTCCAAACATGCAGAATGCCAGATAAATCTTTATGCAGTCTTGATATGCAAGGCAAACCCAAACTATTGACACGCGCATTGCACGGGACACCCGACAATGGGGGAGTGAAAGTGGAAGACAAGGGAACCTGACTACGGGAGGACATCTTTCATGCACACCACCATTTCAACCATCCCCGACACAACATCCACTTTCTCACTCATTGCGCCGAGAAAGAAGCAAACACAGAAACAGAAGCACACACAACACCCCATCGTACAACGCGAACCACGGTCACGAAACACTTTTCCCCGCCTTCTTGGCTTTCTCTTCAGTTCACTCGTTTCTTTAAAGAGCTAGACATATATACACAAACGCCTGGCATATAGACTTCCCCCCTCAGAGCGCGTCTAGAGCTATATTAGCTTCCTTGCAGATCGCCCGCGAACCCCACGCTATCACGCTACCACGCTACCGCTCTACTCAAATCACAATCATTTTTGCATACCGTCTGCCCGTCTGTCTGCAGCTACATTTTCTTTTTTCTATCCATCTCTTCGCAAGCACCAAGTTACGACAGTAACGCGCGACGCAGCGTTAGATCATCAACCCAGTATTACCTGCCTCACGACAGGGCCATCTCCGGACCGGCAACTCAATCAAGATAAAAAGCCAAACTCCTCGAACCACCATGAGCGCAGCAGACAACCCGTCGCGCGAATCCCTCAAATAACACCTACACCAACCCAAATAAAACCAACGGAAAAACCAAACATAACTCGTCGCGTCCATTTCAGGCGTCGACGCTCTCAATTCAGACTCCTAGCATGCGTTACTCGTACACTCCACGAGACAACCTGACCGCTGCGAGCAGCAGCAACAGCAGCAACAGCAGCAACAGCCGCAATGCCGCCCGCGCCGCCCGCGCCATCCTCGATCCCGGATAACCGTCTCGGCCTGTCCCCAGACGAGGTCCAAATCCTCCGACGCCATCAACAAATTGCGCTTTCACAAGCTGGAGCGGGGCGAGGTCGCGCATCGTCGACATCGTCGTCGCGCGCAACAACCAGTAACGCGTCCAGCGGCGGAGGCGGGAGATTGCTTTTAGACCCAGGCAGTCTCAGCGTGCTCGCGGCGCATTTTGATCGACTCATGGCTGCGATTCAAGCAAGAGTGCAAATGGTTATTACTCTTCTTTCTCTTATTTCTTGTCATTGTTTCTTTGTTTATTTATCCTTCTTTCTTTTACACCCCTCCGGTCCCCGACCCTACTCGCAGAGTGTATCACTCAAGGCTAACAATAAACCTTTGATATACGATATAGTTAACAGCCCAAACACAAATCGCCACACAAGCGCAATACGGCCGCGCATCGAATGCCATGGCCCACGCGGACGCCGAAATCGCGCGGTTCCGCGATATCCTCCGCCAGATTGACGAGCTCGAGGTCGAGTTCGATAAAGTGCGACATATCCGCGACATTGTCAAGGGGTTTCGCTCCCGAGTCGAGGCGCTGGATAGGAGAGTCGGCAGGTAATGCGTCTTCAGCAGAAGTGCGACCACGACAGCCTTTTTTTTTTTTTTTTTTTTTTTTTTTTTTTTTCATTTCATTTTATTTTATTTATTTATTTTTTTTTGGTTTTTCCCCCCGTCGAAAACGGTTTAGTCTCGCGGCTACATTCTATGCAAGGTTTCACGACAGCGAAAGCGGATTTGACGTTTGAAAGTCAGTACGAAGTACGGCATTTTATTTGATTTACGGATCTATGGATCTAAGGATTTACGGTTTACGGATCTGCGGATTTACAGGTTTACGGGTCTATGACTTTACGAATTCCATGTTACGTTTGAGACGAAGCGGGTGTAAATGCGATACGAGAGTAACTTTAGACGGTTGAGCCACGCGGCACTTTCTTTTTCTTCTGCTTTATTTCCCCTTATATTTCTTTCAGCCCGTTTGTTGAGTTTGTTTGTTTGTTTTGTTCCTCATTGTTCAAGTATTGTTGATACCCTCTGACTGTCTCATGTCTCATTGCAATTATTATCCATTTTTCTCCGAATTTGAAAGCAAGCAAGCAAAGCGTGCACTGTTCAATCATCCATCATTTATCACAGCGAACGCCCAATCCAAAGACGCCCGGAAAAAAGAAATCCGAGCTCTATTCAAAAGCTATACAGTGCAGCTAAATCACAAAGATCCTACATCTTTCAACGCCATCGCTTTTATGGATTTTCGAGTCTATGCAAATTGCGAAAATATGGCCAAAAGTACCGTTGGGTATATCGAACGAAGTGGTGATGCTCAGTGAAGAGGAAACGGAAAGAAAGAAAGAAAGAAAGAAAGAAAGAAAGAAAGAAAGAAGAAGAAAAAAGCCGAATATAGCAAAAGAAACGAGACAAAGATATAGCGCAAGATAACTTCTGGGTATAAGCCAATATATAGCGAAATTTGATAAAGGTATGTTTTCGTTGCCCGTAAAGCGTTATTTTATATTCTGGCGTCAGTTGTTGTCATTCGGGATCCCGTTTCGAGACTAAAACGTTCAAAGGATATGCATAAAGCTAAAAGTTGGAGCCTGGATTCAGACCTCGGCGCAATATGCCAATGTATCGTCTTTGCCGGGCCTCAAATGGCATGGAGAGCAATTAAAAGACTGGGCTTCTTCTTCCAAGCAGTCAAACTGGCATGGGTCGTTGATGGCGAAATGGACGAGTCTAATTATTCCCAATAATGGAGATTCTAATCTCGCCGTATCCCGTGTCCTGCCTTAAGGAAATAAGATTCCTGGTTGCCAGCGAGAGCGTGTGCAGCAAAGCTTGTGCTGCAACGACCTTGGTATGTTCGGCAGGTGGAAGTAATTCGTCAAACGCAACATGGTTGACCCCGGGCGGTCGAAAGTCCTCAGATAGCTCGTCTTCCTCTTCATCATGAGTCGCCTCTCTCGTGTTGCGCAGTTTCTCTTTGACAAAATCGAGAAAATTAAAACTCTCATTGTCAAGCGTCTCTGCAAGCCATTGCGACTGTGTCGCAACTGGCATCTCCAGCTCAAATCCTCTTTGGGCCTCGTTGAGATCCAAGTCCATAGGTTCTGGACCGCCGAGAGTGAGGTCGCCTTCCACTTCTGGATCGATCTCTGGAAGCTCAAGACTGGATAATCGTTCAAGTCCACCATGACGGCCACGACCGAGCAGAGGGCTAGCGCTGGGGAGTCTGCTCCCTCTCCTAGTCAGGCCTCTTGAGAATGATCCTCGTGATCCAGCAAACCCCATCTCGAATCCGCCAATGGAGCTTGGCCCACTGGTTCTGAAGCCACCAATCATGCTCGAACCGCCTTGACCACGAGTCGAACCCTGGCGCGAACCGGGAAGGGAAGAGCCGATGTTCCAAGGCATCATTGAGGAGTGCCCTTCTTCGACAGGGAATGCCTCACGACCAAGCTCAATTCCCTGAAAAGAAAAGCCCCTCATTAATGAATGTCTTCTGCATTTGAGAAGTGCAATCTTACCTCTTGATCGCCAAGAGCAAGCATACCGTCTTCATCGAGAAGAGGCTCCCCTGCACGCCCTACTTGGTCATCAATATCCTGACGAAGACGGGACCGCCGGTGCTCGTCTTCTGATTGTGTCTCGTCGTCCCGCTCCCAAGGACGTTTCCGACTTGTTGAAGCAGAGCGCTCTCCTAACAAAGCTTCTCGAAGATAATCGCCGGCGAAAAGATCTCGTGATCCCCGGGTGTTTGATAAATCGAGAATATGCCCGATACCGCCAAGTCCGCAGCCAAACACCCAGAACGATGCGTTCAGTCTTGCTTGAACATGATCTCTCCGGTTCTGCTTGTGTGTATTTGCGGCAGCCATGTTTGGAATGTATTCATCGTTCCAGCATGCAAGCTCTGCGTTGCGAATTTCAATGGCTTCATCCATCCTGAATGCCTTTCTCTGCCTTCCTCTGCGCATAGACGGTCTGCGCGCGTTGGGTGCAGCTGCTTCCTCTGGTTCGGCGACTTGTAATTGATTTAGCTCGCCTTCTGCGGCGGCCTCGTCAGCGGCCTCGTCAGCGGTGAGCAGAGGTGGAAATGGCTCGACATCTTCAGGGAGAAAAAGTTCATCGCCAGTCTGAATACCGTAATCAAGCTCCATTGGACCACCGAGCTTTGGGATGTCAGTCATAAATCCATTTGCACCTGGGGGATGACGGAGTCAAACTCACTACCTGAGCAGCCTGTAGCTGGCCCTCTAAATGTTCACGTCTCACGCGGCTGCTCGCACCAGTCGAGACTGGAGCTAGTGTCCTTTGACGCTGAGGTGTTTGTGGTGCAGATGCTCTTCCGCCACCGCCAAGCTCTACTACATTACCTTCGGCGTCAAATTCAAAATCGACATCGGGTAGAAATCCGGTGTCCTCGTCTAGACGAGACAGCTGGTCCATGCCCCTTCCAGCCCTGCCTTCTATGTTATCGGCAATAATATCTGCATGAATAAAACCTCCGATGCCACCAGCCACGTCGGCTGTGTCAGAAGTCGGAATAACTAAAGCTGGGAGTCCATTGTCCGCAATGCTCGATTGGCTGGAAAGGCGCGAATGAGGCGATGCAGAGCTCAAAGACTGCGATGCTAGAGAGGATGTAATGTCCAATCTGGAGAGATCAAGATCGAATTCTGGCAAGAGGAGATCAGGCAGAAATGCCGGATCGTCTTGCAGGGTCAACTGATCTGGTCTAGGATTATCCGATTAGTTTTTATCCTTATCTCATCGCACGCCATTCTACCTGGCCTTTCCAGCATCAGGATCCAACTGAGCTGTCTTGAACACGCGAAACATGGTTCGCATATTGTTCTGAGCATTTTGTGCATCCGCAAGCACGTAGCCGCATTGCTGGGAATAGACCCGAGACACTCCGTACCTGCAAGCAGTGAGTGGAAAGCTGAAACCGGATGGAGACTAGGTAGACACCAGGCATGATCTTCCAACGTACATCAGGTGGCTCTGCAGCCGCAGTGCCATCGGGGCCTCTGGTGCAAGGATCGTCTCGCATGCTTTGCTCACGTTGACCTCTAGAATGGCCTTTCGATTGACCTTCTTGGATACGGATTTTGACCCGAGTGTGGCCACAAGCCTTGAACTATCAGCAGACCTATTGGCTTCGGCTCCTCTGCCATGATGATACTTACCAGACTGTGGCGACGCCGTGCTTCCGCGAGGTCAGGACTTGTGTAGTCAGTACTGAGGCATTCTGGATGGCAGGTCAATTGTAAAGATGGCAACGCCCGCAGCTTACTCTCGTGACTGTAAAACATTCCGTCCAGTCTAAGGCCCTACTGGCCGGTATAATAGTAGATATTTTTCACGTCTGTAACATGAGCATTTGCTGCTTTGAAGACATTGGCTTTGAAGGAACATGATGCTCAGAATGGCCAGTGGCAATACGATCACACCAGCGCGTTCTACTATACGCGCGACGCGTTCACACCGAATCATCGTGAAGCCGAGGCAATTTGGACAAGGCTGAGGATGCTATTAAGAAAATGCATTGAATAATATATGTCCGATTCCCCTACAAATTGAGGCAGCACACTTGATATGACGTTTCCTTTGTTTCATACATGCATCGATATCTCCGCGTTTGAATTTTTGTCTTACGGAAAGATTCCATCTTTGATATACGATATTATTCTCTATCGCTGCATCTGCATAGTTGCCATTCAAACGTTTCCGTTCTGTCTGATGGACTTTCTGGCGATAGATGAGTAATCTTACTTTGGGTAACTATGAGATCTGTGACCTGAAGCCTGAGTCGTTATACATCCCTGATGACGATCATTTTAGACGAGAATGCCCACGGACGAATCATGCTACACAGACGACAGTTGGCCTGGAATGGATTACCTTGTTTTGTGTCGTCAGCTTACTCCAAGTAGATGGCTCATTTGGCATCGCTCGGGGAGGCTAGATGAGTTGCGTTAGTATGATACGATCAGCTTGGGTTGTCAAAGAAAAGGGGAGAAATGTGGATGCTCGTGTCGTCTGGTGGTGGGGTTTGTTGTGTTGCTGTGGCAACGAAATCCCTGGCGACGTGTTCTCAGAGTGACTTAATGGTTGACTACTGGCCATTAGTGACTGCGACATGGTACATGCACACCATCCCATGGGACCCCCGCTGGCTTCGATCCAAGGCCAACAAGTCTCAAATCTCACGTCTCCACCTGCATCCCGATCCCGCAGATCATCTCCCACAGCCGCACAAGACTAAAATTAAATCCCCCAAGAGCAAGGCCAGGTCCTAGTCCTGCACAGTACCTGCATCCACCCGCGCTTGGTCCATCCTTCTAAACAATACCACAGACTCGGCGACTCTTCAAATATCAGTCCTCGCCTTGTCAATCTTTCTTGAGTTTTCGCGTCGATCCCTGCTATCACAGCGACTGACGATTGATATTATACACGATTGGAGACCGAGTTGGCGTGTCGACCGGAGCATCCTAAAGACGAGGTCATCATGGCCGCCAATGCCCCGCCCCCACTGGGCTTGAATCCCAATCTCGCCCTCCCAACCCCTCCGCCTCTACTTCATACACGTTCCGGAAATCAGTTGTATGATCGACCACATACGCCGACACATGGCTTTACTTCACCGACCCAGACTCCGCAGGGGAGTCCCAGCAAGAGCACACTGCCCCCCGGCGCTCACGATCTGCCTCACGTCTTCGACAGCGCGCTTAAGCTCATGCCCAGTGCCCCGTCAAGCCCAACGAAGCTGGTGCGTCCAGGCTCGCCCGGGAAATCAGCCATTCCGGTTCCACAGAATGGCTATGGAGCCGGAGAGAACAGCATTTTGCAGAGAGATTACCAGCTGGCACCAAATAGCCCGACGCGTAAATCGAACAAGGAGAACGCCCCTCAGACAGCAAGGTCAGGGAAGGATAACAATTATGCAATGAGTCAGGCCGCAGCTACTCGTCAGGAATTATACCATCCTCGAGAGCAATCGGACCCTAGTATTCGGAAAGGGTTTGGGACGCAGCGTGGCATTTCTATGGAAGACTTGGAGAAACTGAACAAACCTTCTGTGAAACGTTTGGCAAACGTTGCGCAGTTATGTGAGTTTTAATTGATCTAATTAACCTAATTTGAAGCGTCCCTAACATGTAAAAAACCAGATTTCCTTGATTATTACTTTGATCTCCTTAGCTACGTCCACACACGTCAGAACCGACTTGGTCAATTTAAAGCACAATATCCGGCCCCTCCGGCGACTCCATCGGGAGAGTACGAACCTGCGTTACACAAATATCTTGGCAGAGAAAGAGCTTTTCTGCGGAAGCGGCGCACTAGACTTCGGCATGGCGACTTCCAGATCCTTACACAGGTCGGTCAAGGTGGATACGGTCAGGTCTTTTTGGCGCAGAAGAAGGATACCAAGGAAGTGTGCGCGTTGAAAGTGATGAGCAAAAAGCTGCTTTTTAAATTAGATGAAATTCGCCATGTGTTGACGGAACGAGATATCTTGACCGCAGCCAAGAGTGACTGGCTCGTAAAGCTCCTCTACGCTTTTCAAGACGAAAAGAGCATCTACTTGGCTATGGTAAGCAATGCCCCCTACCGGCCCAGGTGAACGTTTTATGCTAATATTAGCATCTAGGAATACGTGCCTGGAGGCGATTTCCGTACCCTTCTCAACAACACTGGCGTCCTTCACAACCGTCATGCTCGTTTCTACACTGCTGAAATGTTCTCATGCGTGGACGCACTGCACCAACTGGGCTACATTCATCGCGACCTCAAACCCGAGAACTTCCTTATCGACTCCACTGGGCATGTCAAGCTCACAGATTTTGGTCTGTCGGCGGGCATGTTGAGCCCCGTCAAGATTGAATCTATGCGCATTAAGCTCGAGGAAGTGGGCAACCTATCTGCGCCTTTTGGCAGACCGATGGAGGAACGTTCCGCGGCCGAGCGACGAGAAGGCTACCGATCGCTCCGCGAGCGCGATGTCAATTATGCCAAATCCATTGTCGGTTCCCCCGACTATATGGCTCCCGAGGTGCTCAAAGGCGAGGAGTATGATTTCACCGTGGATTATTGGAGTCTGGGATGTATGCTCTTTGAGGCGCTTGCCGGCTACCCTCCCTTTGCCGGTGCTACCGTGGACGAGACGTGGCAGAATCTCAAGCACTGGCGCAAAGTGCTCAGGAAACCCGAGTACGAAGATCCTACGTACTTTCTCAGTCCCCGAACCTGGGATCTCATCACGCGGCTTGTCGCCTCCAAAACCTCTCGTTTCCGAGGTATCCAGGAGATTCATTCGCATGCATACTTTTCAGAAGTCGACTGGAACAGACTGCGAGCGCAACGTGCGCCGTTTGTGCCAGAGCTCGATTCCGAGACTGATGCGGGCTATTTCGACGACTTTAGCAGCGAGGCCGACATGGCGAAATACAAGGAGGTGCATGACAAGCAGGCGGCAATAGAAAGCCTGGCGGACCGCGACGAGAAGATGAATAAGGGCTTGTTTGTTGGGTTTACATTTAGGTTCGTTTGCGCCGTGAACAAACATATGACAATTCAAGACTGGTGAGGAAACTGACTTTATACACCAGGCATCGCAAACCCGCTACAGACGGCGAGGGTAGTCCCCGAAAGGCCATTCCAACAGACGGCTCTTTTGGTACCATGTTCTAGTCTTAGCTGTTTCCTCCAATCAGCTTTACCAATTATCAGGGTCACGGCATAGGCGATATGGTATCTTTTTTTTTCTCCCTTTGCTTTTCGTCCTTTTCATATCTTCTTTTCCCCCACTTTCTTTCTTTCTTTCTTTTCTTTTCTCTCTGTTGCCACTTTTTCCCGTTTGTTTCCACTTTTCCCCCGATTCTTTTCTTCATCATGAACGTCTCCTTTCGCCACTTTTTTTTTTTTTTTTTTTTTTTTTTTTTTTTTTTCCTGCCTGAGTGTCACTACTTATCATGAAAATACGATTTCGCTACTCAATGGCCTCGTACACGACATTATTGATCCCCATAACTATTATATCCCCCCAGACTTTTCAACCTTTTTTTTTCTTTCTTTTTTCTTTTCTTTCTCCATTATTCTCGGTGCCAAATTGTATTTTCTTGATCCTGGTGGTGGGGATGGTCCGGTCGGGATAGGCAACGCGTTGTGCACGTCTCAGCTTTTTTTTTCGGTCTTTGATGGGCTATTGTGCTTTTGTGTTTTCCCCCTTTACTTCCACTTTTCATTTTTTTGTTTTCCCCCTCGTCCATCTGGGTGTTTCTCGTTTCCTGGTACTTTTCCCATTGCTTTGGCTTTTCAGTTCCGTATGGCTGATCCGTCAAGGTAGCTAGATACAATTTTTTTAATCGCAGTAGCCAATAGTCACTAGCCAATAGTCGGCTTTCAAGGAGCACAAGCACATTAAGCCTTTAGCACATTAGGACTTTAGCATGTTAGCACATGAACGAAATAAACAAATCATAGTAGATGTTATAATCAATCACTGTATCGCGACTCGCAGAGTGAGAAAAAGTTCCAATGAAGACTGCTCTGATGATGTAACTAATGTAACTAATACGATAACCAACGCCAACTCCGACTAAAGCTCTAGGCTTATGTAAAAGATAAAAGAGGCGCTCTTCGCAGGACGGTGCTTGCTTGCTTCCGTCAACAGATCTTGCTATGCAGCAGCAGGGGTTAAAAACAAATACAGTTTAGCTCGACGGATCAAACGACGCTTCTGCGCGCGCGCTGAGTAAAAGTGCTTGGAAAGATCCCAGAAAAACAAACAATCAATCAAGCAAACAAATAGGCAAGCAAGTAAACAGGAGAAACAGGACAATCTGAAAACCATAAAGCGCGGGTCTGGTATCTCTGCCATGCGCGAAAAGGAACAACGTCTCATCGCCATCTCATCGCCTTCAAAATGCCGTTCTACCAAACAAGAACATGACCAAATAAAGATCCTAAACAGTTCAATCCAGTAAACCTAGCTCCAAGTACCTTACTGTTCGGTAACACCCCGTCTGAAAAACAAAAGATCAAACACCATTCTCATCGATCACAGACTAATGTTGAGCATTATTCGTTCGCTCTCGGAACTGGCGATGATGGCCGCCGCGACGTTTCGGAAAGTTCTTCTTTTTATCATTCGTAGTAGTGTCGCTACTTGGTTGGTTGGGGAGCTTGTTCTCCTTTGCGGCGTTTAGAGGCTTCTTTTCCTCAAGGGGCCGAGTCTTCTTGCCGTCAATCGATGACTTGGCCCTCACGGCGGGCGTTAACACTGGTGCCTTGGGCGGAGGAGTGTCGACACTCTTGTTTGAAGCAGATTTGACAAGGTCAGGGAAATCGTCCTTGTCGGAAATCCGGACAGAAGATGACGCTGATTTGGCGGTAGTATTCGAGGAAACTGACCCCTGACTCAACGCTCGCTGGCGAGATGAGTCATCAGAATTGATGGATCCCGCAACGCTTCTAACAATTACTGCGGACAAAGATCCAAACTGAATTGTCATGATAGTCTTTGGAGGGGCGGCAAAATCAGGTTCATCAAGTTTCTGCTCAGAGTGTTCCGGAGCTAAACTTTGCGACTTGTCCGATGCGGATGAGTCGACAGCCCAGGGATCGCGCTCCACCGATGGAGATTCCTTGGTGCGTAATTGAATGCTATCAGAGGAGGGATTAGATCGAGCAGCTACTTGAGACCAACTGGTTGTGCTTGCGGATGAAGCCACATCAGTGGACTCCGTCTCGTGTTTATCCGAAGCGACGGAAGGCACTCTCTCTCGAGGCTTCGCCCACTCGTCAAAATTCCCAGCGTAGGGGAGCGGTACGCATGAGATACATTCAGTTGTCGTAGCCTCAGTGTTCAACTTTATTTGTGTATTGTCTTCCGGACTCGATGGGATAGGTGTATTGTCTTCCGGACCCTGTGCGATGGGAGTGTTGTTTTCCGGACTCGATGGGATAGGTGTATTGTTTTCCTGACCCGATGTGATAGATGTGTTCGTTTTCGGACCTGATGCGATGGGAGTGTTCGTTTTCGGACTGAATTCGTTGGATTCATCGTTTTTCAGGTCTCGCCGAGAGAAATTTCTTCGCTTTCCCTTATTCTTCTTCCTTTTGGGAACTGACTTTTGAGTTGCAGGAGAATCCTTCGTAGTGGTAAAACTATTTTGGCGGAATTGGGTATTGCTTTTGGCAACATTGATATCGATCTGCATCAGAGACTTGTTCTGGCCAGCGTTGTCTTCGGTCAGCTCAAGCTGGACTAATCCACCTGCTGCTATTTTTGGAGAAACGGTTTGCAGTGTATAGGTTGGTGAATGCTCTGCCTCCTTAACGAGTTCCTTCTCGGCAGCGTCCTCATTCCTCAATGCGCTCTTCTCGCTGAGCGCCAATCCATCACTCTCCGATACTGAATGCACCGAGGACCCTGGCAGAACTTGAGGGTCGGCGCGATCTTCCTGTGAACATTCGTCCTCGGCAGAAGAATTTCCGAGATCCGTTGATGTAGATTTGGCTGGTTCGTTGGCTTCAGACTCATTGTATTGGGATGAACCCGCTTCATCAGAGCCTTCAGAGAAGACATCTTTCTTAGAGTCAGTGGACTCCGTAGAGACCACGTCTTCAGGCGATGGGCCAAACCAAGCCTTGTTCCTGCGCTTTGTCTTCTTCGCCTTTTCCCTCTTTGGGGGAGGGGTCTTGATAGACTTTTTAGCAGCTGCAATCGGCTTGCTATCGATCAAGTCCGTAGTTTCAGCGCTCGGCTTGCTTTCCGAAAGTGGCGGAGAGGCCTCGGATAGCGTAAAATGAAACGGTTCTTGGGAATGCATGTTGCGATATCTTGAGCTTGAATCCTGATCGCGGCTCTCGGAGTGAGAAAAAGTATGCATTCCATCAACAGCTGCATCTGCAGCAGGTTCGAGCCCGCCATTGGCGACAGAAGGTTCAGGGGTGCTTTCCACTGACATTGTGGAGACATTAAGCACAAGCCCTTCAGAGTCACTCTGAAGAGGACTGCTACTCTGATCTTCAATACCTTGGGATGCTGGAGTTGTATTGTTGTCCTCGAATGGCGCATGGCTCTCTACATCATCGGCCGTTTTTTCTACCGATTCTTCGACCTGATCACCTGATGTGAGCACTTCTGAGTCTTGTACTGCCAAGACATTATCAACTTCAACACAGATGCTGCCTTCGATGGCTTCGTGTGGTATCGTCTCAGAGGCAGATGCCTGGACGCTCGTCTGGAAAGGAGATGGGGATGGAGGATCCAATTCAGAAGTCGTGGAAGAAATTTCGAGACGGCATTCCGCAAAATTCTTCACTAATTCCTCCAAATCTCTGTCGACGTGATTAGCTTTGGATACAGCCTGGATATAGAATTGAATGACTTACTGGTTAGTCGGTGCCGCGAGCGCCTCCTGATCCGGTTGGTCAGTTTGAGTCTGCTCGGTAGATTTGCTGTCGTCACTTGGAAGGGCCAATTCGTCCGCATCAGGCAAGCTGCTTCTAACGTCTTGCGGACTATAAATGACCTTCACAGGCGACTCGGTATGCGACACCAGCTTCTCCGGCGTGCCAGCCTTAATGGCCGAATCCGCATGTTGCTTCTTGGGAATGTAAGCCCCAGGGGGTCTTCCCATTTCAATCTTAAGACGGTAGCCGTGGAGGAATACTCCGGAATTGTGATTTACAGCTCTGATGGCGCCCTCTCTGAATTTGAAACTGCAACTGCTTAGAATTATTCGGATGGTTCCAGAGAATGAAAACTCACGTCACAAAAGCATACCGAGAATATTGGTATCTCCTCGGTATGAACACTTCTAAAACCGGGCCAAAATCTCGAAAAAACCACGTGAGGTAATTCTGATCGATCCCATCTGGGATGTTGCCAACATAGACCGTCGTTGGGGGCGAGACAGTAGGAGTTACCATCTTATTATCTCCGGAAATGCGTCTCCCAATGCCGGATTGATATGATGACATTCGGCCACCATGAGCGGCAGGTCGGTTGGGATCATTGGTCGACTCTCGCTGATGGAGTCGTTGACCGTAGTATTCCCGGCTAAATTTCCGTGCTTGAACCTGTTTACTGGTAGCTCTATAATCTGACGAATCAACAGGAATTTGCTGGTGAAAGACAACTGGTAGAGGATCTGGTCCTCGAGGAGGAGAAGTTGTCTTGACGAAGACATGGTTTTGGGTTATGGGCGCATTTTCGGAGATGCGTCTATTTCCTTGATGTATTCCAAAGTTCACCAAGGGGAGTCCTCTGTAAGTTTCCAACATCCCGGGAGTTGTATGAGGTCGGAGCGGAGTTCGAATTTGGTCCAGCGGAAATAAATTCGCACTAAGCTCGGGTGCCGACGTGTTGCGGGGCATGTATCCAAAGGGCTGAACCCAGTTGTTGGGGAGCGAAGGCGGCATAGCTACTACGCTTACTGGCGAAGTGGTGCTAGACATTGCCAGCGCCGGTGAGTGGGGGAGAGGCGTCTGGATTTGGGGATACTGAGCATATGAAACCATGGGGGTGTCATATGGATAGATGGCAGGAGCATTCGCTCCAAGCTCCTGGCTGACCCAAGGACCGAGATGATGAATTAAGACCGGCGCTATAGAGTAAATTAGCTCAAGGTATCCAAATATTTTGACGGTTGAACTAACGCGGAAGCTCCTTATACGCCTTCAAAAACTTGAGCTGTGCCAGAGCATCAACGCAAAACTCCTCTCCATGAAGACTAATCTCGGCATCGGTGAAGACCTTTTCTGTAGAGGGTCCGATGGCCAAAAATCTATCCATATTATCGACGGCCCATACAGCGGCAAACTGGCACACGTGCCCAGCTCGAACGAAATTATAAGAGGCTATCTCTCCTAAAACTGACAAGAGGTAATCTGTACCCTGAAGGTACAGATCGTACTCATCAAAATAGTCGCACAAGTGAGAGCCAAAGTTTACGGCTTTGCACTGCTCCGGAAAGTCATCCCTCAGCCGCGAGGCGTGGATCTTGCGATCAACTGCAGGATCTGAGCAAACAACAATCTGGGGAAAGGGGTATCTCAGCGCTCGAGGGGCAAATCTGCCCAACTGCGTCGAAAACATGTTCACCAATGTAGCTCTTCAGCTAGCTTTTACAGAGTGGAAGGCTATGAGAGCGTGCTGGAAGCAATAGTGAAGAAGTGAAATGGTACAGGGGGAGAAGACTGGCAAGCAATATAACAAGCAGATGACAGGTAAGGAGCGATGAAAGTGTTGTGGGTGCTGCTTTGGCTCAGGCTTTCTGCAAGGCAAAGCGTGTCAGTGAGCAGCCAAAGAAGGAAAGAGAAACCAAGCAGCTAGGGAGACAACACGGGCCCAGAAAAGGAAGGAACCAACGACTTGCCAAAGATTCAATACCCAAAGGCCAGTGAATGCGTAGGCGAGACCTTGGGAATAAAGGTCCCCTGGTCAACCATATCCAAGGAAAAGGCAGTGACAAGTGCATGAGTGAATGGCCCGGTTCAAAAGGAATTCCTTCAGCCTAGATTCACTATAGACCACAACGGCAACACAAGTAACCTTTCAAGATGCTGAGTGCAGAGCGACCTTGTTTTATTATTTGCTGACCGGATCGAAAGATCAGAAACATAAGCGCAAGGCTTTAGAAGGCGCAAATTCGTGAAAACGAGGGGGAACAAAATTCAAGCCCCATTATCGTTTGACTCGTCCATGTCGATAAACGTTGGGAGCCTTCGATCCATCAACAACCGATCGCCTTGAAATTATTGGGATTCCTCCATCACGACATGAACTAATCCCAATCGATTATTTTTGGAGGTGCATTTTGTTGTCGCAACAGCGCCGCTTCCTCTTTTCTATCAGGATATCAACCACCAGAGTAATGTTCCAATGACAAGAAACGCACAACAATAATATTCCCAATGTAATTAAAACAGAAAAGTAAAAAGAATCATATCAAATAAACGTGAAAAAATCAGAGCAGAAAATCGTGGTAAGGGCATAATGTTCCATGTATAGTCCAAGTCAAGCACGGCATGTTACCAAATGCTTATATTTGTGGGGTGGGGCACGACATCAGCAAAAAGGTTCGAGTGTCATTCAATAAAATTCTCCGTATATTTAAACACACAAAAGATTTTGGTCCCATGGGAGCGACTGCCTATTTTAATATTATACAGTATTCGTTTCTTTTGGAAGTGAGCGGAGCATTCTCAGTATCTCTGACTCGTTATCACCGGCCACTTTTCGAGTCAGCAAATTTTTCGAATTTTGTTTTCTCCCTGGAACATACCTGCTCTGCCATTGTCCCAATCGACAGTCTAGATTTATTTCGTTAGCACTCGAAAGGCGCCACTTGAATAGCGGTAACTTACCAAAGGTCTTATAAAACTGTCAGGAGTTTGTGAGAGTATCTTCTTTGCATCCGCCTCATTAGTGGCTCCTTTTACTAAAGTACCCGCCTTGTTTGGTCCGAGATATTCCAAAATGCTTCTAAGCTGGTCACTGGTGGGTGTTTCTTCGGTTACGTCCAGTTGGAATTCTGTTCTCTGAGACTTGTTTTGCTGCGCATGATCACTAGCCTGGTCCCCTGTTGCTCCTGAGCTGGCTTCAGCAGAGGCTTGTTTCAACAGAGTAAGGACGCGAGTAGAAGCGGCGGAGGATGGCTTATGGAAGAGGGTTATAATATCGAGAGATTTGTGCTTTCTCTGAGTTAGCTACTGTTGCCAGTATTGTCTTCGTCGATATTGGTCCTTACAAAACGGAACATTGTGATATGTTGAGCAAACTCGGCTGGAACTAACGGTAATTGAATTTGAGATTGAAGCTCTTCTTATGTGTCAGAGGAAGAAGTTGTCGTTGCGACGTCAGGATTGAGTTGTCGGATATTTGGCTGGTTGCGGAATGACGTAGTACAAATGCAATACCACAGGGAGCTCGTTTCCAGAGTCGGCTTAGCATTTGGTTCTTCCCGCGTTGCCGCCAGCCCTGGGGGTGCACGGACCACATGTTTTTGACGAACTGACTTTAACTCGCGCTTACCTACCTAGGCCCTAGAGGAACAAAACACGCCTCTGAAAATGAATAGAGCGGTGGAGATTGAGTATGATGAAGCTACTGCATTGTAGATAATAGGCTTCATTCACGCGTCATTTGATGAGTTGCTACAATAGATATGCAAGATGTGAATGATTTACAGAGTGACCGAGGATAGCGGGAAACAACGAAACACGATTTGAGAGACATCCATTTAGTTATTGGTGCAAAAGCCCCAGAAAAGTCATATTCTGTATAGGTAGTTGGCGACAATACCTCAGTTGCCTAAATAGTGCTTCGTTTGCGATCTAGGACCCCATTGATAAATGATCATATTGTCCTTTAGTCCAAGGCATCAATATGATGGATTCGTGTTTCTGATTTCACAATAGCGAAAGTTGTATTGAGCCCAGAGCCAATCAGGAGCTTGAAAAGAAGGAGCGAATCCTATTGTCTTCTATGTGAGTCAATCATCAGTGAATGCTGGAGGCGAGGATGCCGAGAAGCGAGGGTCTCCCACAAACTCCCAGCCATCTGAAAACAAAACAATCTGAAAACTTCTTTCGATCCTTTGAAAAAAAGAAGCTATCACCAACTTCTGTTCAGAAGCCTCTTGTCATTCATATTCAATTGCATACGTTAGTCTTCAGATCTCGATATCAGCGTTTCTTCCCACCTCTAAAAACTGACGGAGTTGGCAGTTTCCCAAAGCCAGCCCTCAATTTTCGTGTACCTTCCAATCCGTTCACGTCAACAAACACTAAAGTAAAGTATCACCTTGAGTCCAACCTGATTCATGCCACACTCCGCAAGACGGAAAACTGATGAAAACAACAGGATGGTCACCAGAAGTGGTCGACCGGACTTTAAAAAGGTCCGGTTCGACGGTCCGACGCCCGAGTCGGACAACCCCCAGCAGATGAGGGCCGCCTCTCCCGAGGATTCTGCTCAGGGGGAAATAACCGCCAGTGGACCTAGAAAGCGGGGAGGGGGACAACAGGGTCGAAGGGAGGAGGAGCAAACGCAAGATGGAGGGGATGACTTGCTCGAGGACCCGGCGATTCGGGCATCGCCGGAGGTCCTTGCGGCAAGGAAAATCCACTCTCGTCGTGAGGCAAGAACGGGAGTGGTTGAATTGCCACTCCCTGCTCCGGTCTCCCTCCCTGTGGATCCCGAACCCGCCCAAAGTCCAGCTGGCGGAGAGGGGCCTGAACAGCCAGGGCCAAAGACTGATGTCGGAAGGTCTCAAAAGGCTGCCAAGGTGGTCACGGAGGACCTCCAGGAAGCGGTAAGTCAACCGCAAATTACCCCTGTCGTGACGCAAAGCGTCATCAGCACGCTGCCAGGAGTCAAACTCCTGGAACAGACACCGGCTGTGTTTCTTCCCGTGAAGGTCTCTTCAAGCATGAGGCTTGGTCCCTTGCCTGAGAGACCTGAGCGGATAGAACCACAGTTTTATCCTGTGGCGACCTCGTTCCAGCATTGGGTTCACTTGGACCCAAGGAGGTTTGAGCTCCTTATGGGGCTCTTCTTCCAAGCTGGAAACGACCCCAATGCCATCGTTGGCCCGGGCTATCGGTCTGGACTTTTCCGGATCGACCTGCAACGGGTCGACGAATTGGAGGCGGGGGCATACAGTGGGCAAGTCTGGAGCTTCAGCCCAGACGACTCACTTATGTGGCACCTCATCGATTGGTGCCAGAGCAACGCAGGAGAATTCTGCGTTGCGATCCGGCGTTTTGCTGACAACGCTTTGTACCACGACAAAGGGTTTTTGCACAAGACAAACCCTTTCACGGAGATCCTCCGTCGTGCTGGCTGGATCCAGTACGGAGACCTCATTGGCGGCTGGGCCTTCCGCGCAATTGCAGCAGCCAAAGGGATGGAGCCGGGTCCCTTCAAGAATCGGAAGCTGTTGCATTTGAGACAGTTTTGGCCCCGACTGTTCAGCAAACTGATCGGAGACGAGTCGTGCCGGCTGTAAGTGGTCTTTTATTTCCCTCCCTTTTTTTCAACACCTTTTCTTTTCTCACTGTTTCATCGTTGCTTCCGTTCACAATTTTTGATATCTCTCAACCAAAAAAAAAAAACCTGACTCTTTTTATTGTTTCCCTACCTAGTTTCTTTCTTTTCTCCTTTTTTTTTTTTGGTTATCTCTTTCCTGTTTCTCTCGATTTCTTGATCTTTTTTTGCCTTCGCCATTTGAGCTCGTCGCCGATGGATTCTGGAGTAGTTGGACGTCGTTGCCGCAGGGATATCTCGCGAACCAATCAGAAGGTGGGAAGAAGCTAACCGAATTATTTTTCTGCGCTAGGACGGACTGGGGAATTTCCTTAGACCGCCCACACTTGTCTCCGAAGAGAGCGCTGGACGCTCTCGACAACAACGACAACGACGACAACGTCGCCAGGGGGGCCAAGAAAGTAAAAATGTCGGTCCCTAATCTGGCCCGCATGCAGGTACATGGAGTACCAGAGGAGGAGCGAGCATTCGATTCCCACGGGAATCGGTTACCATGGGGCTATCTCTACGCGGAGTAAGTGAAAATCAACAAACATGGGCAGTTCGACACAACGGGCCTTGATAGCCTAACTGAGGATGCCATTTTATTTTCATCACTAACTTGGTATATCTTGATCACCTTTAGTGACTCTCTAAACCCACGTCGCCCTCCTGAAGAGAAGGGGCCTTTCGGCACCCCTCTTCGCCGAAACAAATCTCGCTCGAAGACGGCCACACCGGCCAAAAAGGAAGATCCCACCGTTGTGGAATTTGGAATGATATGGGCCGCTCAACAACAGAAGGACAAGGAACAAAAGCAAGCTTCCGAGCAACAGTCTCATCCTTCTACATCCTTCTCGACCTCAACCCGTACCAAATCCGATGTAGCTTTGAGCGCATCAGCGGTTGATGGTACGACGACTACGTCTGCTAGTGCAGTGACTTCGATACCCTCTTCAATTCCAGCTGCAGCTCGACAGCCAACTGAAGTTATACTTTACGGATACTTTCCTGACACTCAGTGGCGTGCAATTGAGCTCTATGAACGCATCTCAGCTGGTATGATCTGCGAGGACTACCCACGTCTCCCTCCGCCCGAACGCATCAAGTATAAGTCGAGCTTCCAGAACATTCAAGCAGTGCTTCCTCGACCGCTGACGCGGGAAGAGACTAAGAGAGCACGCAGATATGCTGGCGGAGAAAGCTGGATCAAGGTCACATTTGACTCGCAAGAAGCGGCAGACCGAGCTTGTCACTTTTCACCTCAGAGTTGCGGCGGATGCTGGGTGTATGCAGAACCCTATCGCGGTGTCGGTCCCAAAGAGGACGTTCCTTTACCCGTCACAGAGGCAGATGCTCCAGACACTCTTCTCGGAACTCCTCGTCCTAACCGTAACAACTCTCGGACAAACTTGTCATTTGGCGCGGCAGCACAGCGATCGAATTCCAATTCCAATTCCAATATCTCTGGCCTTCCAAGGTCATTCACAACCAACACCCTTTCTCTTCCATCACAAGCACCGCCACCACCCTCTTCTAGCTCGACAGCCTCTTCTGGCACTGTCACCGACTTCCCAGTCGCTCCCGCTGTACCCGCCGCAGCTACAAAGCTTCCACGCAGCACATCCCAGCCCGTTTTCTCGAGCGGTGCTTTGGCGACCAGTACTTCGAACGGTGAAATGTCCCGTCGCATTCCTGGCGTCAGACGCGCGGTACTTCTTCCAGCGGAGCAAGCTCTTTTGCCTCAGCCATCACGCACTCAGCGCTTGATGTCACAAATCCCGATTCTCGGATGGTTTTCTGGCGAGGTAATTGGCACCGCCGTCCCGAGATTGGACAATGGCGAATTCGATTGGGTTCGAGCGAGCTTTTGGTGGCGCATCTGCTACTGGATTGACCTACATTTCGGAACGGACCTCTGCGGTCTGCGAGACGACCGCAACGAGTAGCTGCCACAGATGCAGCGTTAAAAGTACAATTAGAGAATTGTACAATGTACCAACTGTCGTACATTCATAGGAGCACAATGCGCTTATTTCTCACAACGCCTTATTCTTTTCGCATCACGACATACTCGACTAGCCAGAGCGCTTTAGTCTTGACGCTGAGGTCACACAGCTGTTTACTCACTTTTGCGTGATTGCATTCTCGTTTCATCCTTCTCTCACCACTACCGAAGCGTTGCTCCTCTCTTTTCATTCGAAACTCGTTGCTCGTTCTCGCTCACATCACCGACCATCGATACGCATCTTGAATTGTCTCAAAAGAAACTATGAGAAACTCGAAGATGACGATGACCCTTTTCTTAGACACAATACCCAGAAGAAAATATGGGTACAAGAAACGGCATCACATTCGACGCACATGCTTTTTGTCAGAAGAAAATACGATAAAACGCCATGGAGTTGTCTAATTTTTACATTATTTGGTCGCCATATTGCAGATATCCGTTCCCTCAATTTCCATGGAAACATCTCAACATTCCCCGCCGCATCGGTCGCTCTCGACGTCGTCATCAAAAGAAAATATGGTTGTCGTTTACAAATGAAAATATGAGTCGAAGCTCTTTGCTATGCAAAATCTTTTGAGATATGCTTTCCAGGTCAGGGTGTTTTAAACAGATCTTCCTTTTTTATCTTCGAGTATGAACTCGCTAGGCTCCAGAAAACTCTTGATTTTCGACCTCAAAAGAAAATATGAGTGTCGTTGACAAAAGAAAATATGGAACGAAGAGTTGAGCCTCTCGCTATTGGTCGGGTCACAGACCAAGAATATGTCATTCTTCATCTCTCACTCTCTCCGTCACATCTCTCTCTCACATCTCTCGCCTTTGTTCTCGTCTCGATGTCGACATCCCGAAGAAAATACGGTCGTCGTTTACGAAAGAAAATACGGATCGAGCGAGCAAGGATCTTTACATGTCATCAAATCCTTTTCTACATTCGTCGAAATCATTTATCTACTCTTCGAATCGATGTCCATATTACCGACAACACGTCTATCCTATATGCTTTCCAAAGCATTCAGCTTGTCTTCTTTCGACACGGATATGACCCTCTATCTTCCAATCACTCCGGCAGAGTCCGGTTTACCAATCGCCGCATTGCGCTTTTAAAGCCTGCAAAGACTCTTCGTCTAGTACGATGGAGATTTATCATTCGGCATTCGGCCTTGGCTGAATCTTTTTTCTAACAGACGGCACTGCTTCGGCTTTCTCGTGCCTACTTTTCTGTTGTCTACTTTTTTTATTGTCCACCTTTTTCACTTTTCTCTTATTTCGATTCCTCTTTTTCTTCGTTGGGTCATGGGTTACGGTTCAAATCGGGTTTTCTTTTTCTTTTCTAGTTTTCTTTTCTTATTATGGTTTCATCACTCGGGTTTATTTTGGGTGCATTTCCAAGGAACAATGGTTGCATTCTCTCGGCTTCAGGTCAAGCGTTTATTCGTCTTGACTGTCGGAAGCATATTTCATTTGCACTTTTAGCAATCAGCGACCAACCTATGTTGTTCTTTATTTTCATAGCAGCCTCTATTCTTTTACCTAAATCGCAAGGCTTTTCAGATTTGTCTCAAGGTTTAGATTCTAAAACAACCTTTCAATTCTTTAATATTTGTGGCTATGCCTGTTATGTGACGATGTGATGGGCTTTTACGTGGTGATGTAATGAGTTATGAACTAGTCGTAAGATTTCACGCGTTGGCATAATGGGATCATGTCAGGATGATAGCTTTTGATATTCATAGCATGTTTGTAGAAAGTAGTATTTTGATATGCATAGCTTCGTAATAGTTAAGTCTTAAATACAGTGTCGTCTGCCATGCCCGTGTTTTTTCCATTGCTCGTTGCTCATTCAACGATGACATGCCCGTTTGGCCATTTGGCCGTTTTAGCAGACCGAAAAAGAAAGGAAGGTAAAAGGAAAGATGAAGATAAAGCTAAAATGCTAACAGGCACATTCCCACTTGCGAGTTGCAAGTCTGACGCCTGGGCTCCCCAGGGTCGGGGAGGGCAGGGAAAGAGATGGGAACCCTCAGGCAATCGGGAGCGTTTAATTGAATGCAATTAAAGCAAGACCGCCGCGCCGACAGCCGCGCCTGCGATGATGCCCCAGCCCTCCCACATGATGCGGCCAGCGGCATTAGTAGGCGAGGCCGTGGCGCTGGTGCTGGTGCCGGTGCCGGTGCTGGTTGTAGACCCCGAGGACGAGGACGAGGAGCCGTTGGCATTGATGTTGGCGCCGGACAGAGGCGTCGAGGTCACGCCCGTGCCGTTGAGGCATTGCGAAGGAGAGGCCTTGTCGGTGGAGGTGAATGTGATGTCGGCGCACTGTTTTGTTGGTAATGTTAGTGTTTGTTTCGACTAGGTTGGTTGGATGTGGTAAGGGCCTGGGAAGACGAGAAAATTATATAACAAAAAAAAAAGAAATAGAAATAGGAATGAGAGAATCAAAGAGAGGGAAGGCGAGGAAGAGAAGGGATTGGACGGGGGGGAAAGGAGAAGAAGGGAGAATACATTATACAATCCACCGTTGGGATCACCATTGGTCACGACCTGGATGGTAGCGTTGGTGCCCTCGCTGATATTCAGCCCAGCAGGGACATTGACATCGCCCATGCAAAAGTTTCCCAGCCCCATCTCTTGAAACGTCGGACGCAAGACGACGTTGAAGTTGTCGCTGGGATCGTTGCCAACTGCAAGCAGCACCTGCACTTTGGCCTGCGAGTGGCCCATGGTCAGCTGAATCGAGCCGCCGCTCAGTGGCCACGCGGTGCGGTTGGAGCTGACGGTGTTCTGGCCGCCGCAGGGGAACTTGACGAGGTTGTCCTCATCGAAGCCGCGGGCGGCAGGGAAGTCGAGCTTGAAGTGGGCGGCGGCGAGGGTGCTCAGGCTGCTGAGCGAGAGGAGGAAGAGGGACGTGAGGGACGTTGAACGCATCTTGATCGTTTGGATTTTTTGAATTGTTTGGATTGCGTGAAGTGTTGTGGGGATGGGGTTGGGAACGTGAGAAGGTGGTGTTGGATGAGAGAAGAGAAGAGGTATCTCAGTTTGTGATGACTTGATGAGTTCTGGGGGGATTTTGAATGCCGTGGTAATTGGCGTGACAGATCGAATGAAGTGAAGTAAAGTGAATAACACCAAGTGGCTAGAGATGAGCTACTGAAACATCAAAAGGGTATCAAGAACTTGGAAAAATAGAGAGAGAAAAGCAAAAAGGAAAAGAAAGGTGAACTAGGGAGACAAGGGCTATAATATAAGAATTGGCTCTTGGCCTTGGCCTAAACCTAGGGATTGATACGATCCACGCTCCTGGGCATGATGTTTCCGTCAAAGCTCTGCCATGATTTTTTATTTTCCCGTGTCGTACTCCATACATGATTGCACTTGGTATCCACATGCATATGGTCCCACCCACTCCTATGGATCCAGGGCCAAGAGGAGTCAGTCAATGCTGCGGTTGTTAACGTATGCTGTGTAGCTGGATTAGTTAATTATCATTGCCGGTGCGGCCAAGCATTTGTCTGGGGCGTTGTTGTAGTGTGTGTGCAAATCTCCGCTCACATCTTGTTTCATCACATCATATCTATCTGTACGGAGTATACAGTTACAGTGGGAAGCTAGACAAGACCTACCTAACTACCTTGACTAGCAAAAGGCACGGGGTGTTAGTCCGATGCGTGTCCTTAACCGGAGCCGAGTCAGTCATTCAGTCAGTCAGGACTAAAGCCTCTTGTCTTGACCCGAGGGACGCTAACGCCTGGAATTCTTTTCCAATAGCTTAGTATTCATGGCGGGACAAAGGGCAGGGAGAGAGGACATGTGCGGAAAGGTTTCCAGGGCGGAAGACGTGACAAAGCGAGGGGAATCAATCATGATGCAGAAAACTTGCTCATCTGGGTCGAGGGTGGGGATCTGCTGCAGGGTGCATAACTGCTGGCCACGATGGAAAGCAAATGGTGACACGACTTCGGGGCACACTGCATCCCTACCCCCTAGGAGTACTCCGTACGCGCGACGCCAAGCACCACCGGGCTGATGGGCTTATGGGCCTATGGGCCTATGGATAAGCAGAGGGTTTTCCATTGTGGCGTTTTGAAATCATCAAAGCTTTTTCAATTGCAGGTGAGCAAGTTTCTGCAAGCCATGAGGAAAAAGCTCCCTTGTTATTTGTCGTTTTTACATTCATACGGAGTAGTCACTTGTTGATCCTTGCCAGCCCCACATCCACATGTCGTTTCTTTTCAATTCGACGATAACCGCCATCGGACGAGCGGGATATTCAATTGAGACATTTCTTGGGATTCTTGGAGAGAAACTCCGCCAGTCCTCGAATTGTAAATGTTGGCCTTTTTCGGCTATATTGTATGCAAAAAGAATGTAGTCTTTTCCGTCAATGTGACATCTCAATTGGTTCAAAATACTACTTTTAAAAAGAAGAATAAAATAAAAAAGTCATGATTGATGTCATCAATTCTATGCGTGCAAAGTGATGCCAGCACTTTAATGAAAAGAAATGCAAATTGGGTATAGACAACCCACTAACACGCCTATGCAGCCATCAAGTGTCGTTGCAGTATTCCATGCCAGAACTCCATATGCAAATATCCACAATGTATCCCGATCAGAAAGAGGTTTCAAATCTCCCTTCTGAGTTGTTTAATGCTCTTCCAGTTGGGCATATCGTCCGAATGCGAGCTCGCCAAGAAATGTGCCTCCGAGCACGGACAAAAAGTAGCCCACATTCATGGTCATGACAGCTAACATGCTGGAGAATAAGTCAGCTCCACGGCTCCCAGAAAAAGGAATTTTGCTCTCATCTACTTACAGCAGATACCCGACACCAGCAATGACCGTCGCAATACCAGCGCGGGGTACGTCGACTGAGAGCCGCCATGGCGAAATTCCTCGAGCATGGCGGCGCACGACCCGCACGCGCTCCTCCAGACCTTTGCTCGAAACGAGCGTCCCCGTCTTCGCATCCGGGTCGTTCAAGGACCGCTCGGCCTCGGGCACCTCGCCCGCAACAACAATATATCGACGATTGAGAGCTTGATCGAGCCACCGCTTTTCGAGGACATGCTTGAAAGCAAACAGAGCTCGAAAGATGACGGCCAGCAGGATAAGAAAGATACAGGTGCCTGCGTAGGATCCTGTTCCTGAAGGAGTCCAGCCGGTCGAGTAGAGCGGAGTAGTCTCGTCGCTGAAAAAGGTCATTTGCATGTGGGACATGCCCGACATGCCCGACGACGAGGAAGAATGCGATGACATGTCCATCTTGATATTAAGTAAAAGAATTCAACAGAACTTTTCAATGGTTTTTCCTGTCCAGAAGCTTTGGGTCGACCTCGTGCCTTCTTTGATGTGGAAAAGTTCGATCAGATAACAGATTTCAGACCAAAGTCAAGGATACCGTGTCCTGCGAAGGAGATCCTCCCACGTTGTGACAAACGTTCTCGCAGCGGGGTCTATCGTGGTTTATCGTTGTGGGAAGAGCATGGATGTAGTGAGTTGTTGTCCAGGCGGTGACGGGGAATTCAGCAATTGGGTGACCGCTAAGGCTTGAGTACCTCAGGCAGTGTGGGATCATGGGTATCGGAATGGAATCTCCTACTTGATTGCGTTATGGGAATGCTGGTCTGTGCGGACACATGAATGTCTAGTGTTAAGAAAGAAAAAGAAGGTGGTTGCGAAGATTCTTATGTCATCCTTGTTCGCCTCCCAAAGAGACCAGGGGCCAGAGGGGAGACCCCTGTCGGTTCCTGAGCATGTTTGAGCAAGTTCTTCCCGTTTAGGCTTGGCGTGGTTTTCACGTTTGATCCTCACGGTATACTCGTACAGGCCACAAAGGTGCCCTTTTTTCATTCAATGAGAGATGACGAATAGAGTCAAGGAAGGGAATTGAAAAGATACGAGGGGGAATAAGTAATGAATAATTGTAGAGTCATAACACTCCAATCGGATTGTCTTGGTGAAACACGGTTCTGCTGTTGTTGTGGTCTATCGTAGTATGACTGAGGAAGAAACTCCGATGCGGCTCTCGCGGTGTGGCTTTAGGAGACCGTGCAGCCCTAGCGGGAACCATCTCCCCATCTGTCCATGGGTATTTGCTGCGGACACCAAACGCCATTGAGCCTGACGTGCCGCGAAAAAACGTGCTCATGTCTTAATTTTCCCCGAAGAAACGATGGAGGGAGGGGCGAAAGTGGACACTTTGGTGAGGGTCGATGGGGGCGAGGGGTCTGATAATCAGTCCGTGATGAGCGTGATAGACCCAATTTGCCGATTGTTGCCGCTCTTCGAGTTGATCTGCTCTTTCATCTTTGTTCATCTTTTCTTTTGACCTACGTGTCCACGCTCATTGTTGCGGCCAAGTGTCAAAGCAACCATTTTCAGCATTTTCGATGGATCAGTTTGTTTAAACAGACTTTAATCAAACTGAGATTTCCCTTGCTCAGTCTTAATTTGGTCTTTTTCTCCCTGGCAAGAAACCATCAAAACAGTCATGGATATGGATATGGGCGACATGTCGGGCGGCATGTCCATGGGCGACGGCGTGCCCACGCTCTTCCACATGCAGAAGATGTATTGGGCGTTCATAGGCGCGACCATTGGCTTTGCGACTCTGGTCCATATGGGTGAAAAGGCGCTCTGCTGGCAGAGGTAGGAGATTCCATTATCACCAGTGAAACTTGGTGGAAATGACGCTGAACGTAATTACAGACTTCATGCTGCGAGCAAGCAGGATCCAACACCTGCAAAGCCAAGGTCTCCCGCGCTGGTCGCGGTTGCAACGGCTACGGCAATTATCCGCGAAATCTCAAATGCTACCATGGCCATGTTCAAAATTCGTGGTCGGACTTTCCGCAGTGCTCCGCTTGGTCGAATCTGTCTCGTACTCGCCTACTTTGTCCTACTTGTCGTACTATGTTTCTACCGCCTCCAACCTAGCAACCCCTGGCAGTATGAGGATGTGGCATACCGTTGCGCCTACATCAGTGTGGCTCAATTGCCGCTCATCTTCCTTCTGGCTGGCAAAAATAACATTGTTGGGTGGATGACCGGCCTCAGTTATGAAAGGATCAATTGGTTACACCGATGGGTTGCCCGCTGCCTCCTGTTTACCACCACCCTCCACATGGGCTACTTCTTTACTGATTGGGCCCGTTACGATTACATCTTGATCAAACTTCGAACAGACTCTATGACACAAACTGGCATCTCTGCATGGGCAATTCTCGTCTGGATCGTTCTCAGCTCGTTTGCGCCGATTCGGGGCTTAAGCTACGAACTTTTTGTGCTGCAACATCTCATCTCCTTTGTTGCCTTTATCACCATGGTCATGCTTCATGCCGACGCCGATGTGCACGTCTACATCTGGATTCCTGTCGGACTCTTCTTCTTCGATCGTATCACGCGAGCTCTATACGTCCTATACACCAATCTCGCCATCTTTCATCCAAAGGCACGCCGTGAGGGAAATCAATCACGTTTCTGGGCTTGCAAAGCCAGTTTTACCCCCGTGTCTCAGCGGACAACGCGCGTGACTATTCAGAATCCTCCGATTCAGTGGAAAGCAGGACAACATGTCTTCCTTTCTTGTCACTCTATTGTGCCCCTGCAAAGTCACCCATTCACCGTCGCCTCTCTTCCTGAAGACGGAAAGATGGAGTTTCTGATTCGTGCCGGTAATGGAGGAACAAAGGCATTCTTCCATCATGCTGAAAAGCACCACCAGCAACTCCCCACTACTGAAGCTGAAATCTCCATGCCCAAGCACAAATCCGTTGCTATTGAAGGACCGTACGGTCGCATTCGGCCTCTCCGCCAGTTTGACACCGTTGTCCTTTTAGCCGGAAGTACCGGTGCGACCTTTACTGTTCCACTGATGCGGGAAATTGTCTCCGCATGGCGCCGCAACAACAACAACAACAGCGACTCTTCTGATTCCAGCCGCCAAAAAAGGGGATTCTTGCTTCCAGACGGCATCGTTACTCGGCACATCCGCTTCGTCTGGGTCATCAAAGCGCGCGACCAACTTGACTGGCTCTGGAAGCAGCTCATCACGGCAATTGACGACGTTCGCCAGCTCCGCCACCAGGGCATCGATGTCGAGCTTGACATGAGCATTTACATTACTTGCGACGACAGTCTCACTTCAGACCAACAAGGCGGCGTACTTCCTCCGGCTTCTGCCCGGAACTCGCTTCCGCCACCTTATGGCGTTGTAGAAGAAGTACACACCGCAAAGCCTGAGAAGGACGAGAAAAAGTCGGACCCAATGTTTGGCAGTGCGGAAAAGGCCGAAGTACGGGAGCTCGATTCCCTTTCAATGGCTTCGTCACACCAGGGGCCATCATCTGGCCGTCCCACGTGTGGACCCAACGGCACATGCTGCTGCACCGCAACTATCGAAGACGAAGACGCCATCGACAATGCCGATGCCCCTGTCTGCACCTGCAATTGTGGTGCTGCTGCGGCAAGCTTGCCTGAACCTACTGGCCCAGCGCCTCCCTCGTCATCAGGGACCGACAAACCCCATTCCTCCTCCCCACCACCACTCTCGCCATCATCTGACGGAACAGCTGCAGTCCAAGATTTCGAAAAGGCGCAGCTCGCAAAGGAGATTGGACCCCGTCCAGACTCTGCTTCGTCCTCCCTTGCATCACCTACGTCACCTACATCTATCCCGCTCTTCAGCGGCCGTCCCTCCCCGCGCACTATTATCCGCAAATCCCTCGAGCAAGCCTTTGGCGAGAGCGCCGTCGTGGTATGTGGACCATGCGGGCTTGTCGACGATGTGCGCCACAGCGTCGTCAGCTTGAGCGATGAACGGGCCGTACACAAGGGCTCCGGTGCTCAGGGTATCTATTTGCATACAGAAGCTTTTGGCTATTAAAGTTTCTCAATTCGGCCTTTTTTGTCCCCCTCTTTTTTTTCTTTTTCATTTATACCCTGAATTAGAAGTATCCTTTCGTGTTACTTCTTCAACCCTCTTATGATTATAATGATACAATGATACCTTGCAGTTGCATTTTCAAGGCTCGGTTGGGTTTGGGGTTTCTAGATGTTGGTCATGAACGGAGCGTTCATTTTTATCACCTGAATTTCATCACCAGATGTTTTCTTATTTTATCACCTCATGGTTTCTTATATTCTGCATTGCTACCAGGAAGCCGGTCTTGTGCAATGGCTGATGCCTTTTCGACATTATGCACCGAGATAGATTATCCTCATTCTTTCGGTTGTTCTCTTCTTTATCGGTTATTCTCTTCTTTTTCGAACTTTCTATATCGGATATTCTTTCCTAGGCCAATGCATATTTGATATCTCGATAGATATGAGGAATATTAAATTTGTTCAGACAAGTCATTAGTATTCATCCCTTTTTATATTTCCATGCTACATGATCTTGCAGTGATTCATATACTGTAGTCTGCATTTCTACCTCGCCAATGATATACCTGCTGTCTATCTTTATTACTATCACAACTACCTAGGTATCCTGCATTACCATTACAAGTACCCTGCATTACCATCATATGTGTTATGTAACAAGTACAGCGCAGCTATGTCCTCTGTAGGACCAAAACGTTGTCGTATATTAAACGCACAGCACCAGCTGGTTCGCTTGAGGGGGTGGGTTGAAACGCTACATTGAAAGTTTGAAACAGAACAGAACCGAGATATTCGTGAAGGCTAAGAGAAGAGGTTAAAGAAAAGAGGTGAAAGCGGTGGAAGAAAAGAAAAGAAAAGAAAATAAGGGGGGTGAGAGAATTGGGTAAAGATGATTAAAGACAGGGAAGAGAAATTAAAAGAAAAGGGAGGGGGAACAAAAAAAAAAGAAAAACAACGAAAGAAAAGAATGAGAGAAGAATGAGAGAAGAATGAGAAGAATAAAATTAATTGAGATTAGGATATAAGACATAAGATATGGAAGAAAACAAAATAGAATGAAATAAAAAAGAAGAAAAAAAAAAGAAGAAAAAAAAAAGAAGAAAAATAAGAATAAGAAAAATAAGAATAAGAATGAAAATTAAATAAAGAAAGGAAAAGCAAAGAAAGGATAAAAAGAAAAGAAAAGAAAACAAAAGAAAGGATAAAAAGAGAAGAAAAAAAACCAAGAAATGATCAAATTTAAATAAACACCAACGCGCCCCCCCCCGGCCCCCCCGGCGGGGCAAAAAAAGCGATCAAAATCCATGCTTTGCAAACTCAGCCTCTGTCCAATCCCACAACTTCCTCGCCCTGTCATCGTTCCGCGCGAGACCCGACCCACCTGACTTGCGTCCAACAGGGACATAAAACGCGCCCGTCTCGACTTCCTTCGCCGGCTTTGTCGTCGCGGCCCAGAGCTGATTCCTTGCGCCCTGGGGCACGCTGCTCATGAACCACGAGGCAACAGTCAGCGCAATCTTCGAGACAAAGCCAAACGCCGAAGTCGTGGAGGCGTAGAGATTGGTATAAATGACACCCGGATGCACCGCAACGGACTTGATACTGGGGTACCGCCGTGCAAGTTCTTTCGCGAAATAGATATTTGCGAGTTTCGAATTGCCATAGCGTCTCCAGGTATTGCTCTTTCCGAGGACCGTAGTGTCGGTGACCACTGCCGCCGACGGAGCTAGGCGATGGCCTTCAGACGAAACGTTGATGATGCGCACGTCGGAATTGGATTCCTCGCTTGTGCGCAACAGCGTGGGGAGAAGGAGCTTGGTGAATAGGGCGTGGCCGACGTGGTTGGTGCCGAACTGGATCTCGTAGCCTTCCGTCGTCGTGCCCATGGGCGTGGCCATGATGCCGGCGTTGTTGATCAGGATGTCGAGACGCGTGGAAGAGGCATTAAAGGACTCGGCGGCGGCTTTGATGGAGCCGAATGAGGTGAGGTCGAGGGGTAGGTAGATGAGCTTGGTTTGGGGGTGGTCCTGGTTCAGCTCGGGCACGGCGGAGCGGATGAACTCGATGGCGCCCTCAGCTTTGGATTGCGTCCGCGCGGCGAGGTAGATGGCTGATGGGTTGTGTTTGGCGAGTTGCAGGATGGTTTCTTTGCCTAAGCCTGTGTTGCCTGTGGTATGGATGGTTAGGTTTATTTAGAGGTAATTATAGGAGGAGATTAATTACGTACCGCCTGTGATGAGGATGACTTTTCCAGATAAGTCTGGAATGTCGGTCTCAGGGTGATATTTGCTGCTCCCGAACATCTTGGAGTTGGATATCCAGTGAAATAATTATGTTGATATGGTAAGAGTATATAGTAAACAGTGTGGTGAGGATTTGTTGCGCTCAACAGAAATGATGAGAAGCTTTGAGCGGGTCAATTGGAGTAGACGCTGGAGTTGTGATATGATCCGAAATACAGAGCAAGCTCACAGGGTCAGGCTGCTCTTCTTATATAGACGTTGCCTCTCGATTTCAAATTCTTTTGTATAAGCTGCATGTAAAAAGGACCCTGGTTTGGCATGTGTTTGGATGAAATCACCACCTTGAGCCGACCGGGCTTAGTGGGTCTGGCTCGTCTCGTCTCGGCCGTAGAGAGCAGCGGAGCGGAATCAACATTTCCCCATCCCGCCTGGAAACGAAAGGGAAGATCCAAAGGGACTCCGGTAGGCGAAAGGCCATGATTATGCAAATGTTGGTCTCTTGCCTCGGCCGTAGTGCGTGCTGGAAAATACCGGGGGCTGCTACTAATCGGGAACAGTGGCGCCGGGCTGGCGGAGAGATTTTTGTTCCATTTTCTAATCCAAAGCACGCACAACTACTGCCGGATGGTTCAGTGATCAACTGATTCCACGAATATCAGTATAAGTAATTGAGTGACACCAATTGATATGATTATAATTCTGTAGAGCGTAGTAGGCACTGGTAAATTGTAAAAGCTGCATGAAGATGAGAAATGCGTGACTGCCCTAGGTGTATCGGCGCCAGCCCACAACGCCCACCAAGCACCTCGCTTGCGAGGGCACAACCGAACTTTGAGGCTCTGGAGAAACTCGGGCACGACAACGCCGGTCAGAGAGTCTATTCGAGATCCGTCACACCCCTTTGACCCTTCATCGCAACAGGTACGCTTTTCCCCGACTCATCGCCGTCAGTTTCGTCCTCTGTCGATTCCGTTCGCTCGGTCAGATTACTCGAAATTTTTTTGTTGCTGGAATCTCTTTGTGGAGGTGGGGCTGACAATTGGTTTGCCGAACTGCGCATCTATAGACCTCTGTTCGAAAAAGAAATCGGCCTGTCCTTCGTCGGCCAACAGCAATCATGGATCACGCAAAGCTTGCTAGAATGCAGCAGTCGGTGCGAATCGGTGAGTGACGCCAATTTGAGTGGATTTGAAGGCTGGGCCAGAGCAGGACAGCTGGAGGAGACTTTTGGCTGGGCCAAACATTGGGGGAGAGGTCGGATCTAGATGAAGAAGATGAAGCTAACTTTTGAACTTCTGCCCTGTAGGGTACGCTTCCTCCTTTTTGAAACACCTTCTATTCACTTCATATCACCTGCTGTCTCCGTCACTGGAATAAACAACTCAACTTTGCCGACAAGAATACACATCACGTACGATCAGAATGCTGACAATTAGTCATCCTATAGCGGCAAGGGTACCCCGAGAAGAAAGATAAAGAAGGTCCACAAGAACTCTGGCACCGACGACAAGAAGCTCCAAGCTTCGCTCAAGAAGCTCAACGTTCAGCCCATCCAGGCCATTGAGGAGGTCAACATGTTCAAGGAGGATGGAAACGTCATCCACTTCGCCGCCCCCAAGGGTACGTCTACCCCGCATATCCACTTCTAGATGAAAGGTCAATTGGACGGTGTTATTGTGGAAAGGAGGGCAGCTTTCTCTTTCAAATGAGGGGAAGCTTCCTTGCACAGTTGAGGAGGAGGATATGACGGCGTCTGGATGCGGAGCATAGATTGTCGGGAAATTGCAACATTGGCTGACCGTCTCCCTTTACAGTTCACGCTTCCGTCCCCGCCAACACCTTCGCCATCTACGGCAACGGTGAGGAGAAGGAGCTCACCGAGCTCGTTCCCGGTATCCTCAACCAGCTCGGCCCCGACTCCCTTGCCTCTCTCCGCAAGCTCGCCGAGAGCTACCAGTCTCTGCAGAAGAAGGAAGGCGAGGAGGGCGATAAGAAGGAGGCCGACGACGACGATGACATCCCCGACCTTGTTGCCGGCGAGAACTTCGAGAGCAAGGTCGAGTAAACTTGTTTTCGTAACTTCTTGATGAATGTCTAATGTTGTCGATACTCTGCCACCCTTTTCCAAAAAAATTTACCTGTACTTTTGCATCCGGGCTGGGCAAGGATAGCAGATAGCGATTTCACAATAATCTACTGTTTCTCTTCTGCTACCAAATCAATGAACCCTGACAGGCGATGATGAGAATTTGATGGCCCCAGTAGCTTATATGCTACGGCCTGGAGCTCTCCTAGCGCACAATGGATGCACTGGTGAAATCTAGACCACGACCCCTCCAAACAGTGATATCATGGCATTCTCCTTTTACTTTGCTTTACCTTTCATGGGGATTATGTGAATTTTGACGGGGAAGGTCTGGGCTCAAGAAGCTCACGTGCTTGAAATCGGGTTCTCTAAGCCTTCCTCATAAATGTCCGTAAAAGGTGATTTGATTGTGGATATATCTTTGGAGATCATGTCCATGAATAAGGTGTCAGTCTAGGCTTCGGCGGCACTGGCAAAGGTCAAAAACACTACCCAAAATCAATCTCGGCGCTGCCTTTGGGATAGAGTAACATTGATGTGCATCAGTCCGCAGCATCGCCGCCAAGAGACTGAGCCCTTTTTTCCCCCTAGCAGTAGACAATATCAGATATTATATTGTTGCATTCATCAACTATTAACTCAACCGTCTGAAACTCTCTGGGTATTCTTTTCGGGTTAAGTGAGGCGATCGAACTGTGACTGTCGAACCACTTTGGCGCAACGGGTCTCGGGCGGTCACGATTCGTTTGGCGACACAGACCTGAGTAGCGAAACCCACGTTTGACTCTTTCCGGCGCCGGCCGTCAGCGAAATACAACGTTCAGGGCACGAGGACACCTTTTTGGACTTCTTCCTTGTGGAGAGCAGGATACCAATCCGAGAGAGGCATTGTTATCTGTAGCAATTTTTGTGGCCAACTTCTTCTGAAGGCCTCATTACCTTGCGCCAATTCTTTCGCATTCTTATTTGTGCCTACTCAATATCACGGACTCTACCCCGAGTCTCACGAGGACATTTACACAAGCCCTCGCGGAATTCCCATTTGTCAAAATGAATTAGTTTCTAGATCTCCTCTGGGAGATCGTGTCCGTTTCCTTGCTCTTTTCTTATTCTCTCCGCCTCTCCTTCATATTCCGCCAGTGCATGCCACCTGGTGCGGCTTCTTTTCTGGACTGAATCTTTTGTCTTCGCCAGTCTGTCGCCGCCAGATCTCTTACGACCATCGGCTGCCGCGTTCTTTCAACTTTCTATTCTATTCTACCTGCTTATGCCGACACATTTGTCATAAGCTCTTCGAAAGCAATAAGTTTACACGGCGGCTTGTTGATCGGTTTTTCGAGGACCCCTCTGGATACGCTCATTTCTCTTACGGAACAATTAGCCGGCAGAAGCAATTGAGAGTTGGGCCTTTCGCGGAGGAAATAATAATGTCTCAAGGTACCGACGTGTCCAATGGCGGCCAAGGCTCTCCAAACTCGTCAAACGATTTGCCTCGAGGAGATCAATCGAAGGCTTGTCAAGCGCCAGGATGCACGCTGGCGAATCAGGAGGTATCACCATCAGGGAATGGCGGGGGTGGGCATCATCATAAACACTATCATACACAGCATGGCTCTTCAATATCCGTCCCTCCGACTTTAATTTCACCTTCGTCAGAGCCGGCCGTGAATGAAGATGATTTTCGAACGGCTAGTCCCGAGGAGATCAATAAAGATGTCTCTAAGCCTGTGACCGCCTTTTCTCAGCTGACATCTGAAAATCTGAATGCAAACGATAATGCGAGGTTACAACAGGATGTGGTCCCGCGATATCGCAAACAGATACGCAATGGTGCATCTTCTGTCCGTTCAAGTCAAAGTCACGATGCCGAAGCAGTTCTCTTTCAAAGAGCGAGACTTGAAGAGTTATTCCGTGCATACAACAGCGGGGATTCTGTAGCAGCTGATGCTATTGCTGAGATTGCTCGCTCGAATGGCATTCCTGGAGACTTGCGGCGGCAAGCATGGCCAATACTTCTTGAAACGCACCCTATTAGGCTTACGGGGGCCCACATTCGAGGCCCCGTACTCAGTATGCAACATATGGAACCGGCCAAGGACATGCCTATCCGGAGGATACGGGGCGAAATTGCTCGTTTCCATAAACGCCGAAAAACCAACCTAAGCACGCGTAACACCTCGTCATCGCTTTCAGTTTCGCCTGCTGCTGGTGCCACCACTCCTTTGACAACCACTAGCGCAACTTCTTCATCTGCTATTGCTCCCGACAGGGATGCCCTTGAGCAGCTAGCGCTCGACACGGCTGTTGAAGCTGCAGTCATCGGATTCCTTGAGCGCAACGATCAATTGCCTTACGCACCGGGCATGATTCATGTCTGTTTCACATTGGCCGACTGGATCTTTGCTCCTCTTGGCTGCTCCTCCTTTGATCCCAATGCTCACTACACGCAGCATGAGCTCTTATGTCGAACCTTTGACCAAATTATGGCTATAATGCTCTGGTACCCGCCTTCCAGCGCATCCAAGGATTCCATGGAGCACCAATGCGAGGGAGCCCTAACACGACGCATCACACATTTTCTCGCTGTATCCCGCCGTTTGCTTCCCGAGCTGACAGCTTACTTTGATGAAGAGGAGGTCAACGGGTTTGCAGAAGAGTGGGTGCATTCCTGGATCAAGTGGTGGTGCGCTCGAGAGCTGCCCGGCGAACAAAAAGGTCGTCTCTGGGATTTTTATCTTGGGTATCGCCCTTCAGTGTACTCTTCAGAGGCAAGCAGAAGCAGCAGCAATACTACGTCGCCAGCGTCGCCCGCACCACCGGAGCCTCGCGCCTCTATTGATGTTTCTGATGGGAACGGTGAGGAAGAAGCCCCTGCACGACCGAACCCGCTTGGGCAAGAGGACGAAAATAAGCCTCTGGCCGGCGAGGCATACACTCCGGCGGACTGGCATACTTATGTCTGTGTTGCTCTCTTGAAAGCGTGCAAGGACGAGCTCGAGGAGCTAGAATTGTCGGAAATTCGAGCCCTCTTGAGCAGGCTGCCAAAGCTGAACGTGAATGCCATTCTTGCAGAAGCCAGAAAAGCCCGGAGAGAGCTAAGAGAGCTCGGACTTCGAGAAGACGAGGAGGTTCGAAGGCGAGCCGATCAAAAGTATTAATCCTTGTTACTAAATGTCAAATAATTTTTTCTCGCCGTTCACTGGACAATCTGTATTATATCTTTTTCTTTTTCTTTTTTTGCTTCACACGGGCAGGATATACCATCTCTTTCCAGTGTCTATATTCTATACCTACCACGTTGACCAGTGTATTGTACAAGTCCTACAAAAATTCATGCATTATGACTTTTGGTACCTGTATTAAAAGAAAATGATTGCCTCGGTTTGACTGATCTTGTGCTTAATCACATTGAATGTCTCGATGTAAGGCTCTTCCGCTCTTTCTTCATCCAATGCTGACAGAAGGCTCCCTGGCCAAACCCCGATTTTTTGGCACCCTCCATCACTTGTCACCACTTGTTCCCTCCAAGAATGCATTCCAAGCGCTAATTGAAAATCAATGATCAATAATTCCCGAATTTCATATCCGTCAAAGCGTCATTGTATGGTCAGGCGGCAGTACTCTGTACGTGGATCCAACTCCCCCACACCGCGGATGCAATTCCGCTGTTGCCAAGATGGGGGGGGGAGGGGGGAGGGGGGAAGGGGCAAACTGCTCAAGTAATCTGCCACCGCTCACCGCCCTCCGAGCGGACCCTTTCCTCCAAAGCAAATCCCCAAATCCAGCGCTCTAAATCATGTCATCGAATTTCGTTCTT